AATCTCGTCTAGTATTTTATTAAATCTTTCTATTTTTCTATTAATCTAGAGATAGTAAAAGATTATTATATAATACTTTATCTTAACGCGATTAAGGTAGTACTTGATAATCTTTAAGATTAGATTAGTACTATTATTCGATAATAATTCTTAAAACGCTTTATACTAGTAGTAGATTTCGAATAGAAAGTCGATAACTACTTTATCTATAGTGTTCTTTACGACCTTTACTATTAGCTAGTCTATAGAGAAGTTAATAGCTATTAGAATCTATTAATTTCTATAGAGCGTAGTTAATAGCGAGCTAATAAAGTCGATTATCTACTTCTTAAAGAGTTAGAAGATCTATCTAATCTACGAATATAGTTCTTTCTAGTTCTTCTTCTATCTTTAAACTAACTAGTATTAGTTATAAATTCGAGTATTTATAAGAATATTCTTTATTATAAATAGTTACTATTCGTATACCTTAACGATACTTTCTATAGCGGCCGCGCTATAGTATTCGTAGTACTTATAATAGTACTTAATAAAGTCTCGACGAAATAATATAGAAATAAAGAAAGTAAAGTAATTACTAATCTTTCGGAATAGACGATCTTCTTCTACGAAGTATTAATCTAGATCCTTAATACGCGCTAACTACTCCTTCTAGACTAGGCTTAAGTCGGATTTATTCTTTATTATTAATTAAGCTATAATAGTATCTTTCTATTCTATATCGTTATTCGAATATACTATTTATTAGATATTTAGGAATACTTCTACGCCGCTAGAGATCTATACTTTATTAGTAGAGCTCTTTTCTAGAAGATCGAGTCGTCTAGAAATAGTATTAGAAATAATAGCTTTAGAGCCTTTACGATATCGAATATCTAAGTCGAACTCGAAAAACTTATTAATCTATCGCGTAAGGCGCTTCGAAGGCGTCTAAGTAGTATTTAGATATTTTAGACTCTTATAATCGATTATAATAATTATCTTATAGCTATTCTAGAGATATATAATCTAGGTTTAAAGAGCGTATTTAATAGCGAGAAGCTTCTTTTTATATATAGAATAGTTTAGCTCGATCCTATTAAGTTTCTATCCGTCGTAGACGACTAGATACTATTTTCTATCGGGTTCTTCTTATAGAAGAATATAATCTAAAGTCTACTCGAAGTAGTCTATCTCTACGTAAAAAGACTTCGATTTATCGACTTATTATAAAACTAGTTTAGTAACGAGGGTCTTCTTAAGTACTTAAAAGACGTACTTATATCTCGCGTTCTATCGAATAGATCGGAACTTCTTCTTTTAAAGCTCGATATCTATCTCGATTAATAAATCGAATAGAAATATAGTAATCTTTACGAAGTCTTTAATAAATCTTCGATAATAGGAAGCTAAATCTAAAAACTAATATACTTTATATACGTTTCGAGACTAAGGCTATTTAAGGATAGCTTATACCTTTATAGATATAGGTTAGTACTCTCTATTATCTACTATATATTTATAGAATTTAAGCTATTAGACGCTAATAATATACTTTAATAACTTCGTATATAGTTTATAGTCGTATAGTACCTTAACTATCTATTTAAGATAACGTTTATATTCTTCTTCGATCTACGAGTAGATAATAATATCGTCTAAGTAGACGATTATAAACTTACTAATAAATTCTTATAGGGTATCGTTTATAATTCTCTAAAACGTCAAAGGGGTATTAGTAAGTCTAAATAGTATAGCTAAGAACTTATACTTACCGGATCGCGTATTAAAGGCGATCTTTTCAATAGATATCTTTTCTATCTAGATCTAGTAGTATTCTTAGATAAGATCGGCCTTCGAGAGCTACTAAGCGGCTTCGATAGTATTAAGATAGTCCTAGATCTAGGGTAAAGGGTAGGTATCCTTAATAGTAATATTATTAAGAAGATAGTAGTCGATGTATATCCGCCATTTGCCTCCAGGTTTGGGCATAAAGAGTACAGGGAAACCCCATTCATTGGCAAGTTCGTGATCCTCTGAAACGTCGAAGGGGCGTTGGTGAGTCCAAACGGCATAGCTAAGAACTTATACTTACCGGACCGCGTATTAAAGGCGGTCTTTTCGATAAATATCTTTCCTATCTAGACCTAGTAGTATCCTTAGATAAGATTAGCCTTCGAGAGCTATCGAGCGGCTTCGATAGTATTAAGATAGTTCTAGATTCGAAGTAAAGAATAGATATCCTTAATAGTAATATTATTAAGAAGATAATAGTCGATATATATTCGCTATTTACCTCTAGATTTAGGTATAAAGAGTATAGAGAAACTCTATAGACTCTCTAAAAGCCGGATTAGACTCTATTCTAGTAAAGTACGAATTTACCGATCTTATTTATCTTAATATTCTTTCGATAAAGAGTAGTAAAGTAAGTTAATAAACTTAGTATCGTCTATATCGATTTCGTACTTAATATTCCGCTTTATTAGAAACTTAGTAGATAGTTCTTCTCGAAATACTATTTTAAACCTTTCGAGAATACGCCTAAAACGCCTATTCTTAGTTCTAGATATTAAAGAGATTACTTTATCACTAGAACTCTATTCTCGTATAAGATATAAGATAGAAGTCTAGTCGAGTATAGATAGTTTAGAAACCGCCTTCTAAGTCTTTCGAAAGCTAAGTAGGTTTAATTTAGCCTCTTTAATATCTTTATAGTTAATAGTTCGAAAGGGTTAAAGAGATATCGAAGTTAATTTCCTAGTCCTATTACGTATCGTTATATATAAGTAACTAAAATCCTAGAAAGCGTTATACTTCTTTAGCTAGTTAAGTCTAAGAATAATATTATACGTATTCTAATTTAAGATATAGAGTATCGTTTAAGCTTAAAAGTTATTAATAGTTAGACCCGTTATAATAGCTTAATTAAAGAGAGTCGTTTTACTATTAGTAAAATATACTTAAAGAGATAATCTCTAGATAATTTTATAGTTTTTATCTAGTCGCTTAGTAACTCTTCTTAAGATATAGAAGATATCGGAGCCTATATTAAAAAGAACCGTAATAAGATAAGAATTACTATACTATTCTAGCGATCCGCTAGCGATATTATATCTCTAGATATAGTTTAAGTTATAATTAAAGACTTTAGTCGTATTAATAGCGATATCTATTAGATTATCGAAAAAGAAGTTAGAGTCTAATAAGCTTATATCGATAGCCTTTAAAGAGTCTATAACTTCTTTATCGTCGCTAGACGCCCTACTATCTAGCGACTCTTCTCTTTTCCTCGATAGTCTCGTCTTATAGATTTCTTTAAATTAGAATAATCTTTCTTTTAATAGCTAACTTCTCTATAACCGAAGTAGAGACTATCGTCTTAATACTTTTAACGAAAGCTACTTAAGAATCTACGTTTATTTCTATAATTACGCGAGATTTTAGTCTTAGTAGATAAGAAGAATCTTAGTCGAAGGCCGTTAAGGACTATCTCGATATTACTATTAGCGTTCTTACGATCTAGTTAGGTAGTCCGAGAAGATTAAGAAGGTTTTCTTAATAAAAATCTTCTTAAGTAATCTCGAAGAGAGACTATTCTATATATATTAGCTTATATCTCTCTTTCGCTTTTATCTACGAAAAGAGCGTAATCTCTATAATTTTAAAGAAGTATAGTATCTAGAAGAAGTTCTATTTAATTTCGAATAGTCGTTCTAAGCTCTCGTTTAAAAACGAGTAGATATTTAGCGTCGCTAGAGCGAGAGTCGAGATATAGCTAAAGAGTTTCGATCTTCTATCGAAACTCTTATACTATTTCTATTTACTTAAGAAAATCGAACTTATCTCGACGTTACTTCTACGTCCTAACGTCGCCGAACGCCGTCTAGAATACTTTCTTTTATATCTTCTAGTTAATTAGAAGTAGATCGATTCCGAGACTATATTTTATATTTTAATATATAAGGTTCTACTATACTAAGATATTATTTTTAAGATAAAAAGTTACTAGAATAATACGTTCGCGGCTCGTTAGAGAACGTTTATTAATAACTTTCTTCGTATCTAACTACCTTTTAATATAAATTAGCTAGACTTATATCGCGTCGTTATTCCGATAACTTTTATATCTTAGAGGTTTTTCGAGCCCTATTCCGCTAATATCTTAAAATAGATCTAACGATAGATACTATTATCTAGATAAGGGTCTAGATATATCTATCTAGTCTATAGATAAAAGAATAATCTTTAATAGACTATCTATAGATATCGAAGCGAAGATTTTAAAGATTCTATAATATTATAGATAATTAGCGAGAGCTATTATAGTCCTTTCTAGATTTCTAAGACGATCCTTTTCTAGAAGTTTATATATTCTTTATAGATTAGCTTCTTCTATAAAAATATCGATTTCTAATACTACTATTACTAGAGTTAAGGGAGTATTTATATAATATTTAATATAAAAGAGCTTTCGAATATAGTTTACGAAATACGAGTAAGAAACGAATAGAAGATAATATATAATAAAAGAAAGATAAGTAATCTCGAGAAGAATATATTCTTTATAAAAGCTTTTATCTCGTTTAGTAAGAGCGCTTTATAACTAGCTCTCGATACTCGAGACCGTCCCTAGTTAAATAGTACTCTATTCCTTAAGAGACCTTACTATATATCTTTCTTTAATCGATCTATTATTTTCTATCGTCTACGATAATACGAGTAAATCTAGATAAATTTAGATAACTATCTAGTTTCTACTAGTATAGTTTAGATAGAATCCTAATAAAGAGTTCGTTCTAGTAATAATATTTCTTTCTCTATCGATATATCGAGCTCTTCGATAATATCGTTATTTATAATATCTAGGTTAATAGAACGTAATCGAGGACGTTAAAGTAGCCGTTACTATTATATTTTAGTTATATCGCTAGCTATCGTTTATAACTAAGAGTATCTAAGGATAACGAAACTAAAATTTTCGAGAGAGAAAGTTACTATTTACTACTATAATTTACCTTTCTCGATAAGAAATTTTTATCGCTACTCGTCGTTCTAAGAGTATAATTCTCGTAAGTCTTCGCTACGAAACTAGAAGAAGTTCGTCGGGTATAGAAGACGAGCTTCGAGCTAGAAAACTTTCTTATCGGTTAGTTTCGCTATATATCGAGGCGGTTTCGTTTACCTTTAATCGACTTCGTATAGAAGAGTATCGATCTTCTCGGCGATCGACTACGCTTCTCTTCTTCTCGAGAGAGTATAGGAGTTCTTACGAACTCTAGTTTAAGATAGAGAACTATCTCGTCGCCGCTACTAAATATAATTTTACGGAGAACTTATTCTATTTTAACGGGGCCTAAGGCCTCGTTAGACTATATACTTTCTAGGGGTTGTACGATAGTGTACGACGCTAGTCGAGACCGAAAGACGGTCCTCGACGTCTTTATAATGCTTGGCACGTAGGGTGCCCATTTTGTTATAAGGTAACTTACACGAACCACTGACACTCGGCATCAACTACAGCTTCCCTATCCTTGGTATCTACGAGTCCGTCACTTGGGATGTTACGCGGTGCCGACAAAAGACATACCGTCGACCTCAAACAATAACATGACGCTTTCCACCACCACCACCACCACCTACAGCCGCTATGGAAGCCTCAAGCTTTGTGGAGCAGGTTGAAGAGATGACGGATCTCGAACTGGCAGTCCTACTCAGCCTGATTGCTCAACACCACTGCATGATTCAAGTTGATGATGACTTGGTCGACGACCTAGCCTCAGAACTTGCGCTGGTATGTCGTCTGTTTTTCTCTCCGAACCATAGCCATCGTTCAACGGAACACTAAAGATAGACTATTCAGATAGTCCGAGATGTCTTCAATCTTTCATATATCATCCTAGAACGCGCAGATGTGCAAGACGTCGATCACTTTGGAGAAGCTATTCTGGCGGATGATGATGGCTCTGGAGACTTGATGGATGATATGGAGGATGATGGTACTGGCAGCCAGGCACGTTTGTCCACTCCATTCCCATTCCCCCTCAGCCTCCACCTTCTGTCGAATAAATGCTAATCTATCACTATCATTTCCAGGCCGGCATGCTCCATTCCCAAACCGCCGCCGGAGTGAGCTTTAGCTTTCGAGGGGGCCCGCCATCATCTCATATCGAAGAATCCCAATTCGACAGCCGAAAGGTGGTCAACGTGATCATTGCGAAGCATTTCAATTTCGCCCATGAGGATGTCCAGATCCAGACTCTCGAGGTATGATCATCTCTCTCGCCTTTCCAGCTAGAAGGTCGCCCGTCTACTGTGACTAAACCTAAGCTAACCTATTAACACCATAGTTGATCCGAAAGCGAAGGATATACAGTCGGACGACAGTGCATCTCGCTCCGAAACTGTTTCTGGTCTTACCTATCATTTCTACGTCGTCAAAGGGTATCCGGTTGAACAAACATCTTGTACGCAACGCGGTCCCTCTTTCGCCCCGCCTCTCATTATCTATCTAGATCTCCTAACGTATGCGATACAGAATGATCGCGTCTTCATGTCCCATTTCCACGAAGCAGAAGACGGATTCCCCAACCTCGAAGAAATGGAGGCGACGACCACCACCACCACCCGCCCTTCCCAGGACAACGATAACAACTCCGAGACATCGGCATCGATTTCTCAATCCCCCAGCGTTCAGGTCGTGTCAAACCCTAGGCGGATCGGCGCAGAGGTACGGTCCACCAACTACCTCTCTATACTATTAATCCAAGATATATACTAACCCGGTTACTGTTATAGTTAATCGAACAGCTCAGGGCCCAAGGCAAAGCGGCAACAGTAACTCCCGAGATCAGGAGATATCTTCAAGACATTGTGGTCTTTCTTCGAATGGCGAGGGGCGTCGACGGCGGCGTCACACCCTACGCAACAACACTGTTTCTTGCCCTTGCAAAGTGAGACTGTCCACCCTTATACTTCTCCCTTCCCTTCCTCCCTTGGTCTCGACATATGGACATCTTTCTGACTGCCCTTTTATCTAGATACCTCGCACCATTCCACGGCATAGATTATGTGACACCCGCACTCGTTGCTTTGGCCGCTAAGAAGATCTACCCTCATCGCATCGTTATCGCGTCCCCATCTCGAGAACGAAGCACACTATACGGCACCGATGTGGCCACGGCTGGAGACCTGCTGAGAGATCTCGATCCACATAAAGTCATTCAGGAGGTTCTTGATACGGTTGATTGTCCAGCTTGAGCTGGATTCAGTGTCATCCCAATCCAGAGTCTGGCTGCCAGGCTTGGCTTACGACTTTAAAAAAGCTGAGCTCATCGAAAGAGATTTGAGATCAATGTGGAATGGAATGGGTTCCAGTTCTGTTCCATGCAATGGTGCTCATTTTCAGTGCATCATTGATTTTTCAACCGAGAGCGCATGCTGGATGGATGCCCTGCAGGCAATCTGTGACCGAAGCGGTCAGGATAATATGACATTACAATCATGCCAGTGATAAAGAAACGCTCAAGAACTCGCTCTAGAACACGAAATCACCACCCCTTTTTTTGACCATGGCATTCCCCACCTTCCCGTAGGAGCATTAATAAGGGAATATGCCCACTCTACTGATGCTCGCATAGACTTTTGCACAATGCACAACTTGGAATCCTCATGCTGCCGTTTCTCTGCACTGCAGAGGCCACCCTCCCTCCAGCAAATTCCCGGCGACTTGATCATTCTCTTGCGCAACAGCAGTGACCATAGCACTCCCAGACTTTGCCAACGTATGGCCCTCACTGGGATCGTTCGGAACCGTCCGTGACTTTTGAATTTCCGGGCACTGACAAATGTCCAGCGTCAGAGCGCCCAGCACTTCCATCAAACACAAAAGGTCCCGCATTGTTTCTCGGAGTAAGTGGTCCCTCGCCGGGATTGATGTGCTCAATGTCCGGGGTTTGTGTCCTGGTATGCTCCAAGTGGACATCCATCTCGTCTTCGTCTGGGTGTTGGGGCATTTCAAGGTTCCCGTTCATAGAGTGTATGCCGGTCGAACTGGGATTGGAGGCTTGTCTCCGCGCCAGAAGTCCAGAATTTTGAGCTCCCACTGCCGTGGACGGGCCGCCTTCCAATCCATCGCCTAAGCCTGATGTAAGCTCAGGGGCAGGGTCAAGATTAATATCTGTGGTAGTGATGTCGACATCTCCTGTGTCATTCGCAGCATCCATGTCGTCCGATCGTTGTTCGTCAGTGGCATCGCCATCCGTATGAGCATTGACACTGGCATCCGTCTCGTTGTGCGCTTCTCCATTCTCATTGCCCGTCTGATTTGCCGCGTCATCTGCATTCTCCATCCATTCATCAATGTCAGATTGGGCAATGTCGACATCTGCAGTTAGATCGGTGTACGCTCTGCAGTTTGGACACTGAAACTGTGGATACAGGCTGTTTCTTCCTTCGAGTAAGGGACGAATGCATTTGTAATGCCAGCAATGCGCACAAGGCGCCACGAACAATGCTTGACAAGGCTGGAAATCGGTCAGCACAGAAGTCATGACAGAGTCGGGGTACTCACCAGTACAGAACCAAGGCAGATGGCGCATTCGCCACTATTTGCATTTGCTGACGCTTGATCTTTGGCGAGGCTTTGCAGCTGCTGATGTCTGCTCTTGCTACGTGGGTTGTCAGTATCCATGATCATTTCGAGCTGGGGTTGACGAACTTGAAGTTGTTGGGTTTCTTCTGCCATGACCGATTGCACTCGATTCGGATCTTGACGCAACGGAATATCATTTCCTCGCCTCCGCGGAAATCGATGCCCAACTGAACAATATCCCCATCCTTGATTGGGAATAGTTTGGACTCAGTGTTGGGCTGACTGAGCCTGATGTGGTTGAGAAACGTGCCTGATGAACTGGCGACATCTCTGATCTGCCATTGGCCATCTACGAAACTGAATTCACAGTGCTTTCGACTGACCACTTTGGATTTGAAGCCCACAGGCGCGTCGGAAGGTGTGCTGGGGTTGGCCTCAGGGATTCCCTCACGCTCCGAATACCGACCGACCCGGATGACGGCGTGCTCATTCGGCAATGTTCTCGAGATGGGGGTAAATGTAAGAGATGGCCGGCCATTTCTCATCTCCTGATGGGGGAAAAATCGTATAGTGGGCAGTTGATGTTTGGCTTCGCCATCGTGTGAGTCGCCTTTCGTGCCCGTAGTCATTCTCCTGAGGTTCGGGGGACGCAGGCCGCCCGAATCCGATCTCTCGACCGCGCCATCATCAATGGGTTGATTGCTGTTCGTGTTTCTCCGCGCCATAGAACTTCGTTGTCTTGCCATCTCGTCTGTATTCTGCTCTGCCGGTTCTGAGACCACATCCACCTGATCTGCGGTCTCCGGGGCGGGATGACCTGCGACTAACGGCGACGACGGCCGTGGAGTCCCTTGAGATGTAGCAATCAATCGAGTGTGAATGGCAAGTGGAGTCGTAGGCTCGTTTGGCCGCGAAGCACTTCTTCGCCGAGTAGCAGTGGACGGATCGGGTCGAGTATCGTTGTAGCTGTGAGATCGTTGGAAGTAATGTCTCGGGGAACGAGAGGCCTCGTTCGGACTGGTGCCGCCCGAGGACCGACTGTGTGAAAGGGCACGAAGGTAACTCAGGCCTCTCCGACGAGAGGAAGTTCTATTGAGGTCTGCCCCTGGTTGGGAGGTGACAGAGACAGGCGGCGAGATCATGGGATGACGTTACGGAGGACGAGGAACTATGCTGTATAGAAGTGAAGTACCCGACGGTGAAGAAGCAGCAGCCGCAACGGCAACGGGGCCTGGTCCGAAACCCGAGGTCGAGTAACCAGCGCAGCCTGAAACGGGATGTTTGATTGTGTCGCCACTGCTTGGAGTTGTGAGCCAGGTGTCAGGGCTGCGGAGGGAGAATGGGATGGCGGTATTGTTGTTTGGTCTGGGTCGGTCTCGTTTGGTTCGGGTCGACGCCTGGTACAATGGTAACGGTGATCAGGGTGCCACTGCACAGGACAGCTGCAGGTAGGTGATATGACTTGCAGGGTACCAGTGGTGATGAATTCCACGGGTCCAAGAAGAGGTCGTGACAAGGACAAGGTCGAGTTCAACGAAGGAGTAACAATAATAATAAGGGAGATGCCCGACTCGGAGTAGATACAGGACAGTTCCGCAGTACTGGCAGGTCTGAGATGCTGCAGTGTGTCCTAGTACTTAGTACAGTTCTACTAGTACTACCAGTGTATGCTATCCGAGGGGCCACGGGTGGCTTATTAGAGCCTCGAAGAGCCTACAACAACAGCCTATAACAAGATCGCTGTTGGGCGTTGGATGGTCTTCAAGTTCAACGTAGTCCGCACATCCAAACCCTCATAGCAGTGTTTATAGTACACATTCCCCCCGTCCCAGTAGTAGCAACAAGTACAATAACCTAATGAGAGACCAGAGCCACTGCAGTGAGATGTAGAGGCTGCAACTTGATCTGCTCGTCGATGTCGCCATCGATGTCATCGAACGTCGTTCGCGCAAGGCCGACTGTGATGAGTGGCAGCGCCAAAAGAACTGGGTTGCATTATCGTGATGATGATCGCTTTTGTGTCGCGGGATCTTCGCGAATCTACAGACCTACTAGTCCCTCATTCGCGTTGATAGCCAAATTCTACTGTGTACAATATTGTGCTTTGGGCCATCTTCGTCTCTTCTCGAGTTCAAATTCAGTCGGTCACAAAACCGTAGCAGCCGGCAGTGTATCCTGTGGTGGCCTATCATCTCCCCGGACTCCGAGGTCCACTGCGGCATAAACCTTTGTCTTGACCTTCAAGTTCACCTTGACATAGAACCAAACCCATTACTCAGTGTCCATCAGCCAAGCGACGACGTTCACCATTCCTCGCTATCTCGCTGGTGATAGTTCTGACCCCCTTTCGATCCGGCCATATCTGCCTCAGCATGCGCTCCGCTGCTGCAAAGTCTTTGCGCAATGCAAGGGTGGTTGCGAAACCCTCGAGAGCGTTGGCAAGGAATTATGCCACTGTCAGAGATCCTCTACAAAAAGTACGTCTTACCACGAGATTTCAGACGTGGGCACTGTCCTAACTGACCTCACCCTCCACAGGACCCAGTCGAGCTAGATCAAATCACTGAACTACCGAACGGAGTTCGAATTGCCTCCGAGTCATTACCAGGTCCATTTTCGGGAGTGGGCGTCTACATCGACGCAGGATCGCGATATGAGGACGAGTCACTCCGGGGGGTCAGCCATATCGTGGACAGATTGGCTTTCAAATCAACCAAACAACGGTCCGCAGATCAGATGCTGGAGGCTCTGGAAGCCTTGGGGGGCAACATTCAATGCGCATCTTCAAGAGAAGCCCTGATGTACCAGTCCGCAACCTTTAATTCCGCCGTTCCCGATACCATCGCCCTGCTCGCTGAAACGATCCGCGACCCCCTAATCACTGATGAAGAAGTGCAACAACAGCTGGAAACGGCCGAATATGAGATACAGGAAATTTGGTCCAAGCCGGACCTAATCATTCCGGAATTGCTGCACATGGCTGCCTACAAGGATAACACCTTGGGCAACCCTCTGCTTTGCCCTCGGGAAAGACTACCCTACATCACAAGAGGGCTGATTGAAAAATACCGTAATCTTTTTTACAAGCCCGAGCGCATAGTGGTGGCATTCGCGGGCATTGAGCACGAAAAGGCCGTTCGCCTGGCAGAAAAATACTTTGGGGACATGCCTCGCGGAAACAAACCCTCGGTGGCACAGGATAATGCTCAGCCGTCTACAGCTGAATCCCCAACCGCCAGCACGCAGTCCGAGACGCCCTCCACGCCTTCAGCTACTAGCCGATTTCTTTCCAAAATCCCCGGTCTCAGCAATTTCTCGACTTCAGCTCCTCATCAAGCAACCGTATCTCCACTGGATCCATCGCTTCTCCAATCTGCGCCTGTCTCTCCTCTCACTCAGCCATCCCACTATACGGGTGGCTTTCTCGCACTTCCACCGTTGCCTCCTCCACAGAACAACCTTTCCATCCCTTTGTCGCACGTTCACATTGCCTTCGAGGCCCTGCCTATTTCGTCCGAGGATATATATGCGCAGGCTACATTGCAGACTCTCCTTGGTGGAGGCGGCTCTTTCTCTGCTGGTGGTCCTGGCAAGGGCATGTACTCGCGACTGTATACCAATGTTCTCAACCAACACGGGTGGGTGGAGAGCTGCGTTGCCTTCAACCATAGCTACACAGACAGCGGTCTGTTTGGCATCGCAGGGGCATGTGAACCCGGCAGGGTTGGACACATGGTAGACGTTATGTGTCGCGAGCTACAAGCACTGACGCTCGAGTCCGGGTTTCCCAGTCTCCAGCTGGCGGAGGTCAATCGAGCGAAGAACCAGCTGCGGTTCAGTCTTCTGATGAACCTCGAGTCGCGGCTGGTGGAGCTGGAGGATCTTGGCAGACAAGTCCAGGTCCATGGCCGCAAGGTCGGTGTGAAGGAGATGTGCGCCAAGATCGACGCCTTGACTGTGACGGATCTGCGTCGCGTGGCGAAGCAGATATTGACCGGGCAGGTGCATAACCGGGGCCATGGTACCGGAGCACCCACGGTGGTCATCCAAGAGGGTGAAGACGGGTCTGGCAAGAAGATCAGACAGATCCCCTGGGAGGATGTGCAGTCGCGGATAGCTAGGTGGAAGCTGGGAAGGATGTAAAATGTCTTCCCGAGTAAGGCGTTTACCCTTTGCGACGTCAATGCTTGTATTATAATTGCCCGCAGCACGCAGGATTTTGCGGCTTGGAGGGCTTGTCATCAAAAGATGAATGTCACCAATACTACTCCGATTTACCCATCATTTAGAGCAACGATACGCATCGGTCTCGGCCTGACTACAGGCAATGATCTGCTGACAATCACATAAGTCTCCCCCGGATTGCGGGCATTAGCTGGAGATCGAGGGCCACTGCACCGGACGAGGCTGAATAAGGCTGGAGCTCTTCGCGGTCACTGATTCGTCGAATCGTACCTGCCGCGACTCTGCACTCGGACGAGTTCTCTGCACCTGCCATGCATGACAAGTTCATCTTACGGCGCTACAACACTTCTTCGACCCAAGCAACGAGGTGACACAGTTTTCGGTCCTCCTGTTCAGGGCCCAGCTATCTCTCTTATAGAGGCGAGGGTACAGTGGCCCCTGTAAGTTCAATGCGGGCCAGCTGGCGCAAGATGCACAATCTGGAGATGCGTTGCCCGATGCCCTCTCATGGGTGGTGAGGCCGATCATCTCTCATTCTCGTGAAAGCTGACAGCGCAGCGACAACCGGGCCTGGCTAGTATCAATGTGACCTCCTTTGCATTTATAGCCCGCGCCCACTCCTCTGCTGCATGTCGACTGCAGAAGGCCATTCGTCCGAACCCTCGTCTTGCAGCGTGGTCTGCCTTCAGCCTCAGCGTTCCTCGCCGACTCCACCCACCGGCTAGAGGCTAGGACCGGACAGACTACCCTGTAGCTGCATGAGTTTGCCTTCCATCACCCTTGAAATGATGAATGTTGTCTGTTTGGCGAAGGAGTCATAAAGTGTCAGACACGGCTCGATATACAGCACGGAACCGTGGCTCTCAGACGAAAAGGTGTTACCCACATGCCCTCTGGAAAAGGTCTGGACGTCGAGATCAGCCTCATGGCGCTCATTGTTACTGAATGAAGTTCTGCCGGGCTGTCTGGGTATAAGCGCCAGCCGCCTCAGTCGACATGGGGCCGGGCTTTTGAGGGCTTGCATAGCAGACCGCCGCCATGGGTGGGCTAGAAGGGTCAGCCATGACTCCCCCTCTCTGCACTGCTGGCGCCGACGTTTTCCAGCCGCATCTTAAACTCGAGGGGTTCGAAACCTTTCAGCCTTGCTCTCGACTTTCCCATCTCACTTCACTGCACCGCGTTAAGCGCTATGGCCGAACAAGAAGGCTTCAACGATGCGCAAGAATCTGCAGCAGATGTCCAGACGACCAGCGTGCCACCGTTATCCAACGAATCCCAGGTCAAAAAAACAGAAAGAACGGACACCGGTGGTTCATCCAAGAATAGAGCATCCAAGGGAATCGCAACGGACAACGATCACACGGTATCCTCCAGAGCAAGAGCACAGATGATAAAGTTCAGAAACGCCGTGAAAAGGACTGGAACCCTTGATGGCTCTGTCGAAAGCCCTCCCAAGGAAACAGCGCTCCCGGAGGCAGCACAACAAATGCCGGCCGAAGGGTCTCAGCTGAAGCTCATCTCAGATGGAACTGCAGAGAGCATTCTCGTCGATGTGGTCGCGATCCCAGATTATCATGATGATGCTTCTACTGCGTGGACCTTCAACCTTGAGCATTTGAGAAAGCAGTTACGCGAGCGTCCCGTGGCATTCTCTCAATCTGCTCCTACCACATCTAACAAGAGAATTGTTAGCCCCAATGTCGCTGTCACTCCACCAGGCGAAGATTATCAGTCTTTCGGTTTGACAGCAACACCCTCATGGGACCGGGAAACACCGGGTTCAAGCAAGAAGGTCGAGGCGGGCCCGTCAACACGCAGAACTGTCGCAGGAGTCTTGAAAAGAGCCCCAGCCCTAGAAGCGATTCAAAATATTGCAAATACGGAGCGAACCCAAAATGAGATGAGTATGTCCCTTCCGAAAACTGCACCCAAGATTGGACCACCGCCTCGGCGGCGATCTCAGACGGAGGCGCCTATGAGACATGTACAGAATGAAGTGCCCACTCACATGGTTCAGTTGAAGGAAGACACAGTTGTTTCCCCTGACCAGCTCCACAATCTGAGCATTAACTGGCTTGCGGATCCTGAAATGTTTCCGACCAAGGTGCCCTGGGCAAGGATCTTCAACTTCGAATATCCGCGAAGCAAAGACCGCACTTCAAAGCCACCAAGCCTTGGAGAACTTACAAAGCAGTTGGTAACCGAATTGCTTCGCCGCCTCCACCCGGAGCGGCCGATTATTTTTGTCACCCGGCGTTTTGGCTTTGCTGTCCTTCTAGACTTATTGTATTCTGAATTCCCTATCAACGACTCTGTCAAGCGCGGGCAGTTTTTTCAGTCTATCGCAGCGATGTTCAACTTTCGGGCGCCCGCAGATGCAGCCTCAGGTAATGTCAAAGCCTCGAAGACCGTCCGGCTACCATACGATGAGATTAGAAGAGATCATGTTTACACACGTTCAGAAAAGGTAGAAGCACGCTTACGGCATCTGACCCCGTGTGACTCTCCTAAGCCATTTGTGCAACTCTTGGACGACGATGGCAGGCATCTCAAAGACATGCATGATAAACGATTTGCGGAGTTTGTCCAAAGATTTTTGAGAGCTGCCCATGCTCGCATCTTTCTACAAGCGGTGATAGACGGCAAGGAGGACGAACTCCGGAAACCCGAAGCAGCTGGATGGGGCGTGAATCTCTCCGACAGTGTCGGTCAGACCGCACTTCACTTCGCGATCATCTGCAAGGACATGGAAGTATTATCATTCCTCCTGGGTTTCAAAGGCATCCGAGTCGATGCGAAAGACGCTCAGGGCCAGACCGCACTGCATTATGCAGTGGCGTACCTTCGTAGGCCAAATGAGGCCATTGCAATGCTTGTCGATAACGGTGCTGATGCGACCACTAAGGATAACAATGGGTCAACAGTCCTCGACCTCGCGAGAAAGAAGAATATCCAGCAATCCCTGATGACATTCCGTGCGGTGACAGGGCCATCAAATGATCCTGGGGTTGTTCTTCAACTTCCCAATCCCGATGATCTCGATGAATTGAAGCAACTTGCTGCCGAGGACTCTCTGATGGCTGTCGCCGAATTCTTCAAGGTTAAGGAGGGTGAGGTTGAAACGGAGAAGTTCATCATACAACGGCCCTCAGTCTTCCAGGTTCTTTATAGGAAGTATCCGCATGAGATATTTGAGGTGGCTCGTCGCAAAACAGAAATGAAACGGGACACGAGAGTGTGTCGATGGCTCCATATCCCCGCCAATCATACGGGCTGGGTTGACGGATTGTTTGCTCGGCTTGGTTGGGCAAAGGAATCGATCCAGGTTGATCAACACTCTGGGAAGACATATTGGAGCAACTACCTGAGGCCGCACTGTCGGACCTTTAAAGCGGTCCGTCGACCGCTGCCATCAACACCTGAGAAGCAACAGCACCAGTCCACAGTCGAAGATGAGATTCACAACTCTAAGTCAGTCGGAGAGAGCACAGATGAGGTGCATGGGACTCTCATCTACATGCCCTTCCTAACGTCAGAGAGACATTGTGATCAGAGCACCATTTATAATACCGTCATCGACGATAAAAAGTCGCCGCTTAACGACCTTTACTACGTGGCTGGCCGACAATTCTCCCTTGAAGACATCACTAATGTCGCGAGCGACTTCGACTTTGTTGATCCTAAAGCTGGCAACCAGAATGAAGAGTCGGATCCCGCACGGCTACGATCCGAGCGCGAAATGCTTTACGCGTACAGGGACAGTCTCGGCAGCCTGGGAAGGCCATTGCACATCCGAAGAACTCTAGACCAATCTCACTATCTAATGCTTGAAGATACCCGCAAACGCGATCGAGATCAAGTCGTGCTTCGGCGACAACAGGGACGGGAGGGATCGAAGAATGGTCCCGCTTCAGATTCTCCTGAGGCTGAAGCGGACGATCTGAAAGATCAACACCCTATGGTGATGGTTGATCAGCTGTGGCTTTGGATTGTAGGGGACACTGTCATATCCAGCTTTCCAAGAAGCTGGCCACAGCCTGATTGGACGCAGGAGTGCGATGTCCTCGACCGTCTGATTAGACATATTAACGACACTCCCCGAAGAGGACCCATAAGGAATAGTCGGGATCTGGCCAACTTGATTGTGAAACATTGTGTTGATGTGTTCAACCACCCCATACGGGAGGACCATTACCACCGGCTTTCATTGCATGATGCTTTCGAGACTTCAGTTGGGATTGTCGCCGACCAAGAGATGAGTTTGTTTCGGCAGTTTGAGAATCATGTTCTTCTGTTGAACAAGCTAGAAGTTCTCAAGGGTAGACAGGAGACCGCGGAGAGGCTGGTGGGGACATCCTCAGGATCGTATTATACCGCTTCTGAGTATATTGCTGAGGACCAATCAATCAAGGCATCTGAAAAGTCTGCCGAGGCGAAGCCGATTGCAGACTCTCAGGAGACAGAAAATGAACTGCTGGATAAGCTCTTTGATATCAAGAAGGAAATTGAACAGTTAGACGAAGCCAAGGACATACGCGACGAGCTAAGGATGATTTTGAGGATATTGGAGGAACAGAAACGAGTCATGGATGACTGGTTCGAGATTTCTTCGGGATCAGCAAAGCCTGAAAGCAAGAAGGCCATGCGCGAAGCCCGCGAAAGCAAGACGGCGGCCGGTTCTCTTGGGGTTTCAACCATGTTCGAAACTCCAGATGGTGGTATCACATGGGGACGTGGCGTCTCCTTCAAGAACGCAGCAGACGAGGCGTACGCGACGGTTCAGAGTAATCACAAGGACTTCACACGAATGTTGGAACATGTGGTCACTACGGAGAAAGGTATCAATCAACTGCTCAACCTGAAACAGAAAGAAGCCAACTCTCTCGAGGCGCGGTTTGCACGCAAAAGCGCTGAAGCAGCAACCAAGCAGGGGAACACCATTCTCTTCTTCACGATTGTCACCATCATATTCGGATCTTTGTCCTTCATAACGACCTTCTTCGCCTTGAATGTGACGGCTTTCCCTCTCGATGCTGATAGCGGAGAGCCAGTCTGGCCTCTGAGACAAGTCATCGGGCTGATAATTGGGCTTTCCCTCGGCTTATCCATTCCCTTTATTGTCATGGCATTGACAATAAACTCGACAATGGCATTGGGGACAAGAGCCCTCGGCAAGGCAGGGAAGCTTCTGGGGGTCTTCCACGTCATCCGGTTTCTGAGGGAAAGGAAGAGTGCCACAAGCCAGGCACTGTTGTCCAGCGGGTATTCTGACACGGAGTACTATATTATGTCGTCCACTCACTTTAGCTGGGCAGACAGGGTCATCACCCAACGCCGAGGTTCAAATACAAGTTTCAGTGGCGACGAGGAATCAACGGCGAAGATGAGGACTGGCTGGATGGCCAGGGCCGGTCTTTCGCTACGGCGACTGAGGCATAATTTCAGGTCACAAGAGGAACCATCTGAGCACGTTCAAAGTGCTGACCGGGACCAAGAGCGGGTACTAGTATACTACGTGTAAGAAGGACCAGGTGGGACTGGTTGAGCGCATATCTGGGAAGAAGCAACAGCCCGTCAAACATTGACTGGGCAGAGAGACCGGGGAATTGTTCGCGGGTTCGATCCCGCAGGACATTTCAAGGTCATGTGCTGGCGGTGATTCACGGCGATGCAAGGCCGGTGGTTGATATGATGCTGGGCAAATGGAAGGCCGTCCCAGTCGTAATACTAATCATAATATGATGTGTGCAACACCCGTGGAGTTGTAGTTATGTCCCCGTATCTCCATGTAAAGCGAAGGTCCATGGTGATTACTGATCATTGATGCTATGCAATATGTCCTAATAGTACTTATGCAATATAGGTTGTAGTGGCTCGATGTAAACGAAAGGAGCTGTCTTGGTCTGAATTGACATTCTGCAATCGCACTGGTGCAGTGGTGCCGCCGTGGTGGCAGTACTTTTATTTACTACCAGGTAAACTGTACGTAAAGTCCGAAGCTATTCCCTCGCTCGTATAAGCTACCTCTTTATCTACGTATTGACAGCATAGTAAGGTAAGGTAAGTAATGTATCAGGTAGCCGCCGCGGCGCATATTATCCTGGTCCTGCATGTCGTGCGATGCGGTGATACGGGTTTATCGGATTTAAGAGAAAGGTGTTGAGGTTACAGATAGTTCAGTACCAGGGCCGTGCTGATGATGCAGGTGGTAAATGCAGTGGGCGGCTTGATCTGATGCTGATAATACTGATAACCCCGATGCAGGTGCCTGGACGGCGGAATTCGGACGGGAATGTTGGGTTGAAGAAATACTGTGATGTGACGATATATATCATAACTATCAGGGTAAAAATATACCGGTAGGTAGGTATGGTGGGTATATATCCTTGTCTGTCTGTCTGCGAGTATACTGTATCTCTGTGTACAGCCGAAGCTGGAGGTAGCTACAGATACTACTAGTTGCTCATCCTCGCCTCCTCCTTGTCGAAGTTGTAGATCTCAGCTACAGTTGCTGCCCCTCCGTCTTTGCAATCTCATGTTAGCATTTGTTTGTTCCAGACCTGCCTGCCTTCGGCAAGCACACCTTCGAGGAGGAATCAACCCACTGCAGCTCAGAAAAGAAGGAAACAAAACGACAACTTGACCCCGGGCCGCCTGTCGCTTATCGATCATGTCCTCACTCACACCCACGCCCACCAACCACGCCGCATGGCTTCCAACCCGCCAGTCACCGACCATGGTGGTCGATGTGGCGCCATACACGGCTCCAGAAACAGATGAACTGGTCATCCGCGCGCGCGCCGTGGCAATCAACCCGGCTGACGTGGCGATCCAAGCCAAAGGGCTCCTGTTGGCCAGCGACGACGATTATCCTGCCATCCTGGGGTGCGATGTGGCCGGGGACGTGGTGGAAGTCCATTCTTCGTTGGCCCACGCCTTTTCGACGGGCGATAGAGTCATAGGCCAGGCGAGTCCACTTAGGACAAAAAGAAAGGAGAACGACAAAAAACTATACTGTTACTCGGCGTTCCAGGAATATGTGGTCCTGAAGGTGCCATTCGTCACCAAGATCCCAGCATCGACAAAACTCGAGGATGCCACGGTTCTACCGCTGGCGGTTAATACTTCTGCGACTTGTCTTTTTGCGCCTGAGTGTTTGGGCCTGAGACTGCCCAGCGGCAACAGGACCCAAGAGAGTCCGGCGAAAGAAGAGGAGACCGAAACTGAGACCTTGTTGGTCTGGGGCGCCAGCAGCAGCGTTGGCTCATGTGGTGTCCAGTTGGCCACGCTTGCAGGCTACGAGGTAATTGGAGTCGCCAGTAAGAAAAACCACGACATGGTCAGATCGCTCGGTGCGAAGCTTTGCTTCGATCACCACGACCCGAAGATGATTGATGATATTGTGCGTAACTTACAGGGCAAACGGCTCGTGGGTGCCTTTGACGCCATCTCAACCGATGACACACTCGCTGCAGTCTGCGACATCCTGGACCGGTCCGAGGGAAGAAAACTGGTCGCGGCGGTGATGCCAGGCGCCGAGGCCAAAGCCACCAAGGGGGTTCGGATTACCACCAACTTTGCGGCCGCGGCCAATGCTGTGACGGGCGGACTGGGCAAGTCGGTGTGGACATGGCTTGGAAAAGCATTGGATGAGGACAGGATCAAGTGTATGCCTCTAGCGCATGTGGTGGGACATGGTTTGCAAGATATCCAGAAGGCTGTTGACTTCTTGGCTCAGGGAGTCAGTGCGAAGAAACTGGTGGTAGAGATTTGATCTGGATGCTCCTGGCAGGAAAACGCGACACGACGGATGCAGTGAGGTCTATTTCCTCTCATATGACAGTCTTGCGACGTTGAAGCGTCGAACTCGTTACCACTGCATCACACTTGACGGGTCCGGAAAGCGCTGGAGTAATAACAGGTAATTCTTATCGGCGTTCCGCCAGTGATCCTGTTCGCAGGTCATCGTCCAACGTAAGATCTGTCACAAAACATTCCTCATAAGCATGGAGTCGAAATTCATGTAAGCAGCGGCGTTTTGCCTTCCAGTGCCATAAACCCGTATATTGCTGACATCGACGTCGAACTCCGAGTCCTTTGCGGTCGCTCTGGTACACAGCAGGCCAAGTTCGAAACCCACCTTGTCCACCATAGCATTTAGACAGTCACTCCTTCGTTTGCTTGGGCACATGGTGACAATCCAGCATTCTGGCCAGGCATTTGACAGACGCACTTCTCCGGCATCGAGCACCAACTCCAAGTCTTTTCGCGACGGGTACTCCATCATCTCGAATGTCGAACGGGCAGACTTACACTTTTGAAAAAATATCGAATTTTGATGAGATGATTTCGAGAGAAGGAAAAGCACAGAAGTACATGGAGATGCTGGGATTCGGTTATGGTAAAAAGTGACGGCGAACTGTTACATCCGGAGGGAAGCCGGTTTTGTTGTCGTTACTTGGACGTCGATCCAGGACTCGATCGATCAGGATACTTGTGGTATAGTGGGACAACTACAGTGGTAGTAGTAAGGCACTGCCACGCCACCATTCATTCCCCCACGCAATCCAAGACCAACTTTTAGACACTCTTGTCGCAAACTCCCAACATTCGCGTCGTCGTCGCCACTTCGCTCGTTTCATCGTTTCATCGCATAGTCTCCTAATTCCACTCGTTCAGTCGAACTCAGAACAGATCCTCCCAGAGCGCCGATTCGACGTTGCTCATTGTGTACAGTACCATCCTTTGAAGCCCGCCACCGATGTTCACGTTTCCTGCGCCTCGGATGACATTGTTCCGATGACTCGGCCATTGCCGCCAACAACTCTAATATCACCATACGAGCCCTGCTATGCCAGCCACCTCGCCCCAGGGCTCGAGTCACGACAAGAATGAAGAGCAAGATGTGAACTCGTCGACTGCGGTTCAACATGAGGGCGGAGGCCCGCCTGAAGGACAGGGCGACGAGGCGTCCGCAACCACGGTACCCTCGGCTGTTACGTCGAGGGTGCGGTTCTCCCTCGAGATCTCCAGAGCCGACGAAGATGCGAAACCGTCAAAAGAGACGTCCTCCACATCCGAGCGGAAACCCACTGGCATCCTCAAGACTCCATCGTACGGTCGTAACCGTGGCTACTCTCTAAGAAGGGCTCTCTTCGCCCAGAACATCCAGAAACAAAGTTCAGACAATGGGGGAGCATTTGAGTTGAATCAATCGAAGCAGAGCGATGATGCCGCCTCTGAAAAGACGCAACTCGGCTCCCAATCCACCACAGTTACCGTCGAAGAGACAGGAAGTCGAGATGATCAGACTCCAGGCCAAGCGCCACTCTCTGCTCCCTCCCTCGAATTGCCCTTGTATCAACGATGGCTGTCCAAACAACGTTCGAGAACGACTCTCTGGAACAGGCTGAAGGCCGAATATCTACAATTTCGTGAGAAGATTGTCCGTGCGAATGCCATTCCTCCCAGTCTCGACGGAAGACACGTTCGGGTGAACGTACTGAGTGAGGAGGAAGCCATCGATGAGAGAACGGGCAAGCCATACATTAACAACCTGATCCGCTCATGCCGGTACACACCCTGGAATTTCGTCCCCCGTCAACTCATGGCTCAATTTGGGAAGCTGGCCAATTTCTATTTTCTTTGTGTTTCGATTTTGCAGATGATTCCCGGTCTCAGTACCACGGGCACATATACCACCATTATCCCTTTGCTGGTGTTTGTGGCGATCTCCATGGCCAAGGAAGGTTACGATGACATCAGGAGACACCGTCTAGACAAGGAGGAAAATGCAAGGACTACACTGGTGCTCGACGTCGACCCGTCTCTCAGCGGCGCCGGTGACCTCGACTGGCAGAAAAAGAAGTGGGCGGACCTAAAAGTAGGTGACGTTGTACTGCTGAAGCGAAATGCTGGCGTCCCGGCCGACCTGGTGCTTCTGCGCGCCGACGAGCCTACTGGTACAGCTTATGTTGAAACAAAGAGTTTGGACGGAGAGACAAATCTGAAGTCAAAGAAGCCTTTGCCAGACGTGAGTGCTGCCTGTCAATCACTCGACGACATTGCGAATCTAGAAGCCGAATTCGTCGTCGAAGATCCTAACCTGGATCTTTACAAGTTCGACGGCAGAGTCACGATCAACGACAAGACACTCCCATTAACCAATACGGAAATCCTTTATCGCGGTAGCGTGTTGCGGAATACCCCTTCGGCGATCGGCCTTGTGATTTATTCTGGCGAGGAATGTAAGATACGGATGAATGCCAATAAGACCCCACGGGTCAAGGCACCGGCTTTGCAAGCCAAGGTCAACAGGATTGTTGTCTTGGTTGCCTCTCTGGTGTTCTTCATGGCCATCATTCTAACCGTCGCCTACCAAATCTGGCGCCGAACCACCGAGGACAAGTCATGGTATCTGCAATCTGCACGAGTTCCGTTTGGCCACATCCTCACTTCTTTCATCATCATGTTGAACACGATGCTGCCGCTCAGTTTGTATGTGTCACTCGAAATCATCAAATTGGCGCAGATGTTATTGATGAACGATATCGATATGTACGACCCGGACTCGGATACCCCGATGGAGCCGCATACTTCCACCATCAACGAGGAACTTGGCCAGGTCAGCTATATCTTCTCGGACAAGACTGGCACACTGACCAATAACTCGATGAAATTTCGAAAAATGAGTATTGCCGGTACCGCTTGGCTCCATGATCTCGATCTCCAAGAAGAAGCAGAGAACGAAGCCGGCCGGATGAAGCTGAAGCACAAGAAGAGGAGGGTGAAGGGGAAGGATGCAGTGTCAAAGAAGCAGAGACAGTCGCAGTCAACAGTGATCAGAAAATCTGCAGCTTCGTCTAGTGCTGCTATTGAGGTTGCGAAGCCTTCCGGCCAGGACGCTGACGAAGTCCAATGGCAGGCTCCTAACGATCTCAGCTTGACTTTGGAGACCGGGAAAACACAAGAACTACTCGACTATATCTACCGCCGGCCTAACACGGTCTTTGCACGTAAAGTCCGGTTTTTCCTCCTGTCCATGGCACTGTGCCATACCTGCATCCCGGAAAAGGACGACGATGGCAATATTACATATCAAGCTGCCTCCCCTGATGAGCTGGCTCTGGTATCGGCTGCACAGGATCTTGGGTACATTGTCACCGATCGACAAGCAAATACACTGACTGTCAAGACGTTCTGCGATGGTGATGAGCAAAACCCTGTTTACGAGACCTACGAAATCCTCGATGTAATCGAGTTCTCCAGCGCAAGGAAGCGCATGTCAGTTGTGGTTCGCTTCCCAGACCAACGAATCTGTCTGATAAGCAAGGGCGCAGACAGTGCTATCCGGAGGCTGCTGCGCCTTGCGGATCTGGCGGCCGCAAAAGTGCAAGCAGCGGAACGGCGGGCAATGCAAAGAAAGAGTCTCGAGGCGCAAGAAATGCTCCGGCGAAAAAGTGTACAATTCAGCCGGAAGTCGACCTCAGTGTATGGTGTGGAGGGAGCCTCACCACGACAGAGCAGTGTCTCGGTCGACCGTTCACGGAATACACGAGAAAGCATCGATATGTGGTTGAGGGAACGGGAGAATGATGTTGGACTGTCCACACAGCGAAGAAGCCTCCAGTTCTACACTCCACGGCCGTCAGCGCAGTTTGGTCCCCCTCGCCGATCGGAAAGTTTGAGAGAAAAGGGCCTGCAGTCGTCTCAGACAACACCCCGTTCGTCCTTGCAAGCAGATGAAAATGAAGACCTGGTAGAGGAAAGTCTCGTGGTGAACGACAACGCGGTTTTCGAGCGCTGCTTCCAACACATTGACGACTTCGCCACCGAGGGCTTGCGCACACTGCTCTACGGCTACCGATATCTCACCGAAGAAGAGTACAAGGCCTGGAAGAATGTCTATGCAGAGGCAACTACAAGCCTTGTAAATCGACAGGAGAAAATCGAGCAGGCGGCGCAAATAATAGAGCAGAATCTCGAGCTCCTTGGGGCGACAGCCATTGAAGACAAACTCCAGAAAGGTGTGCCCGACGCCATTGATCGGTTTCGTCGCGCCGGCATCAAGATGTGGATGCTTACTGGCGACAAACGCGAGACTGCCATTAATATTGGGCACTCTTGCCGGCTGATCAAGGACTATTCCACCGTGATTGTGTTGGATCATGAGCTTGGCGATCTACACGGTCGGATGGCATCTGCTGTTGCGCAAATCGGGAATGGCCAGACAGTCCACTCAGTTCTTGTGGTAGATGGCCAGACATTGACCATAATCGAGGCGGACCCTGCTTCTAAGGCCTTCTTCACAGATGTGGCCATCCGAGCCGATTCTGTCATTTGTTGTCGAGCCTCGCCGAGCCAGAAAGCATCTTTGGTGAAAACCATCCGCACTAAAGTGAAGGGTTCAGTGACGCTGGCTGTGGGTGATGGCGCGAATGATATCGCCATGATCCAGGAGGCCCATGTGGGCATCGGCATCGCAGGCAAGGAAGGCCTTCAAGCGGCCAGAACCTCGGACTATTCGATTGCCCAGTTTAGATTTCTGCTAAAATTGCTCCTGGTGCACGGAAGATGGAACTATGTCCGCATCTGCAAGTATACCCTGGGCACATTCTGGAAGGAGATGCTGTTCTATCTCGTCCAAGCCATCTACCAGCGGTGGACGGGGTATACAGGAACCAGTTTGTACGAGCCCTGGAGCTTGTCAATGTTCAATACCCTGTTTACCAGTCTGCCGGTGATCTTCATGGGCGTGTTTGAAAAGGACCTGGCGGCCTCAACGTTGTTGGCCGTCCCGGAACTCTACAACATTGGACAGCGCAACCGCGGCTTCAATTTCAGATTGTACCTCTGGTGGGCGAGTCTCGGGGCATGCGAAGCCGTGATTGTGTTCTTTATTATGTACTCGATTTACGGCATGGCATTGTTCACACGCGACCAGGATCTGTACGCGTTTGGATCGCTGGCATTCAGCGGCTGCGTGGTCGTCATTTCGTTGAAACTCCAGTTCATCGAATTGCACAACAAGAGCGTGGCGGCGGCAATAGCCATTTTTCTGTCGGTGGGCGGATGGTGGTTGTGGAACATTTTCCTCTCCTGCGTGTACCCGGACGATGTGGTCTATAATGTCCACCATGGGCTTTTGGAACGATTCGGCCGCAATTTGCTCTGGTGGATCACCTTGTTGCTGATTGTTCTGGTTGTGTGTCTGCTCGAAGTGGCTCTTAAGGCTTTCGGTGCTGTCTTTTGGCCCTCCGATGTGGATGTTTTTCAGGGCTTCGAGCAGGACCGCGAAGTGCGCAAACGCTTCGAGGAGGCTGCCGCCGATCTGCTCCAGCAGGGTTGGGACAGAGGCACTAAAAAGTCCAGTCTGGAGTTGGCGCGCGAAGCGGCTGAGCAGGCCGAGCGCGAAGCTCAGGTTCAAGAGCTGTTGAATAAACCGCGTGGGAATGTCGAAGACGGTCTACCATCACAGAGGCCAACAGCTTGGATGAAGAGAACGGCGTCAGGCGTCAGTGCGATTATGGGTGCTGCTGCTGGTGCGGGCGGCGTCAACGAGAGCAAATCCGTCAACAGGCCACAGCCACAGGAAAGCCAAGAAATGCAAGACATCTGTCCCATCGCCAGAAAGTCGGTCGACATTGGAGAGCTCTTCAGTAAAGGGTTTGGAGCGGTCCGCAAAGGACCAGATCTACGATGAGAGGCTTTGCAAACACAACACAGCACCTGTAAAGAATGCTGAACAGAAAGAAATTGATCGCGAGATACCCCCTTCGGTACCAGTATGGATAGACGATGATGATGCTATTGGGAGCAGGAGTTTTGTATATATCATTTTGGGCAACGAGAAACGACTACAACGTATATATTTGAAAAAGTTCAATATTTCCAGAAGCATTCCCTTAGCCACCATTAATAAGTCAGTACTGGCAAAGCATGCATGTACTCCTCTCTCGAGGTAGGGTAAGCTTAGGGTAGCGGAAGCAGTCTGATAACCATAATGATAGAGCTTCGATAGCAGAATCTCACACCTAGTACGAGTCACCTCTCTTCACGCAATTGGTCCAAATCCCCTCACACTGCATCCCCTTACAAATTGTGTGAAGAGAGATGACTTGTACCAGTGCATGTAGTGAGCAGAAGCAGGACCTCGGTAGTAGCCCAAGTATGGTAAATCCAGGGTAGGCAAGCAGTCTGATAATTTGAAACATATAATAGAGCTGTGATGGACTATCGATAGCAGCACCTGGTGGAGTACTATACAATGGCATTGTACCTAGGTAAGTGATACGTATGCTGGCGGAGCATTCGTCGAACTTGAACCACAGCTGTGGTACTACTACTGTGTACCGATTAGTCGTAACATTTTTATCGGAGCCGTGGATGCCTCCTTTACTCGGCACGATACAGTATGCGTTGGGCCACACTGCACTGCAAGCTGAGTCAGGAGTACGTCGTACGGAAAAGAAAAAAGTCGAGGCGAATATTCAGAAGAACAATAAAGGGGGCGGAGCCGAGCGACACCCGCACCGCCCACAATTTGTGGTGCCAATGCCGGTGCCCTGAAACGTTCGAGCCAGCCTCGTCCCGGAAGAAACAATGGAAACGAATCGTTCTGGAATAGTAGTACTAGTATGTGAAGGCAACATTCGACGCGACGATGATGCAGCGTAGTTCCCGTGTGTGTGTGAGAACTACATGCCCGATACTGGGAGTGGAGGCTGCGGCGGTGAGCAACGAAGGTGATACAAAACGGCGGGCCCCTGCAGCAGGTCAAGTCACACGTATGAGTACATTGTACAGCGTATGTCAGCAACTGTGTGTTTTCATCGTCTTTTACTATAGTTGATGTTGTATTCTTCCAAGGCTGGCGATGGCTGTACAATGTTGTATCAGGAAGTCCCCTTAGAAAATGGGTTTGTTCTCCAGTCTTCTTGTCATCGAGGACAGCTTGAACATCACAATAGCAGTTCATTATTGGCAGCGGTCAGTTGATGAGGTCAACAGTGAATGAGGCTCTCGAAGTCCATCCGTCGAGTAGGAGGAATCGAGTGGGTGGTTAGAGGTTCGTTTTATGTGACGCCCGTCAACAGCGAGTCGGGTTCGTCGCGCTGCGAGTTGAAGTCAGTGGCTCGTTTTGTTTGACAGATGTCAGACTGGCATGTGGCCGTCAAAGCAAACAAGCAAAAGAGAGTTCGCGAGGCTAAGACAAGAAGCTCGGATGCAATGTCGATGACAGTGATCGATGACAGCTGTCGACAGTAGACTGAATCCCAAAAAATAAACATAGCTACCTTAGGCTGAATCACCACGAGGCTGAACATGTACTTTGGTTTCTTGATTGGAATGTACTGATACTGTCATGTTTTGTGTTCTCAAAACGAACCTTGACTTGAAATAGGGCCCAGTGATACAGTATGTGATGCCAGTGGTGTGACGCCGACGACGACGACCTCTGCTTCGAGACGAGGATCGTGTCGTTCAGCGCGGCGCAGGCAACTTCAAGCTGCGAGTTTTGGAACACAGACTGGCGCGTTTTTGCGGCGAGGTGCCGCCTTTGCCAAGAGGATTCAAGCTTGATCAGGACTGGCGTCAGTCTGGATAAATGAGGGTCTCAGACTGACCCAATGAGCAGGGCGCGGGACCTGGCGTACCTGACGCTTGACTTGTTTTGCTCTAGCACGCGTGCCAGGGGGACATCAAGCCACATCAAATTGGATTGCATGCAATTCCTGCCTGCAAACCTCCCATCGTCGTCGGCTGCTGCACTGCAAAGTATGCTTGCAACTTGAAGCTCCCGTATTCCTGGCTTGGACTCAACGGCCTTCATCTCAGACGAGAGGGAGACGGCCAGGAACAACCTTCATGAGGTCATCTCTGTCACTTTGACATCCGTACCAGCACTGCATCGGGAGACAACAGGTCTCTTTTTTCGCCGGCTGAAGGTACACTGGACACTTGCTAAACGCTCCACCTGACGCCTCAGACACCTTGCTCGGCCCACTGCCTCGCGTTGTACGGTTAAGGCGGTGCTTCGCTACGCAAAAGGCCTTGATACGCGAACCACCTCTCCTTTCCGTCCCTGTCGAAGGCCTCCTCAGTCAAGACTACATTGCCGCGTGCTTGCTGCCATTCGGGCTGTCGTCTCAGTGCCAAGATGACAGAATGGATTGCTCCAAAGAACATGAGCTCGAGATTCTCCCCGATGAGGTAACGGAAAGCAGCTGACGGCGACCGAAACGCCTTAACAGCCCTCCGAGTCCCTCACCTGCAATCGGACCCCGAAACCTGTATCGGCCTTTTCTTCCAGCAAGTGGCGAGCTCCGTTTCGGGGCATTACTATCGCTCCAACGAACTATCGTAGCGTTTCCATGCACGACATTCATGGTCGACCAAAACCCCTGGGCCCGTTGGATCTTCAGGGGCAGAACTTGCTGTGCGACAGACTTCCGATTTGTACGCCTACATCTTGTAACTTCCTCTCGGGCAAAATACTTGCAAGTAACTTAAGTTCGGCATAAGAGGAAGCACGCTGCAAGATAGTCTGAGAGCAGTGACTTCTTCTCTTTGCGTCTGACTGGCTAGATGGCGAATAACAAATACGAACGACACTGCATGTCCTGCATGAATGTGCGGCTCATCGGGCGTCAGAGTACTGACAGGCTTGAAAGCAGATCATGACCGCCCTCATGCCGTCTTGGATCGACTAGATGTTCCTATCTGACAATCGAAATCGGTCTCCTTGAGCCGCCAACTGCCAGTGGTGTCTACATGGGTCAATGATGAGCATTACCTGCTGAACTTAACCAGTGAGCATCATCGACGTTCTGGTGCACAGGCACTGACTCCATAAGACAGAAAGACCAAAGAATGGGGAAGGACTAGACGACAACTACAAGCCCCTGACGATAACCGTCTCATGACTCGGGTAGGTGTTGAGCAGCGGCTCCGTCTTTGCCCTGTAGTAGGACAAATCCCACCGGTCTCGATGTGGCCAGCGCACAACGTCTGATGCAGAGCCAGGTCCTGGGTGACATGATGCTCTCAGGCATTAATGATTTCAAAATGGTCAACTGCGGATGTGGCTCTCGTGGCGATGAACGTGACTTCATGTCTCGGACGCGTGCCAGCATGGTTACAGCGTAAAAGAAGTAGTTGGCGTTTGAAGGTGACGCAGAAGACAAATCCAATGGCAGTGGTCAAGAGCGTTGAAAATTCAGACACCAACACAACGGCCGCTTCAGCATGTCAGGCTGGCCGTCAGGTTCGAACGCCTCCTCGCTGTTGGGTCGAGGGTGGTGCGTATCCTATACACAGTATACCGACGTACCTATGCCCCTTTCCCGAAGCCATGAAGAACTAACCCCCAGTACCTGCCGAACTGCGACACCTACCTTACCCACCTCGTCCGACCCATCCGTCAGGGTTGTTTCTGGGAATACGCGCCGGTGGATTCGACCGCAACAAATCAGTCGATGTTGTGACATGGGGATGTTTTGACTTGCTACTCCTGGAAGCGTTTGGCGCGTCAGACAAGTCCCCAGACCACGACGCGTGAGTGGCCAGGTCTGAGCGTGGCCGGCAGGTCGGTGGTCGGTGCGAACAAGGTTCAGGCGTGTTGTGTGTAACCAGAGAGCTAGACTGCTGGAGGTCTAGCATATCGTCAGACACTGCAGCCGGTGGATGTGGATCTGTCCTAACGCTTCGAGAAAGGGAGAACGGGAGAGGATGGAATAGGCCAACCTAAGGGCTGGGGGCAAGACGGCGAGACTGGAGCACTTGAGAAGGCAGGCTAGATGACGCCCTCTGGGCCTCACCGGGACCACTTGTAGCACCTCGCAGGGGTTGGACCACCGTAAACCACCCCTGGAAGTGCCCCCACCGGAGCTTGGGCCTCAAGGCTTAGGGAGGCTTTTCACGCTCCGGGCCCGACAAGCTTCTGGTACAAGTGGTGAGCTGGAGTGCTTTGCAGTAGTGGTCAGGGTGGTGTTGTACCTGCAGAAGCGCGCGTGCTGGGCCGGCAGCTAACCTTAGCATCCCACTGCCGACCGACTCCTAACCGTAGCAGGACTGCTAGTACGACTGAGGCTGCCCAGTCTCGGGGCTTTGTTGCAGTGCTGGAGCAATGAGCGTGCAGGACTGGTGCTCCAGTCTCCCAAGGGCTTTTAGAGGCCAGCCGCCCGCCAGTCAGCACGGGCGATTGAAGCACTAACAGCTCGACACTCTCCACCGTCATTGGCAGGCCCGGCGTGTTAGCTGACTGGCGCTCGCCCACTACTGGCACCTCCTGCTTCGCTGGGCCTCCTCCCTTATTGTCTTGCTGCCGTCCACCCCGATTCCTCTTTTCTTCCCCCGTTCTCACCGTCGCCGACCTGTTCCATCTCTGGTCACACATCTCAACTACGTTCTTTCTTTTACTTGTCTTGTTTAACATCGTCTCGCCTCGAGCGTGCCTTTCACTCTTTCAAGGCCCTCGACCACATTCATTAGGCTTTGTGTTTTCAGTTCAACCCTAGTCGGTCATTACCAGTTCACACTGCACCCCTTTTCGAAACAGCATTCGAACTCGAACTTCGGCATTCAAGGAACTGCTCAATCGATTACAATACAACTCTGCTGCTTGGAACAGCTGTGCATTACCAAGTTCTCCTCTTCGGCTACTACAGCTCCAGCACCGACCAGCATTTCATTCCTTACTAGACCTCAGAGAGACTACACCGCCTTGCCATAGGCATGAACAACGACGCGACGGATAACATGTCCTCGGACCTAAACGACATGTCGCCTGTATCGACTCCGTCATCGCCCTCACCGGCCCCCCAAACCACTCCTGCCACTTCTGGTAGCTCTGCCTCGGGCAGCACACAAGCTCCCAGCTCGGCACCTCGCCGGCCACCCCGGAAGAGTACCCTGACACAGCAACAAAAGAACCAGAAGAGGCAGAGGGCAACGCAGGATCAGTTGGTGACCCTGGAATTGGAGTTCAGCAAGAACCCAACTCCCACGGCTGCCACGCGTGAACGGATTGCCCAGGAGATCAACATGACCGAACGATCTGTCCAGATCTGGTTCCAGAACAGGTGGGTAAACCATGCATCGATGCACTTTATGTAAGGTTGACTGACGTTGGATATAGCCGTCGTCGGGCAAAGATAAAGATGCTTGCGAAGAAGGGCTTGGACAATGGTGAAGATTGTGACATGCCAGAATCCTTGAGGCAGCTGCTGGCCATGCAGGCCATGGAATCTGGCAGACCATTCCCACGACAGCTACTCGGCCGACCTGGTGGGCCGATGGCCCAATATGGAAGCGGTGGCATGTTGATGAATGGCGACCTAACGGGTCAAGGCAAAACCGGTATGTGACTGTTGATGAATTGTTACAATATCTCTTTACTGACGTGTCCAAAGTCATCCAACACCTCACCTGTCGCTCCCTGAGCATTGGCACCTGGCGCCGAGTCGGGCAGAACGCCATGGACCTGGTCATTTTCTACTCTCCCGACAAGGCCTGCATCACCTACTATATCAACAACGATTCTGCAGGCTACAAAATCGAATACCCCTTCGCCTACATCAAAAGCATTCAATTGGAACCGGGTGACACGGCTCCGAATGCAAACGGATCTCCTCCACGTCTGGGCGGGCTGGTCATTGAGCTGACCCGGCCTCCCAATTTTCACATGGACTCTTCCGGCTCAGGAGGCTTCTACCAATGTGGTGACTTCACCGAAGATCAACAAGCATCTCAAGTTTTGACTCACCATTTGGGAGGCCATCCGAAAGTACTCAGTGGCCAGCTTGCCAAGTTGGTTTCGCTCGAATCTTTCCAGAACAGACATAGTCCATTCGACATGGCCGCCATGCCAGCGTCGGCTCCTGTTTCTCCAACCTTGGGCATTGTGCGACCGGCATCTCAGCCGTCGGTGCAATTCGCCCGCCCCCACCATCCTCCTCATGTGGGAATGTTCCAAGAACAATATGGCGTTCATCCCCATCTTCATCCCTCCCGAATGCACCCTGGGCACAAGCGACAACGCTCGCGCTCCGTTCCAATCGCCCTGGACTTTTCCATGCTGCATGGCCCCATGCCGACTTTCCATGTTCAGCAACCCTCGCCTCAACTTATGCATGACAACCACAACCCCTTCCAGTCCTTGCCACAGCAAGCCGTCCAGACCCCGATCGGGCCAACTCTACAGATCGATACCTCTGCTGGGTACGGCATGGACTTTAGACAAATGCCCATGTCTGCCACAGCCACCTCGCCGTCGGAATTCGCCAGTCCGGGCTTTTACCCTTCGAATCCGGCTCAAGCTCCCATGTCAAGCTCTGAGTTTGGCACTCCGCAACAATTCAACGTACCGTTCCTCTCACCATCTCCCATGGTCGACCCGCACATGATGCCTACCTCAATGTCTCCGTTGTCTCACATGAGTCACGCAGATCCCGTCATTGCCGACCATTCGCCACCCTTGTCTGGCATGCACCGAAGTGCTTCGGCCGACATGTTCAGCATGGGCCATGAGCACAATGGGATGATGGACGAGACGCTGATGTTGGGCGAGATGTACTCGAAGCAAAACCTGAACATGCCCATGCCTAGTCCCGGATATGATGAAAACGGACTGGCCATGATGACCGACATGTCCGAATTCCACACACCCCGGGAACACATGGACATGCCCATGACGCCGTTCGGGACCATTGACCCCAACTCGTTGCAGGGCAGTCTACACTAGCATGTCCGCCGAGACTCTCCTGTAACAGATTGAAACGACCTTATGCCTCTCATCTAGAAAAGCCGGACTGAAACACAGTCACGGCTTTCTTGCACAATTGGATTAACATTCAATTCCAGCCCTGTCCGGACGGTGCTCAACCTCTTTTTGCCGACTTGTTACATATATCTGTTTTTGTTAGTATGCGCAGGCCATAGTCGCCGGCAGTCTGATAGCGTGGATAGCTGTCACTTCTGTTCTGTTTTTGTTTGTCGGTTTGGTTTTTTGTTGTCTAGTGACGTGGTTATGCATCCGAAACGATTTCTTTGGTTGGTGCCTGATAGGAGGGGTGGTTTGGAAGAGTAGTCAAAAGCTTAGGAAGCGAGCGCTTCCGGCTGAATCGAATCTGGCGTCTCAAACTCGGCTCCATCTTGGTTGATTTGTTTCCCTTGTCCATCCATGATTGAGTCGGCCGCTACGAGTCTGCCAGTACAGGAGCCATCGTCATCACTTCGTCGAGCGCCGGCATCGGCATTGGTGTGAATTGTCGAGGGTGAAGAGGTGAAAGCACACAAACAGGATTCATCAGGAACTGAAGTGAACTGGGGGGCGATAGGTGTTTATAATATTTTGCAGTCTTCAATAAACAAAATGAGGATCTACTAGAATAGAGGCAATCTTTGTCGCATCTGGGGCAACAAGCGTTTCAAATTTCGTTGCCAGATTGGCGTAAATTGCTAGAAATGAGCTTCAGGTTTGTTTGTATATCAAAGTCTCCAGATTGTTTGGGCGTCGTCAAGGGAGGCGTAGGCTGGAAATCTCTCTGGGAGTGGCTTGTAATCTCGTAATCTCCCCTGGGGGCTCCAGCGTGGTTTGGGCGTTGGTTGCTCAGCCTGATCCAGTTTAATTTGCCCAATGGTGGAGGATGAGGCTGAGGCTGACTGAGGGGGTCATGGCTCACACGGGCTTGGGCTTGGTGTCGAGGGGCAACACTCGTGATTACCATGGTAAAAGGGGTACCTCAGGCTGAGGCAGAAATTGGGTGCAATCTGGGTGTACTCCTAGTGATCTGGAAGTAATCTGGCCAATGTGGTACCCAACTGCTGCTGGAGATTGCGCACAGGTACTGTTGGCCGTACTAGTACCGCTCAGCTCCACTGTCATAATTGGTTGTGAGATTGCATCAGTGTCCACTAATATCAAAACACAGTCGATTACCTGGTACAACACTGTGCTGTATCTGGACTATTAAGGTACTTGGGGGCTGTTGATAGATCTTGAGGCTGAGGCTGAGATTGATGCTGACGAGGCTGTGCCCTGCAGAACGATCGACGCTGCCCTGCAGTCGAAGCTAGGTGTTCGTATAGGAAATGGAGATCATTTCAAGTTTCCTTTGTTGTGGTTCTTTCTGGAGACTGGACCACCGCAATCACAATTTCTTTGGGCGGTGGCGTTGGTTACCTAGGTATCTACCTTGCTGATATTGTCGTCGATGAGCGTTCGCCGTTTGGTGGAGTTGTGTGTTGTGTTGTGATGGTGCATACGTATGCACCGCTACGAGTACTGGCAACAACATGTTTGTATGTTCATCAGGGTGGAAGCAGTTCAGCTACCCGAGATGAAGCCACTGTGTACCATTCCAGATATGACCGAAATGAACTCGCTGCAAAGTGCTCCTCGACATGATTTTATTCGACTTTCTCTTGTCAACAACGTGGCAGTGACAGTCATTTTATTGACAGCAGGTGAGATGTTGGGCAGAATTTTAGGTGAAATTGGCGGCGCTTCGCTTCGCTCAAGAGCCTGAGGTGAATTATTGACAAATCAGGGAGGCATTGCACTTCAAGTTTCTTGGATGTAGGGTTTGTTCGATAAGATATCAACAGCCAACATTGCGAACACCCGGGTGTACGTGTGTATACGTGTACAGTATGTCTTGCGCTGTTGTCTCATCTTGCATCTGCGGCGCGCGAGCTGTACCGGATCTCGCTGGACAGGCCAGTCTCCTGTCGGAGTTGGTGTTCTTTTCATGACGGACGGAATTGGACTTTCTGGATGGAACAGATTTTTAAAATCGGAGAATCGCAAAGGTGCTGCTCTTGTTGCTGCTGCAATGGCGGTGTCTGTGTTTCCAGTTCTCGTCGCGTGCCATTTGAATAAGGTACCTGTCGCTGGGTAGGTCATATATCCTAACCACGAGGTGGAAATGGAGCCTGAGGCAAAGTTTACTGCAATACGGCTTGTTCTGCAAGCCATGGGTCTGAGCATAGCGCTGTGTGTTCAACCTCAGCGTCAGCTTCGGGCTCTTGCACCAAGTGTCACGGTACCCGTTCGTATATGGACACGTCGACCGCAAGACGATGGTGGGGATAGTGCAGTATACCGCCACCTGTTCCCCGTGGTACGAAGTTCTGCATAAGAACACTGGTGCACTGGCTAGGGCGGTACCCTTTTTCTTCCAATCCGTCGCCACAGCCCGAGCCTCTTGGCCATAAGACTTGGACGCAGATTTCGACACTGACCACGACGTCCAGGTCGTCCCATAGGTGATCGCTGGGTTGATTGTGCAGAATGGAGGGTCCATAGGTAAGCGAGGCGTTCGCTCGAACAGATAATGCATAACTGAATTCTTGCCCCTTCTGCTTCCAGAGTTCGTGGAGGGCTTTCGACGTGTGTGCCTACGCCGCGATGCCGCCGAAGGAGGCCTCCATTGACGGTGAATCATAAAACCTACCCTTGCATGACCGGTTCGTTCCGGTTCCAGCGTCGTAATCTGTAATATGATTACCAGGCGAATGGAACAAATGCTCCTCACATCAACCGGAGAATAAATTCGACAGATTATTCGTCTGCCTCGACATTGTTGTTGTTTCACACTCCCCAGATCCCCAGGGGATCCTCTCCTCCTGCATCGCCGCTTATCGTCCGCCGAGCTTGTAACCGCTTAACGCGCCTAGCCAAAATTCCGAGCGCCAGAGGGCCGACAATCGTGCACAGCAGAATTGCCCAGGTCACGATCAGATAGATATCCGACTCTAGGTTCTCGCTGCTGTTGGTGGACGAAGACCCATTTGTGTCTCCGGAGCTGTTGAAAATGCCGTTGGTGGCTGCCAGCGCTGAGATCAAGAATCCAATTTCACCCCGTGCCACCATGGCGCAGCCGAGCAAAGAAGCCGGGTAGAGCGATTTTGGTCTGGAAAAGGATGTGAGAGCAGTTCTATTCTGTCCGTGTTGCTTTCGATGCTGCTGCTGCTGCTGCTCATCGTTCGGCGCATGTGATGGCGGTCCGGTTCGTCCTGATATGGTGGACGCTCGTGCAAACCGGATCAGCCATGCTCCGCAGAACAGCTTGCCTAGTGTCATTAGAATGGCGTAGACGAATCCTCGCCAGATGATGGAGCCTTGAAACATTTTGGTGATGGGAATCGAGAAGCCAATGGATGCCTGTTCGTTGCGCAAAGAGTTTCATCAACTACATGAGCTGTCTGACTGCACAATAGCAGAGAAGCAGGCAAACAATGTTACTGGCACTTACAAAGAAGAATGGTTTCAAGATCCGCTCGACTGCAGGACCATAAAAGCTTTCGTACATGGTCAACACGCCACTGTTAGTGTCTTGCGCGGGTGGCGCTGTACCCAGCGTTGGCACGTCGTCGTGCTGATGTTTGTCTCTTACGTCCTTTTCTGGAGGAGGCGTCGGCAGACGAGAAGAAGTCGCTGAACTGATATGGTCGTCGTCATGACCCTTCTTAGCCGTTGCTGGGTCACCAACACCTTGTTCGCCATCCCTGGCTGCCCGATGAGAGCCAGATTGTTTTGGGGCCTTTTCTGCCGCCTTTCCAAGACTCTGAGACGAGCTTCCTCGGTCAGAAGTCGAAGCTTGAGGCGATCCTATGTGCTTTAGAGTGCTGTCGAACCACGTCACGCAAACCCCGGCAAGGTATGCTGCAAAGAGCCCAGAGGTGCCTGCATAGCTAGCTGCGCTGACCAGACCTACCAGCAAGGCTGTAGAAAGGAGGAAATATACTGCAGACTCTGAGACCAAACGGTTCCCCCTACAAGAATCCACAGCCTTCGTAATCGCGCTAGAATGGTGAATCCAGATTGGCTTAACTAGGAATCTGCAAGCCAGCGGGAGAATAAGTGCAAAGCCGACACTGACAAGAATTGGCCGTATAACAGTAGTGGCATGGATAGATTGGTTGCCAGATCCAAGATTGGAAATGACCTGTACCATGATCAAGCCGACAACATCATCAAGCATCGCTGCACTGGTCAAAACTGTGCCGAGTCGACTATTGGTCAAGCCAGTCGTCTTCAAGATGCTGAAAGTTGTCCCAAGGCTCGTAGAACACAGGGCTGCTCCGGCAGCAAATGCTTGAAGATTGCTAGCATCTGCAAGGGCTAGAAGCGAGAAGGAAAACGCGATGGGCAGAACAATCCCGGTGATTGCGACGCAGCTCGAAAGGAATAGTGTGGGTTGTACTGATTTGGAAGAGGTTGACAGACCTCCTTCGAAGACAATGACAATCAGTCCCAGATACCCCAGCTGCGTGGCCACTTCTTCAAGTTGACGGGAGAGTATTTTGGCCCCTGGTGTTCCCCACGCCATGCCAATAAGTACCTGTCCAACGAGCCCGCAGTAGAAGACATTGTCGAGGACTGTATTAACAATGTTCAGGGCGAGAAGGAAGGACGCCTGGATTAGGATGGTAACAATACCAGGCTCCTCATATGGGAGGGCGGCCTCTGCCATTATATATGGCGGCTCGCTGTTTTGGTATGTCGCAAGAAGACTCCATGAAAACCAAGAGACTTAGAGGGCCAGACTTGGGAGAGAGAAGCCGTCAATAATGAGGTAGGACGTGGGATTATGCAATGTTTAGCATCACTAAGAGAACTTTAGATGCAGGCTCTACAGAAGGTCTGCCGAGACGATATGATGACTAATTGGTGAAGCATGAAGACGCGGACCTGATTGGCTGCATGTTCACTTTATGGTAGATTCGCAGCCTGCTCTGGAACTTTTTGTCCAGTGCCTTCAGTTCGCGACATTGCGCTGCGACAGACACTCGTGTGTCTCGATCTCGCCGTGAATCCGCGGTCTCATTCAGTTTCCTATCAAAATCGTTGCAAATATGTTGTGCGCAAGTATGTCAATGGCCCTGAGCACCCTTCTCAATCATCCATTCTGACAGCTCGCAGTTTCCGGGGAAAGACCTCAGGTGCCCGTTGCTTCGCGCAAGAGTGGTGAGTGCGGTCGGCGCAGTACGGTGTAATTGTCTGACTCGGTCCAGGCCGCGTATACGAGAAGCGTTTGATCGAGGCCTATATCAGCGAGAATGGCACCGAACCGGAGTCCGGAGAGGCTCTCACAGTTGAAGATCTTATCGAGCTCAAGACCGATCCTACGGTCTATCCGCGGCCACCACAAATGACCTCGATACCCGCTATGCTATCTTTCTTCCAGAACGAGTGGGATGCTTTAGCCTTGCAGACATACACACTACAAAAAGAACTGGAACAGTCCCGGAAAGAACTTACGGTGGCCTTGTACGAGAACGATGCTGCTGTACGAGTTATTGCACAACTCACCAAAGAGCGAGATGAAGCGCGGGAAGCCCTCGCCAATGTCAACATCGGAAGAGCAGCTCCCACCAGTACAAATGGCGATGCTATGCAAGTGGACAGTGCTCCGCTGCCTGCGGCCATTTTGGAGATGATTGACAGTGTGAAAGAAAGGTATGCAACCGTGCCACTTAACTCGATTTGCCTACTGACGTCTGTGCTAGTTTGTCCAAAACGAGACGAAAGCGTCCTGTTCCAGATGACTGGGCTTCGTCCGAAGAAATCTCAAGCTATAACACCACCACAACCTCAGAAACGCCCTATCCTGGCGGCACCGTACTCAGTGTACATTCCGCTGGAGATTTGGTTCTCGTTGCCGGGGATGGCAGTACGGCAGGAGTTCTTTCTCTGTCAGAAAACAGAATAGTGCAGACTTTGGAGGGCGGTCCAGGTTCTGTAACCAGCGGTCTTTGGGCCCATGACAAAGCTGTCATTGCTCTGTCTACTGGCGCAGTTAAAATCTTTGCAGGAGGGCAAGAGACATCTTCATTCTCTGTCCATGCCGGTAGTGCCACCTCTGTTGCGCTGCATCCTAGCGGTAGCATTTTGGCCTCGGTGGGTGAGGACAAAACCTACGTGCTCTACGATCTTGATTCGGCACAGGTCCTCTCCCAAGTGCAAAGTAATTCAGGTATGTTTGCTCCACGCATATGTGCGGATCGTTATCTTCTGACACCATACAGCTCTCAATACTGTGCAATTCCACCCTGATGGCCATTTGTTGGCTGCTGGTGGCTCGGATTCGCAGATCAAAATTTTTGATGTCAAGTCTGGAACCCAAGCGGCTACGTTTGACCTTTCCGGACCAGTCAAATGCATCTACTTCTCTGAAAATGGCACTTGGCTTGCAGCAGTGGCCGAGGATTCGTCCCTGATTTCAGTTTGGGATCTACGAAAGGCCTCCGAAATCAAGACTATCGAAACCGGCAGTCGGATCAACTCAGTTAGCTGGGACTATACAGGGCAATTTTTGGCAGCCGCAGCAGCAGACGGCATCACAGTCGAGCAATATTCCAAGGCTACCAAGGAGTGGTCGCAGATCCTGAAGAGGGGCGTCCCTGCGACGAGGGTTGCCTGGGGTCATGGCGCACACAGCCTGATCACCCTCAACAAGGGAGGAGAGGTGACCAAGTTGAGTGCTCAGCACAGTTGAATGCCCATAACCTGGGATGTACGAGTAGAAGATCACGGAGACAAGAAAAGTTGCTTTTGATACCCATCGGTTGACTGGTGGCAATAGTCTGGATGACAAAGGCCTGTTTGATGAGCGGTAGGATACTCTACAAAAGGGAGACATATTTTTAGATCTCCTGCTCGTTTGATCTCACATCCTTTGTCTGATGTCACGCTTGAGGTGCTGAGAGGGAAAATAACATGATGACCGGTCATGGTGCTCTGGAAATGAGAATGAGGACCTGTAGTTGTATATAGCGGTTGAGGACTGTATTACTCAGCCTTGTGGCTTCCGAGGTTTTGATGTGGCGTTGATGAATTCCAAAGTTGGAGAAACTGACGGGAGCCAAGGGCACGTCATACACGGGTCATTACAGTAACATTACGGCTGATACTGACGAGCACCGCGGCGTGGCGGCGGATATCGCAGTCATTACTGGTAATTCCAATTCAATTCAGGCTGGACTGCAGGTCGCTTTCACTTCCGCCACGGCAAGTTTGGCTCTTCTTACAACGACATTCCGACCTCAACCTTGAAACTCCTCGTTCAGCCCTTTACCGAATCCCACTCCACTGCCTGAGTGTACCAGCACTTTCACTTGACCCAGGGACGCAATTTCGAATGCACCGGCGCCCTCTTTGTTGGCACGGATAATATGCCTTCAAATCCAACGCTTTCTTTGAGCAACTTCCTCAATTCCGCAGCCTCTTCCAGTCGAAAGGTACGCCCGATGGCTCGCTCTCAACATTCACTGCGGCGGCCCTTCAATGAAAATCTAGTGACATGAACTAACCCATTATTATAGCGACCACACGCTGAAATCACCCGATCGGAGAGTCGCAGCATTAGTCCGAACCTACCTTCAAAACGCCGTCGTATCAGTCGGTCCATGAACTCGAGCCTCTTTTCTACTTCCTCTCCTACACCAACACCAACGCCTACCTCTACCGTGACGAGGTCTGAACGGGACGGCTACGACTACCGATATCCTGTCATGTCCTCACATACTACAAGGGCTTCTCAAGGCGCAACTGGTGAGACAATCGATCTTACCGCCGACAGCGATAGTGATGACGACAATGACACTGCCTCTGAACAATTACAGCCTGCCTCCAGGCAGCCTCCTCGGAGAAATCCGCAACCACAACAAAGACCACGGCAGTCACGCTCACGACCTGTTCCGCATGGGGGTGCACCGCCATTCGACAGAAGAGTACAACCAGAGTCGCTGGAAGTGATAGATCTGCTAGATGATTCGGATTATCAGACAGAAGAAAATGATGAGGAGCGCCAAGTTCTTTTCGATGGCGACTCTGATACAGGCTATGAGAGTCCAGACGACGTCCAGATTGTGGATGAGAGACCTGCTCTACCGGGCAACCCAAGACCGACTTCAACACGACCTACGACCCGACGACCTTCCCCACGACAATCAGCCCGGCCGACATGGGCAAACATTCCAGATATGATCCGACGGAGTGGCCAATACATGTTTGGTAATGCTGCGAATATCAACGAAGTTCTTCTGAACCGGCTTGATGGGCTACGAGCACGGACGAATGATGATCGACAAGACCATGGGGCTCGGGACGACGGTGTAGGCAACTTCATCATCAACCTCGACTACAGACAACCCGCTTTTGCTCTTGGTGGCCTTGAAATCTACGACCGCAGTTCAGAGACACCTCAGGGGCCCGGGATCGGAGACGCTTATAAAGCGCCTCCTCCGCCACCGCAGGGATTCATACGCACTTTCGCCGAAGACGATGTCGTGCTCTGTCCTATGTGTGGTGATGAATTGGCAACCGGAAAGGGTGACACGAAACAGCAAGTCTGGGTCGCCAAACAGTGCGGACATGTAAGTTGCTTTTGACGGCGGCGTTCCCGCTACAGTATCACTAACATCCTGTTCAGGTCTACTGTGGCGAATGCGCTACGAACCGATTTTCCAGCAAATCTCGCAAGAAGGACAAGAAAGCGGCTCCGTCCAAAGTCGTCCCTTTCTCGGAATGCAACATCGATGGGTGCAAGACCAAGCTCAACAACAAACATGCAATGTTCCCTGTCTACTTGTAGCGAGAGGTCTTTTCGAAATCGGGGCAACATAGTATTACCCCTGTCATTATCCGAGAAGTCCTACTGATGTGCCTGTCCATGGTAACTCGTGGCCAGGTGCAATATTAAATGGGTCAAAGAGACTCAACGATGGATACCCATGAGGGACGAGAACGAGACCATGAAGAGCAATGGATACTTTCCATGATAAAATGCTTTATGATACGAACGGCTTGGTTTTGATATTTTTAATCATGCAAGGCAGAGAAAGCCATAAGAGGAGAGCGAAGCGTTAGATACCTTAGCTGCCAATGGCAATACTGCATGTGATGTGCTGCTATGATACTGCGATTTCTTTCTTCATCTGAGTTTTGACCCCGTGTGTTCGTGCGCATGCAGGTGTTTTTCCGCCATTTGACTGTGAAGTAGAATTGTGAGCTCATCTGCATCTTCAGGGCCAAGGACGGCCACTACCACTCGTCTTGATGGCTTCTGCGAGCCCTGAACGCTGATGGAGATGAGACCCTTCTTCCTGCAGTGGTAGACTTCCTCTTGCATCAGACAGCGTCCTTCAAGATTTGGCATTTGTCACACTGATCAAAGGTAAGATGCAGATGCGTCTGCTGGTTGTACATCCGCCAATGCCGTCCATGAATGTTTTCTGCTCATTTGGTCTCCTCCCGCAACGGCGTGATCTGTTCGCTCCACGCTGGGCAGCCTGATCTCCGTTCCTCGAACTGAACGCCCTCTCCGAAGGGGCTAGTTTTTGGTGCTCTCTCAATCCCGTGATCGCCATCGTCGACTTCAAACGTCGCCATACCTATACCTGGCCCTTTATGCAGTTCGTTCTCCAGGCGTTGATGTCCAATGCTCTCCATTGCCTCCAGGTAGCGTAGTGTAGTGTAACGTAGTAGATTGTACTTCCACTTGCGCTTCCGCTCTATCGCTCCCATGCCATCTGGTAGTCGAACCGCAGCATTACGCTGGAGTTCAAGGGTCAATGAGCGACCTATCCACTACTCGCTCGTTCGCTTTCTTTTTTTGTTCGTAACACAGTCCCGAAAAACGAACCCAGGGTAACCCTTTCCCCTAATACGCCATTCTCTTATGCTTTCAAACCCTTCCCTTTTTAAATTCGGATTTAAATATCCTTAATCCCACCATGCATAGGACTCCAAATGCCTCTAACGTTCTCATTCGTCGAAATCACCTTCTTCCCCTTAATCAGCTCGTTCTTCTTGCCACTGTTGGCGATCAAAAACTCGGCCTTTTTCAGGATCTGTTCCTTCTCCAAGTTCCGCACACAGACGGCCTTTTCCCGCCCGTTGATGTAGTACGCCTTCAGGATCGGATGTCGGTTAGGTCGCGGCGAGATGCGGAACTCGGTGCCGGGGTATTTCGAGGTGAATTGGCTCAGGAGGGGGGATGTCAGGAAAGATTTCATGCCCCGTGATGATCCGGCCCAGTCGCAGTAATGGAAGTCGAGTCGTTTGCATTGGAGAATGAATGCGCCGAGGCCGTTCTAGAATACATTGTCAATAACGCGCAACCAACAAAAAGAGAGGGCAAATAAATAAGTCAATGACACTCCCCAGCTGTACAGATCAAGTGGAGGAAAGATAAAAAGTGTCTCTGTGAGCTGAACGCAGTCTTTTCTTTTGCAGGGGCTTGGAGTTCAATGGAGCAGTGAACATGAGAAGACAAGTGCGTTGCTTACCCGTGCCGTGGAGACAGTTTTCACACCTTGAACAACCATCTTGACCTTCGAGTGACTTCGTTGCTGCAGGGAGCGATGTAGGGACGCTCAGTGGTAGTTGGGTGAGTTGGGTGCGGTGCGCCTTGGCTCGCAGGCTGGAAGCGTGTTGTTATCGGGGATTGTCGAAGTTCACGTTGTTGCTCGATCGCAAAGCCGGCAGCTAGCCTTTCAAGTTGAAACCCGGAATCGCAGCCTGAGTCTTGGTTGAGCGCGCTCAATTAAGAATTAAGACGCTGTCACGATGTTGCACTTTGTACCTCAAAGTTTACGACCTGCCGCCTGAGTGTGTCGACGAGGCTGTGGCGCTAGCTTTCAATGGCATAGTTCAAAGTACGGCGGATTGAGAACCCTACGGAGAAGCATTTGCGGGTTACATGTAGCTTGTGGCGCCAAAGCAAAAGCATATCACGTGTTTTTGAAGACATGTGGCGGTGCAACGCCTCGCTGGCAGTTTGCTACCAACTGCCAAGGCTGCGCGAATCTGGCCTGAACTGGAGGCAGAGGCTGAACCACGATTGTTCCTTGGGACGCAGGCAGTTCAAGTTGGCACTCCTTGTTACTGAACTTCCCCTAAACACGCGGAAAGCGTGTACATTCTGAACACTCTTTGTATTCAACACTTCATGACTATGTAACTGGTTCTATTTCTTCTCCTTCTTCCTTCTTGACACTGCTCAGCGCATCAGACCAGATCGCGAAGTGTCTCCCTCCTCGTCCCTTTCTCAATAACGACTCAAGATGACGGACAAGCTTCCGCCAAATCTCCTTGCCTTATTTCAGCCTCGACCTCCTCTACGCTACATTCCGCCTCAAGACGCTGCACCGGAAGAACGGGCATCGAAGAAATCAGAGCTATCTGGAATAGCTGCATTCCTCCCCCAGTTCGAACAGTACAAACAGGAAGATGTATATCATCCTACTGAATCATGGCTACAAAAGCGCGATCGAAAGCTATGGGAGAAAAAGATGCGCCTAGCAGAGATCCAACGCGAAGACTTCTCAGGTTACCGACCGCAGGATGACCCGAAAATAAAGGGCGATGCGGCTAAGACATTGTTCGTGGGTCGCCTCAGTTATGATGTCAAAGAGGCAGACCTAGAGCGCGAATTTGGAAGGTTTGGTCCCATTGAAAGGATCCGAATCGTCAAGGATGAGACCACTCCAAAGCCCAAGAAGCCGCACCGGGGTTACGCCTTCATCGTATTTGAACGAGAGAAAGACATGCGAGGTAATATTTTCTGCGCCGATCCTCCCCCCATTTGCCCCTGTTACTTTCTCCCTATCTATACCTATACATGGTAAGGAAACTTGGAACTGACCTTGATGAATTTCGCTCTTTACAGCTGCCTACAAAGAAACGGATGGTTTGCGGATCAAGGATCGAAAAGTCGTGGTAGACGTTGAACGAGGTCGCATGGTGCCGGGATGGAGACCTAGAAGATTTGGTGGCGGTCTTGGTGGACGAGGCTACACCAAACAGGCTCCTGCGAGACCGACATTCGGCGGACCACCAGGTGGATTTGGAGGTGGGTTCCGTGGAGGCTTTGGCGGCCGTGGAGGATTCCGCGGAGGCTTTCGCGGTGACCGCGGGGGCTATGGCGGACGAGGGGGCATTGGCTACCAAGGAGGAGGTGGCTTCGGCGGAAGACAAGGAGGTTATCAAAGTGGTCCCCCGCCTCCTAACGCGCCCAGTGGGCCTGGTGGTGGCCGCGGAGGGTATGGCGGTTACGACGACCGACGAAACGGATACGGAGGCGGCAGAGACTATCGTGGCGGTACCGGAAGCAACAAAGATCCTCTCGGTGGACGCGATCGCGGGTATGACGACCGTGACCGCGAACGTGACCGAGATCGGGATCGCGACAGAGACAGAGACCGTGATCGTGACCGATATGGTGGCGGCAGACGTGAGGACGATTATGGCTCCCGGAAGCGCTACCGCGACAACGACGGACACGACGACCCGAGACAGCGCCGAAGGTATTAATATGCTTCTCCTCGTGGTCCTTTTATTTGGTGCAACAGTCTCGCCCCGTTTGCTTGGTGGGTATTCTATGCTCAGTGTATTCAAACAGTTTTGGAGGTACGGACTTGTTCTCCGTTCCTCTTTGTATTAGGGTAAGAGACCATTGATTATTCGGTCGCGCATTACGACGCGTTGCACTGCCAGGTGAGGCCAGGACCTCCACGGCATCCCGTGGTACGATCCCGTGCGGTCTGCTGCGTTGGCCCCTTTTAGTATCGCTGTTACGACATCGGCAGGCTGGTGTTGTTCAGCTCGAATTCTGCGATGACAGCCTGACTCTGGAGAGGAGCCATGTCGGTTGCAGATCTTGCTCCCACCACCAATACGCTCCCCGCGCATCATAAGGGAATTTGCGAACATTTCCTGGTAATGGTCAGGCTGGGTAAGCCGACTAGTTATACTTCTACAAGCTACGTGGGATGAACACTTGGTTCCAAAGCAGTAGGTGGTAGGTTTGATAACGCAGTAACCATACCAGTACCTAGGTCATCATCATGATTTACACGCTCGATGCAATTGCGATGCTGAATCATCGTTCAGAGCTGGGGTTCAAGTTTGGGGTCGGGCTGGCCAACGCTCGGGGCTTCACGGCTCGCCGAGTCACGTGCTGGCCAGTCTGGTTAAGCTCCTTTCTTTCGGTTGCTGCCGCTAACTACGTTGTAGTTGTACAACATTGCACGTGTTGGAGTACTACAATTAGATTTCGAATTTTCACATCCCTGCAACAGACGCCCGTGCTGCGTCTGGCCAGCTGATACGTGGGTTGAGGTTCAAGATTTGATACAAAGTGACATCAGGAGAGGCGCCGGGGCTCCACGAACAGCTGACTGGCCCACGGCGCCTTGCCGTTAGATGCTAAGAGCGGAAAATTTTTTAGCAGAAAATTTTCACCGCTCTGAATGGCCCAGGCGTTTATGACTAAGGACAACCGCTAACAGCAGGATTATACGTGCCTTGACACACGGCTTCCGCTAACCGCAAGAGTACACGGAGAGGACACGCCCTGGGGCTGAAGGGCGCGCTCGTCTCGAGGCCTGATTGGCCTGTTCTGGCGACGAGGTCTCAGACGACGGTGATTTCGAGAAACTGTCATAGCACGACATCTACGATGCTACGGGAAGGGCGTAAGGGCGTACTTGCAAGGTAGGATTACGGATGCTGTTGACATGGACGCCCTTTGAGATTTTTCGTCGGCGCATAAGATATAAAACGGCGCCCCGTCTCCCCAGATTGAGCGGTTGTTGTTGCTCAAGATACAAACAGAAGATCACGAAGCATTCAATAATACATACCAATACTACCACTCTATTTGCTGCAAAGCATCGAACAACTACAAACCCCCCTCGTCATAAACACTGCCATATCACCCTGTTAAATCAGGCCACATCAAAACACCACCAACAACAAAACACTCTCAACATGCCTTCCACATACGCTGCTTACTACAACCTCGTCGAGGCTGAGAAGAGCGCTGCTGCATCGCGTCGCCGCTCCTCGAACGACTCCGACATCAGTCAGGCATCAACATCATCATCATCCCAGAAGCGCAAGTTTTCACTCAAGCATGTGCTTGAGCAACTGCGTCCAACCACGGAGACTTTGACCCCTGCTGGGATCTATGCCCCAATCATCAAACAAGGCCCTCTTTTCAGCAGCAAGCAACACAAGAACCACCATTCATCGTAAACGTTGGCCAACAACTTCCACGACATTTTTCATATTTGCGAAGCCATACGATTATAGACAACGACGGCATGAAACAGGGCGTTCAGGGCAACGATTGGCACACACCCGTAATTTCAGGAGTGTGTGCAGTGCTGGGATGGGAAAAGGTTCATGAAACGCGGATGAAAGATCCTCACGCGATGCTTGAGAGGATGGGGCCAGCCAAACGGGGCGCACCCGAAAAGTACATATGTTCTGATAATACACAATGAGACAACGATTATTAATTAGTCTGACCTGTTTTCCTCTAATTGAGAACCTTGGATATCATCGTGTCCATTTGTGGTGATATGCCATGCCGTGTGAAGAGCCATTGTGGCCAATGACGTCTTTAGCATGTGAAAAGAGACCGCGGTTTAGCCTTGAGTATATCAGCTCGCGGTAGTGGTTGAGGGCACCCGAAGCAGGCAACATCGCTTGTCTCTGCTGCTGGCAGGTCGAACTCCAGTCCGCTGTCCCTTATGGCGTTGAGGTTGCAGTGGCTCTATGAGAAACAGCTGCGGCGGTAGACGTTGATGCAAAGCAAGGATGGAAAAAGATGTTAGTTGATGAAACTCGCAGAGCTGATCATGATTGTAGCCTTCGGATAACCTCCCTCATGTTGGCGGCGGCTACAGCTTAACATCAAAGATGGCCAACAAGCGCCCTCAGCCAGCAACACTAGCGGCTAACTTGATCTTAAACCCTCCCGCTTTCAGTCCGCTTCCAGTTGCCTCGCTCCGGGCTACTACAACAATACGCATCGACTGGGGAGCGCAGCTTCATGACATCCATCTCAGCGTCCTAGATCCAGCTACGCGGTACAACCCATCAATTGAGCTGGGGTCTCCGAGTCTGGCACGGTGCTCCATCCCACCTGCCGTCGTTGCAATCGATTGTTCACACGCCTCGCTCTCGCCTGGTGGGAAGCCAGGGTCACCAACCCAAGTGCGTCGTGCCTGCGTGTCAGGTGCGCAGCTTTCGTCTCCCACGGCCCTGCACGCATCTCGAGCGACGGCAATCCTTCGTCGAGATCCCTTGAACCTCTGCACAGAAACATCAAGGCCTAGCATCAATCGACTCTGCATCACAATCGGAAGCAGCATCAGCGTCGAATGACCGCCTTACGACATACCTCTCCGTCCGCGGCTACAGCATCATAACGCGATCCGATCAACTCGCAGAGGCTCAAAAGCACCAGCTCAAAACACGTTCCCCTAGGGGCCTCCGCCTCGATATGGGAAACACGCTTTCCTCCTGCTGTAAAGGTGCGTTAGCTGCCTTACACTTGAGACATGCTTGTCGTTAACTAAGATCACGCAGGCCGGCCCAAGGATAACCTCTACGAGCCCGCTTTGGCAGACAGTGAACGGGAAGCCGTTGCAGACCTCTTACAATACCTTGAAAATGTATGCTAGCCTTTCAGTCTACCTGGGCGTCAGATACTGACAAGAGCAGCGTGGCGAGACTGACTTTTTCTCTGGGGAACCCTTGCGAGCCCTAAGCACCCTCGTCTACTCAGACAATGTTGACCTACAGCGGAGTGCCAGTCTTACGTTTGCCGAAATCACCGAACGCGGTATGTACTGGAAACAACACTGCATTGAAGAGCTGCTGATGACGGTTGCAGATGTTAGGGAAGTCGACCGAGACACCTTGGAACCTATCTTGTTCCTACTGCAGAACCCCGACATCGAAGTTCAAAGGGCGGCAAGCGCGGCGTTAGGTAACCTCGCTGTTAATAGTGAGTGCCCAGTCTAACAAGCCTGTCCCGATTTATTTCTGACTTCTGTCCAGATGAAAACAAGGTTGCGATTGTTCAGCTCGGCGGGTTGCCTCCCCTCATCCGGCAAATGATGTCCCCCAATGTCGAGGTACAATGCAATGCCGTCGGTTGTATTACAAATCTTGCTACACACGAAGACAACAAAGCCAAAATAGCCAGATCAGGAGCGCTGGGACCTCTGACGCGGCTTGCAAAATCCAAAGATATGCGCGTCCAAAGGAATGCCACCGGGGCATTGCTCAACATGACACATTCGGGTAAGTGTTTCTACCTGTTAGGATGTACAACTGTCTAATTCAGCAGACGACAATCGACAGCAGCTAGTCAATGCCGGCGCTATTCCCGTCCTAGTCCAGCTCCTGTCGTCGCCCGACATGGACGTCCAATACTACTGTACTACTGCCTTGAGCAACATCGCCGTCGACGCGTCGAACCGGAAGAAGTTGGCCCAAACAGAGTCTCGCCTTGTACAGTCTTTAGTTCAACTCATGGACTCCGGAACTCCGAAGGTCCAGTGTCAAGCGGCTCTTGCCCTTCGAAATCTGGCTTCGGACGAAAAATATCAGTTGGAAATCGTACGAGCTAGAGGCTTGCCACCACTTCTTCGCCTTCTGCAATCTTCCTACCTACCCCTCATCCTCTCCGCCGTTGCTTGTATCCGAAACATCTCGATTCATCCCTTGAACGAGTCACCCATCATCGACGCCGGGTTTCTCAAGCCTTTAGTCGACCTTCTTGGCTCCACTGACAACGAGGAAATCCAGTGTCATGCGATTTCCACCCTCCGGAATCTAGCTGCAAGCTCAGACCGCAACAAGCAGCTTGTACTTGAAGCAGGCGCAGTGCAGAAGTGCAAAGATCTGGTCTTGAACGTCCCTTTGAGCGTACAATCCGAGATGACGGCTGCCATCGCTGTCCTAGCTCTGAGTGACGAGCTCAAGTCGCATCTTCTCAAGCTGGGCGTCTTTGACGTGCTCATTCCACTGACTGACTCTGAAAGCATCGAAGTCCAGGGCAACAGTGCCGCCGCCCTGGGAAACCTATCTTCCAAGGTGGGCGATTATTCTATTTTTGTTCGAGACTGGACGGAGCCGAATGGCGGAATCCATGGTTACTTGAAACGGTTCCTAGCCAGCGGAGACCCGACATTCCAACACATCGCAATCTGGACTTTGTTACAGCTTTTGGAATCAGATGACAAGAAACTCGTCAGTCTTGTTGCCAAGTCAGAAGACATCATCCAAATGGTCAAGACTATTGCGGACAAACACGTCGAGTCTGACGACGAAGAAGGCGAAGAGGGTGAGGGCGAAGTCATTGCGCTTGCTCAAAGATCGCTGGAACTGCTGGGGAAAGGACCCAAGCAGACATTGGTGGAGGGATAAAATTACTGAACTCGCTGTTAGGTTTTTCTGTTCGATGCTTTTCTGACGACATTATTACATACCCCGACACGAGGAAATTGTGCAATGGATCGCTGCATATGCGTCCCAACATGCATATGTCAATTGAGTAGTGGCATAGCGAGGCGTTACCGGACTGTGGTTGAAGCGGGCAATGAGGCAAGGCCCTCAAGAGGCCGGGACTGGGCTTTGAATGGAGAAGAAGACGGGTTTTACTCTTGTGAGCGCTTCTGTTAATTTTATCACTTTTGGAATCTTGAGCCAAAGGCATTGGCCTGGCCAGATTGGAGACGGCCGTTAAATTGCCTTTTCCTATTAAAGTGATTCTCCTGGTATACAGTTCTATTTGTTTTGGATTGCTTGTCTCCTCCCCTAATATTCTTTCCGACATCCTACGCCAATGGCCAAGGATATCAGACCTGGATGATAGGAGGAAATGATTCCATTCAGGCCGGCCCCGTCCAATACAAGTGAATGCATCGGATGAGCCTAGGTCTGAAACGGATTCATCTGGTTCTTTCTCCCTCCCGTGACGAACACAGTCTGACATAGCGTAGGTCGTGACCATGGATACTGGAGAGGTTTGTAAAATATTCTGTGCAAGAGGAGCAGGTAACGGTGGCATAATTATCCCCAAATTGGCAATGTTGGGTAGATCGGTGGAGGAGGAAAGGAAGATTTGGCGATGGTTAAGATTTTGTGGGTGTTGGCCGTTAAGGCAGAGGAGACGAAGTAGACCAGGTGGCGCTGGTTCTTGTTCTCCCATACCGGCAGATTCATACATAATTTGGTGAATTGGGATGCTGTGCTGCGGCCGGCAGAAAGAAGAAGAATACCGCCCGCGGGTACGAGTCGTCTGTCTTCACGCAGGGTCTGACAAGTTCTCTCACATCTCCCACCAATTGTGTGTAAGAGAGATGACTCGTATTAGGTGCCGCCCATATACGCAGACATTTGCCTTTCCTCAACAGTGGGAAGTCCGATCCACGCTGGAATCTCTTTTGCAAATCTTTTGTTGTTGTGCACTCAAACGTTAAGGGGTTGATTTCTTGCGTCGCTGAAAGAGCCAGAGCGGCAGCTGAACCCAGCCCAGGGGTGGGTTTGTTGTATTCTTAAGAAGGCTTAGCCACCTTCCTACTCTCCGCCTGCCCAGTAACCACATCCCTCATCTCCCTCCAACTAGCAGGGACCATAGCATTCCCAGCATCACTCGTCGCAACGACCACACCAAACTCGTTCCCTGCGGTAGAGATATAATAGTTCCTTTCGTCGCCCAGACTGATGACCATGGCGCGCACGATATCGCCGACGCGGTACATGTCGTTCATGACGATCTTGTCCTTTTCGTGGGTGCGGATATCTTCGCGGCGCAGAACCGCTTGGAATTGAAGGTCGTCGTCGGTCACGCGTGTATATGATGTTATGTCGTTAGGGGATGGGTCGACGACTAATATCGAGGCTGAGATTTGGCGTTGTTGCACGCGGGTGATTCGGACGAGGACTGTGGAACCGACTTTGGGGAGGAGGGTGGTGTTGGTGCTGCCACCACTGCCGCCAATCGTGGAGGAGGTGGTGATGGTGTTGGTGGGAGTTGGTGTTACTCCTTCTCCTGCTGTTCCTGAATGAGGCACCGAAATGATTGGTTTGTTGGTGCTGGTGCTCGTGTTGTTGGTCTTCGTTTTGGCAGAGGTGTCTGCGGCAGCCGGGCTGGATAGTACTACGGGTCGACCGATGATCGAGGCAACAATGTTGTTCTCGTAGACATGTGTGCCTGGTCCCGGAACGTGGGAAGACGTGTTGCCTAGAACCTGGCCCGGGACGACGAATGTAGACGTGGATGCGGAAGCCATGATTGACGGCTACTGGTATGGAAAAATAACCGGATAGGAGGCGACGCAGTAGACGAGATAGTAAGGGTTGGAATTGTTATCTTTCCTCGTGCCTTTTTCTTTTGTTCCCTCCTCTTTTTTTCCGGGTTCTGTTTCTCGGACAAGGAAGGAAAAGATAAAAAGCTACTATAAGGCAGTTTGATGAGCTGGTACTGTAATGACAAACCTTTGCCAGACGAACACACGAGAAATTTTGCGCCTGGGTTATCGAGGCTCTAGCACGCTCGCTAGTTCATGCGGACCTCCGGTACATTTTCAGAGGGCGAATCCAGAGTGTCTCAGGTGAGTTTTACGCTGGGTGCACGCGAACATGCGACAGGATTGCAGGTGAGCTGCGCAGCGGAAGAGAATGTGAAGATGTGAAAGTGAAGTGCATGCGCTGCCAGTGAATGTTCGAAAAAGTCTTGTCACGTGCAGAGGGCCAAGCCTATGGGACGCCTTAGTCATGGTTTATGTCATCAATGTCTGGGTCTCAAATGTCTGATGCGGCCGCTTTCGTAAGTCATCGATTGAAGATGGTTGAGAGCCGCTACTATTTCAAGTACCAGGTATATGTCCCTATCATCGAGAGAGGCTTGTACGCCTTCTCACACCGCCTCCGGGACATTTGTCTGCTCTAATTCGTCTTCAACGTCTTCTGTTTCTCGGCGTCTCTTCCACCCCTGGCGCCCTTGACAAGCAGACCCTTTCTCTTCCTGACAGCATCAACATACTTCTTAGCCACGTTCTCTCTTTCGCCGTGGACGCCCAGATCTTCCAGTTCTTCCTCCGAGCGAGGGACCCAGAACGGATCGACGTCATCCAACATCTCGAACCCGATAAACCTGAGCATCGGTTGCGCCAGGCCCGAAGTGCGTTTGCGTATCTCCTCGCTGAAACCAAAACTCTCCGCCACAGGCAGCTTTGCCTCAATCGTAAAATAGGGCGTGCCTTCGAGTAAAGCTTCGGAAAGAATTGCACCCCTCCGCCGCGTCAGGACACTGTACACCCGGCCTAGGACGTCCGGGGTGGCCTGGATGGTGCAGCTGTACATGGCCAGTAAAATACGAGGAGACCAGTCAAGGAAGGCAGACCTGATCGCTTCTCGCACGGCAGAAATAAGTTCGCCAGTTAGACGACCTGACTCCACGGCAGGGTCGGACGATTCCGACGGTAGTTGTTGCGAGATGTCTTCGAGGAAAACGGCAACTCCTTGCATCGGTTCACGGCAGAGTGGTCCCTGTGATGTCGCGAGCTGGAATGCATAGACAACCGTGTCGGAAAAGTCTTGGCCTGCTGGTCTTGTAGATTTATCGTCTTCGCCTTGGCCCTCCTCGCCTTGATCATTATTCGTGTCGGTTTCGGGATTTTTCCTTGCCTCGGGCTGTTCCATGAGGAAGCGCTTACATGCATTCGTGCCAGTAGAGTCAATAAAAAGATTCGGACCAACTCTGCGGGGGCCGAATGCACAGATCCTGGGAATGATCTTTTGCCAGGCCTCCTTGTCCTCCTTGACTTCGTCGAATGCCGCTTGGAGTTGCTTGCGGAACTCCTGTAGGGACAGGTTACCCCTTTCATTACCGGTTTCATTACCTAGATCGACAGCTTCGTCCTTGGCGGTTTCTGCGGCTTCATCTGAGGTCTTGGTGACATCCTCCTGCGCTTGCTTCTCTGCATATAGCCGTCTAATAGTGGAACTGTTCTTGATGAGGAACTCGGTCACAGTCTTGGGCAATGGCCGGACCCGTAGCCTCACAGACACTGTTTTGGAAGCTGTCACGGCAATGACTGTGCCCCTAGGAAGCTCTGGATTCTTCGGAGGCTCCATCTCCTCGGCTTTCACAATTGTCTCGCGGTATGGCACGATTGGTTCACCCGGCTGGATGTCGCACCGAGCGAAGCGTTCTCTCAAATCCTTCAGACATCGTTCTAGATGCAGTTCTCCCGCCGTCAGAATCACATGCTCTCCGCTGGCCATTTGTTCATAGACCGCGCAAGGATCGCTTCGTTCCAAAAGCTTCAGCCCTTTGATCATTTTGTTGAGATCCATCGGGTTCGTCGGCTCCAAAGCCACCCGCACAATCGGTTCGCTGAGTGTAGAAATTCCTGCCAAATTGATACCGCCTTCCAGTTGAGAACATAGCGTGCCGGTCTTGAGAATGTGGCCTTCCAATCCTTCAATACCAAAAACAACTCCGGCCGGAACTTTGTCTAGCGGCTCTAGAGACCGACCCATCAGAAGGTACAGTGCCGTGATGGGCACTTTCTTTGGCTCGGGCGAGGCATGTGGGAATGCTGGATTGAACTTGGGCGGAAGAACATACACCTCGTCTCCTACAGATAATGATCCGGAGAATAACCTGGCAAACCCGATCAAGTGTTCAGGGTCCTCGGGCTGTTCCGGTGACTCGTCCTCATCAGCCTCCTCGCCGATCCTGGTTGTGTTCAGGCCATTGGTGATGCTGTCGACGTTGGCCGAGCCTTCGGCTTCAGCTTGTGTTTTGGCAATCTCCGCTCTCTTTTTCCGAGCGAGCTCTCTTGCTTCATCTGCGGTCAAGGTGGTCCCCAATTTCCGCCGCTTCGAAGGCAGCTCACTTTCGGGGATGGCAACCATCTTACTGACGTAGGCCACAACTGGTGCGTTCTCGGATGTGTCGAAATTGATCATGGCATCCTTCAAAGCAGGATCGATGCTTTTGGAACTGACCAGGTCGTCGATCATTTCCGGTAACCGAGTGGCCTGGGCATTAGGTGGACTGGGAAGGTATTCAATGACAGAAACTAGGACAGCGGTCGAGAGGGGTAGCCACGCGGCAAAGAGAGCCTGTAACACGGCCTTTGGATCGCGCGATCGGAGTATGTGCGCTGGTAAATTGATGGCCAGGGACTTTGTAATTTTTTCCAACAAAGCCGAGTCTCCTCGACCTCCATTGATACCGACGGTGGCATCGTAGGCCTGCCATATAGGCTCTAATACGAGCTGGACGAACAAAGGCTTTAGATTTCGTCCTTTCAAGTGCTTCTGACCCAAGACCTTCTTGGTTTTTGGATCCAGGTAGAAATCCCCCCAAAGGACTTTTTCGAGCACCGATCTTTTGATACCCAGCTTCTTCTCGTAAATGCCTGAAAATTGACGGACGGTGAAAGCCCAGCCGTCAATCGCGCTGGCGAAAATCACATTGTTCTTTTCCGGCGCAAAATATAGATCCTCGTCATCTTTTTCCTCGAATGTTTGACTGAAATCGCCCTCGGACGCATTTTCACTCAGCACGTCCTGCTTTTGCTGCTCTCTTGCCGCGCGTTTCTGGTCCAGCTTTTCCCGCCACTGCAAATCCTCTTCCATTCGCTCGCCATGGAAGAAGCCGCCTATCACTGCATTAACGCCCTCGAGGACTCTTTCAAGATGCGAGTAAGCCTCGGCGGGGCTCATTTTCAACTCGGTAATCAGTCGGTCGATCTTGTTGATAACCAGGAGCGGTTTTAACTTTTCGATCCAAACCTGCCGTAGCACCGTCACCGTTTGGGAGCATACCCCTTCAACGGCATCCACCAAAACGACGGCAGCGTCGCATAACCGTGACGCCGTACTGACCTCTGAGGAGAAGTCGATGTGTCCCGGGCTGTCTATTAGGTTGATCAAGTATTCCTCTTTCTTGAGTTCCTCGTTCTCTTTTTGCCTCCGCATCATACTGAAATATAAACTGATTGCGCTGCTTTCCATCGTAATTCCGCGGATTTGCTCGTCGGGCCGCGAATCCAGGTAGCGGATCTTGCCCGCCATTTTGGGAGAAATAATGCCATTGGTGGCAATGAGGGAGTCGGACAGAGAGGTCTTGCCATGGTCGACGTGTGCCAGGATACATATGTTGCGGATGTTCTGCGCATTCGATTGAAGGGCGATAAGTTGAGACGGAGCGATGGCAGGCATTGTGGCCTGAGATGGCACAGCGTGCCCAGGAAAAAATAGAACAGTCGCTGTCGCCTGTAGTGATTCTGGGCCTCTCCCTTCTGTCGTCCTGGCACAAGTTGAAGCGGCAGAAGAGGAATTATATGCTTTCACCGCGAGACAGTGAGGGATGCGGTGTCATGCAGACGCAAATAAAAAGTACAAAGTATGACGCATTTGTCCGATTCACGATTATTTTATTTGACTCCATCCGCTGATTCGGGGATTCGCGTGAGCGGGCCACCACACGCAGTCCCATAGTGTACAAGTACATTTGTCTATTGTGCTGTGCACCTCTTGAGCACATCTATTGGGAAGTCTATGATAAATATAAGTACAATGTCTCCGTTACGCGACTTGATGGCCGCCGCGTAAGTTGCATGGGTGCCCTTGGACAGTAGCAAAACTGGCGGCCATGCTCCCAACCATGGTGTCTTTCTCCTGCTGCATGGCACAGTTCCAGTCGGATTCAGCGTGACATCCAGCTGAACCCTCAACAGAGCGTGCATGGAATGTGGCACACGGCTTTTGGCGGGTACAGGAATCGGAGCGCTTTCTATGCCCTGAGGCCTGGCCTAACCCAGACCATTCAGTTTGCCTTCCCCTTCCCCTTCATAATCTTCCTCCTCTGCGCCATCATATGCGTATACAAAACATAGCTCCCCGGCACATAGATGAAAAGGACAACCTTGAGCAGTAAATCGATCCCCCTTCCCTGTTTTGCCGCAGGTGCCAAAGCCAACCAAATGAGCAAACACTCGCTCGTAATGCCAGTGGGGTACAAGACAAAAAACGTGCTGTACCTCAGCCACGTCAAGGCCCTGGGCACCCGTTCACTGATAGCCGCCTTCCAGACAAAGAAGCCGTATCGAATAATCTCAGTAATTCCCCAAGCAAGTATCATTCCTGACAACGCAATCGGACCCGTCGTCGACCCTGCTTCCTGTCTGCCATATACGTTTGTCGTGACCACGATCTGCGGATACATTTCAAGCACCACCCACACCAACAAAATCCGGGACGCCACTTGCATGGCGGTTGTAACGGGGCTGGCTCGAACAAGGCCAAGGACGGAGTGTACCACCTCGAGAAGCGCGAGCGTCTGTGTCCATTTGAGAAGTGGGAAGAGGGCAGGCAGGAGGTTCTCAAGCTTGCCGAGTGCAGTTAATGTGGGTATGAGTAGGATTGCGCGGAGTGTGACTGTCGACCACAGTGCGAGACATAGTGCGTTGTAGGCGATTAGATATTTTTGTGTCGGGGAGGAAGAGGTTGCTGTCGCTGGCGCGGGCCGTCGGGGAGTCTGGTTCTCCATTGCGAGTTGATGTGAAAGTGACCAGGTCGAGCGAGGGTAACTGATGGACAGCCTCTTGTGAGAGCTTGAAAGTGGTCGCGGAGATTGGTGACCTCAACGCGCGACAGGGTCTGGTTACGGTAAAGGGAGACGCCCAGTTACGGAGGGTTCGTAGGTATGGCTGAAGCAGTTTCGCCGTTCAAGCTTCAATTGTGTAGAACTGTTGAACGATTCCGCAGCCTTGTGACAACAATGGTTCGATTTCCCAAACAGGACTAGTCAGTCCTCAATTGTCTTCGATGATCGATTCGAGTTCAACATTACCATCGCAAAGCAGACGGGACGCAAGTTTAAGCTTACGTTGTATGTCTACTGTACAATGTACACGTCTTAAAGCTTCTGAGATTCTGTACATTGGAGGTATATCTTTTGCGGTCCTAAAGCGGCCAAATTATTGGGGACGTCGACGCGACTTCAGCCATTCTATAATTTGCTTCCCGTCTTCCTGCACAGTTTGGCTTCCTCCTTGACAGCAAAGTCAGTCAAGATTTCCTCACTTCCTCCTCCGACGACCAAAACTCGCAAATCCCGACTAATCTGTTCGACCAGTGCGCCTCTGCCGTTCTTGTTATATCCCTGACCACCCATAATCTGCTGGCATTCTCTGTTGACCTTCTCCAGCGTATTGCCTGCAAGCACCTTGGCATTGGCGACCAGACCTCCAATTCCCGGCGGAAGCTGGTTACCTTTCCTCTTGGCGGCGTCAATGATGTATACCAGCTGTTCGAGAAGAGCTTCGGTGGATTCAATCTTGCGTCCTGACACAGCCAACTTCTGTCGAATCACCTGATTGTCGATGAGCTTCTTTCCAAAAGTCTCGCGTGAGATGGCGTGCAAGTAGGCATCCCGAACACTCAATCGAGCGAGTCTCAGGGCGGTGCAAGCCAGCCATATTCTTTCATGGTTGAAATCTGTTGCAGTTAGGTCACCTCTGTTCCTTACATTCAGTGTGGAAAGGAAGGAAACTCACTGGAAGTAATAATCTCAAAACCTTGGCCTTCTCGGCCGATGAGGTTCTCAACAGGTACTTCGACGTCGTCCAGTTCAATGAATGTGGAACCTATTTTGCAACATCATGTCAGCATACAGTGCCTGGACAGAACTTGAATCCGAGAAATAGGCAAACATACCACTAGCATTTACACCAGAGTTGTCCATCTTCTTGCACGTCACGCCTTTTGCCTTGAGCGGGATGACGAGGACAGAGAGGCCCTTGGCTCCAGGTCCTCCAGTTCGCACTCCGGCAGTGACATAGTCGGCGAAAATGCCGTTGGTGATCCACTTCTTGCTTCCGTTAACGCGATAGATGTTTCCTTCTCGCACGGCCGTGGTGGTGATGCCAGCCACGTCGGATCCGGCATCGGGCTCGGTGACTCCGAGACAGAACCGCGTCTTTCCTTGCAGCACATCGGGGACAAATCTTCTCTTCTGTTCCGGTGTTCCGTAGTTGATGACAGGCGGGAAGCCGATGATGTTTCCACACGCCAGTCCCCAGATGACGCCCAAGTAGCCGCATCGGGCAATCTCGTCCATGAACACCATATCGTGGAATGCATCCCATTGACTGGGATCAATATCTCCAGGCAGGCGCAAAGAGCCTAGGTATTCCGCCGCTAGAGGGAAGATTGATGCTGCCATATATCCCCTATCGGCGAATTTCTTGATATGCTGTGGGAGGGGGGCTGTTAGTATATGCGCGGGATTTATTAACGCCAGTGACTGGGGCTCAGGTTGGAACAGAAGCTTAAGCGTTTCGAAGCTGTCCTGCTCTGGATGCTGGTTGTAACTGTTTGAGACTTACCTCCTGAGGGATATGGCCGGTCTTCTCCCATTCTGCAGCGTAGGGAATGATTTCATTGTCGACATACTCCCGAACCTCTTTTCTCAAGCGGAAATGCGTTTCGTTGTGGTAAGGCGAATAACCGCGGGAGCTCCATAACGGCTCAGCATAAGGGGCGATATTTGGTGTTTGAGCCATTCTGGAGCTTGTTGTAATTTAAATCCAGCAGTTATTGTACAGCCGACCACAATAATATTGTCCCGTCGAGTATGTTTTGCAAAGTTGGCGGTTATGGTTATTGTTATTATTGAAGTCTGCTTCGGCTCACCCTCGGCCTACGGAGTTTTAATGTCAAAGGTACTTTGTTCTGTCGGAAGAGGGCCGCTCCCATCTCCAGGTTCTCAGTGTCTCGGTATTTCTGGGCCGCTGCTTCGAGAATGGTTGAGCTCAGTCCCCATGCCCCGCCCCCGGGTTAGTGGGGACGGTTCGCTTCCGTCAGCTCCCGGGTTCAAGCAGCCCATTCAAACTATGATTAATCTGCCGTTTTGAGGATGATCGTTGCGCGCTCAGCGTATGATATGTATGTCCAATCTTGTCAAAAGGATATCGACACGACCGATTCTTTGATAAGAACGAGGATGGTGGTGGTGGTGGTGGTGGTGGTGGTGTTGTTGTTGTTGCATAATGTGTGGGCTGGAAATGCATAACGCCTCTATTCACGAGCCTTAACTGACGAGGCTGCGGAGACGATACCCCATTCGGCAACAGCTTTGCTCCTCGGCGTAAAAGCCTCTAATCTCGTGCAGCGGCCGACAATCGGAGTTCATGCAAACATTCTCTGGCGGCCGTGTACACGGTACAGTTGTATTTTATTCGAGATGCTGTTCCTTGATGTGAGAGGAAAGCAAGGCGGGATTGCCGCCGTATGTGCCACTGCAGTTGAACAATAACCATATTGTCCCCTCCCTGAAAGCAGTCGTACAAACCACTACAGAATGGCGACTAGTAATCCAGGTGTCGGCTTCGAACTCCCTACAAAAAAGGTCTCATGGCTGAAGCGAGACGTCCTCCTCTTCAACATCAGCATAGGATGCACTGCAGATGAGCTCCATTTTCTCTATGTGGGTTGTTACCCATGTTTTTGACCTGTCGTGTTCATGTTCACCACTGCATTGCATTTCCTGTTTGTATCAGTATCAGCTGATTCCAGCCACTGGCACGGCCACTGCAGGAAGGACACCCCAGATTCTCGACCTTTCCAACCTTTCCTCTTGCCCTGGGTAAGTTTGTTGACCAAGCTATCATTGTTGCGACAATCAGCTGGGCCATTCATTGGTTGACCTACTTCTACAAGGACAGCCTTCAAAGGCAACAGTCAGGAGGTGATTGACTTCTACTCCGCCCAAACCATCACCGATATCCCAGGGTGTCCTAAACTCGACCCAGTCCGACTCGTCGATGGACAACGGTTGATCAGATTTCTCAAACCATTACCTACCACCTCGGCAGGAAGGTCGTTTGAATTGCGAGAGAAAGTCATCGGTGTCTATGACAAAGGCAAAGCCGGAACCGTGGTCGAGACCGAGCAACGTCTTATTGACGTCGCAACACAAGAAACATATACTCAGATCATAGGGAGTTTGTTCTACGTCGGCCAGGGAGGATGGAACGGTCCGAGAGGGCCCAAGGCTCCGGAGTGGTTGCCTCCGCGGGATCGTGGGCCTGATGGGACGATTGCTATTGACGTTTCTCCTTGGGCGGCGCATCTTTATCGGCAAGTTTTGTCTCTCGACTCCTTTGGTTCTCTGTGTCTGAGGCCAAGGTGATCACGCGCCGTGGAATGGAAAACTAATGTGGGTTTTGGGCCAGGTTGAATGGAGACTACAATCCTCTCCACGCTACTCCCGAGCCCGGAAACCTCATGGGCTACGGCGGCATCATTGTCCACGGTGTGGCTGCTTATCAAATGGTTGCCCATGCCTTTTTGAAAAAACTCGGGGCCAGCGACCCCGCGAATATCCGGGAATTTCAGGCCAAATTCGCCGGTCCTGTCCGGCCTGGCGATCGACTACAGGTGGACTATTGGAGACTTGGCAGAGACAGCGAAGGGTGGGAAGAAATCAGGTTTCTGTTGAAGGGTCGGAATGATGGCAAGATCCGACTTAGCAATGGTTGCGCACTCTTGAAAACTCAAGGTCAAGGTCCAGGTCCGCGAGGAAGCAAAAACACCACTGGCAGTAAGCTATGACGACTGCCACCAAGCTCGGACGGATTGTTTAACCAGCTTTCGAACATCCATCGTCCATCTCGGGACAGAACAAAAAAACAAGACACGAGAGGAAAAAGTGCAGTGCATTGCTGACAGACTTTCTGCAAACATCGTATCGTGAAAAGTATCAGGTCTCGTCTCTGAACTCACCCTCCCTTTTCTCCAACCGCACAGTCGTCAAAGCAGCAGCAAGTCGAGCCATGGTCATCGGATCCCTATTAACCTCCTTACTTTCCCACAGAACGTGAGCATCGCCCGGGATTCCAATCGCCTCTGCGGTTTTGGCGCTGCGCGGATCGATAAATGGGGCCAAACAAGGCCAGACACCCTGCGCAGTGTCAAAGAAGATGTCGGCTCCGACGTCTCCCAGTCCTTTGATTTCTTTTAGTCGCTTGCGCACCTCTGAGGGTGATGAGTCGGTTTCGGATCCCGGCAAAAGGTTGTTGAGGTCGCCTTCTGTGGAGTCGTCAGAAATCGTCAGCTTCCCGTTGGACGTGCGTCTGGATCGAACATATTTGAGCCCAAGTCCGTATTTCGTTCTCGTCGAACAAACGCTCATGAAATAAGACAGCACTCCTCACTCAGGTTACAGTAGTGTAATCTGGTCTCCAGAGATAAGAGGTGCAGTAGCCATGAACACGCCGTACAGTACAGTGCCAGGCCCAGGCAAACAATCGAACAAAGTCAACGAAAATCAGCAGCGTGCAGTAAGGGAAGCGACATGACATGAATAGTCAACCTCAAACTTACGATACTTTTCCTCCAAAAACTCCACCAACTCCCCTAGAGCAGTGGCCGTCTTCTCGCGATACCTCGTATACCCGCCCTCAGTAAGCACTTTTGTCCGTTCATCCCATGTGGAGTTCTTCAGGACGTCAATCTTATGATACCCGTTCTTGACGGCCGTGGCGAGTGTCTTTGCCGCCAGGTCATGCGAGATGCGGGCTGAAGAGAAGATGGCGTTGAGTAGTAAAGCGAGCATTGTCTCTGGTGTTGGAGATTGAGGGTCTTTGACATCTGTATTTGAAAGAAAGAGGGTGCCGTATGTCGAGATGAGTTTGGATATTTTGGAATTCGATTCCCCTCCTCCAGCAGGAGGGGCCTTGGACCCGGATTTGGTGTCTACATCTTTGGTTTCCTCTTTTTCGTGCTTTGGCTTTTTGTGTGTAGTTGGACCAGTATTGACCTTTTTGGACGTGCCAGTGTTGGAACCGGACGCATCGGCTTCGGTCTTGGTCTTGCTGTGCGATCGCTTTTCCGGTATGTGGCTCTTCTGTCCCGTCGTCCCAGTCCCACCGGGACTGGACTTGACGGCCCCTGCTTTTGATGGCTGAGGATCATGATTCGCCTTTCCTTGGGAGCGTGTTTGAACCATGATGGCTGTCTCGAGATATGTAGGCTTGGACTCTCCTCTTATTACTAGGCAAGCATTGCTCGCAAGTCTCTGCAAAAGATGATATGCTTTCAGTGAATAGTCACTGTACAGTGGGCATTCGCGGCCAAGGAATTAGAAATCAGTTAGCAGGCAGGTATGTTGTCAGGCTGAGGCTGAAATCGCTCCAAGAATGTACGTTGTAGTATGTATATGTGGCCATGTGAAACGCCGGTCGATGATGTCAGACTCCCAGGTAATTAGTGGTGTGGCTATCCCTTTCTCAGCCAGCCTTGTCGGCACGTGGGGGCCTCCAGGAACGGAACGCATTAATGAACTGGTCATCACCAGGATATACCGGAGACTGAAGCAGGAAGGAGAGCATCAAAGAAAAAGAGCACGGTTTAGGAACCTAGGAGACATGTTTAATTGCATGGTTGAAAAACCGACGGGCGCAATGTCGGTGTAAACGTTGTAGTAGGAAAATCGTACTGTTACGACCTATCGATAAGGCACGGCTTCTGGAAGTCGTTCGCGTAGATCATCATCGACCTTTTTGGCGTACTCTGCCGTCTGCTGCAGGAGCTCAACGATATCCGGATCGATAGATTGAACTGGAGCACCGCTCATGCAGCTCAGATCTTGTTTCAAGGCACCCTTTTCCCAAGTCCCATCAATCATCCATTCGGTCGGCACATCGAAGTCTATCGAGTCGATCTCCTTGTTCTTCAGAAGACTACCGTTGTACCAGAGGAGCTTGGTCTTGTGATCCACGTGGGCAATGGTAAAACTGCAGACCCGGTCTTCAGGTGTGCCATCCTCGGCAAGCTGGACATGACCGACGATAGATGCGTAATGCTGCTCCATCGAGTACGGAGTACCGGTCAATTCAAAACCGAACCACCAGCTTTCTTTGTCACCGTGACCCTGTCGATAAGTGTACGTTTCACGCACTTCATATGTATTCTGCCATGCAATATGGAGTAACCCTATAAAGACGTCCAAGCGGGACTTGTCAGCTGCCACCACACCCGAATCGCATTCCTCCGCATATCCTTCCACATATACTTTCGACAGTCTGAGCGTATCGCTGATGTCGACGTCCGCAAGTTGCTCCTCCCACCAGGCATGTCTCTCGGGGAATCCGCCCTGCCAGAGGAGTCGATCATGGTAAAGCATGGTTCCGGTCTCCCGATATTGTGGATGCTCGTTGAAAATCACTTCGGGTGGTTGGACAAAGACATCGTCGGCATCCAGTAGCATCACTTGCTCGAAGGTGCTACCAAGAATAGCGAATGCCTTGACCGCCCAGCCGCCATGTGGCAGGTCTAAAGGGCCATCGTCAAAGACAGCTGTCACATCAAAAGTTGACACATTAGGTGCCAAGGACGTGATAAAGTCCCGAAATCCATCCGGTAGATCTTCGTCTCCCGAGTATGCAATCTGAATTGGCATCTGTGATCCCAAAACGTGTCGCAAGTTGGTCACTAGATGACAGGCGAAACGGAAGCGTTGCTTGCCTGTTGTGATGACCAGCCCCTTAGATCCGGGGATAAAACGCTGCCGAAGCATTTCCAAGTTCCGGTGTCCATTCGTATCATTGTTAGGACTTCGAATGAACGGTACAAGCGCATCAGCTACGCCTTCTATCAGGTTTGACCAGTCCCCTTTTTGCTTTGCGGTCAATTGGGATGTCTCGGTGTACGCTATCCAGTCCTTCAGAGTCTGCAACCTCTTTCCCATCCCTCCAAATTCGGAGATATTCAGCGGGTTGTTCCATATTGATGAAGCGGTCTCTGCTGCTGAGACATAGTATGGGTCGATTGGAGGCGGTTTGGGAGGACCGAGGAGCGAGCCATAGGTAGCGGTGGGCCACCGCACCACCCAGAGAGAGAAGACAATGAGGACAAAGCCACTGGCCAAGCCGAGCAGGCGGTACTTAGTGGTCAGCGATCCCGACAGCAATGTTTGCATCGTACGGTCGGCGCTACACGCTTGGACATGATTGCAAATGTTTCTCTATCAGAGAGGATTTCAGAAGAAGAACTCTTCAGTCAAATTAGTCGGTTCTCATGGCCAATTTGCACACGAAGCCTTCCTCGCCTTTTTAGCTGGAAGTGACGACGCCTCTGAGGTCACGTGCGCGGATGGTAGCCCCGTTTTAGTTTGGGCGTTCTCTTTTTTCAGCCATTTCCCCCACAATCCGACCCGCGAACGGGTCTCGCCTGGCTTGCGCGACTTCAAGGCCAGCGCCCGACGAGAAGGGGAGTAGCCTAGGCGTTTCTGAACGCCGGTGAGCAGTTGATTTCGACAGGTATCGTCTTTTCAAGCATTTCTGCCGGTTGTACTACTTCTCAGTAAGCGATGACAATCGAGACCGCGGTATATCCATTACAGAGCGCGTATGCTCCTGGACGTGTGCTTGTTCGACTCTCGACGCAGGTATTAAGCAGCAGCCCGCCGTTCCAAGCAAGTAAAGACCCGTGTGCACAGCTCAGGTAGCTTGGACAAAGCCTCGCCAGCCCTTACCTCACCCTCACATGGTTCTCCTTCGAAGCAGCCACTCGCAACATCTCAGCGATGTTCTCTGGCCTTTGTCTTCGATAATGCAAGTTGTTTGACATGTGAATTGTCGAGAAGCGGACGTTTTTGTTGTACTGTAGCATTAAAGTCGGAGTCGTGAGTGAAATACCTACCTGGTACGCTGTAGGACTTGACGGGACGCAGCCTGAGGGCGGCATGACCTACCTCTCCAAAACGGCAAGTTACCCGTGGAGGCTACGGTAGACCATGATACGGTGTAGTGCAACTTGCACAACAAGTCTAAAATAATTTTTCGAAGCGCAGTTTCCGACACTTGATCACAAGTGGTCGGTCTGGAACTTTTTCTTTTCCATTCCTCACAACCAAATCAAGACCCCTCGTAAGTCTGTGTGTGACTCAGTGTGCAACTATGCCTCCCTCCAAGCGAAACCGGGTCATCCCGACGTCCAAGACGCGCAAAAATCGCAAGGAACTCGTCCGACGCCTTGCCGCAAACGTGCAAGAAGCGGCGGAGAAATACTCGTACATCTGGGTCTTTGACGTGCAGAACATGCGCAACAACTTCATCAAACAAGTCCGCAAAGAGTTCGACGACTCGCGGATCATGATGGGCAAGACCAAAGTCCTCATGGTCGGGTTGGGCCAGACGGAGGAGACCGAATGCGTCCCCGGCGTCAGTGCACTTGGGCCTCATGTCAAAGGCGAGGTCGGTCTGCTTTTCACGGACCGTGAGCCCAAGGAGGTGGAGGAGTACTTTGAGGATTTCCTGGCCGAGGATTTCGCAAGAAGTGGCAGTGTTGCGACCCGTGAAGTGCGGATCCCGCCTGGCCCGATCCACACCCAGTATGGCGTCCCTGGCGGTGAGGACGATCCGCTGCCCATTCAGATCGAACCGACTCTGCGGAAGCTGGGGATTCCGACCCGTCTACAAAAGGGCACGATCGTCTTGGAAGAGCCCGCAGACGGGTCGATGGTCGAAGAGGAGGGATATGTGGTTTGCAGAGAGGGAGACACTCTGGATTCGCGACAAACTTCCATTCTGAAGATTCTCGGCGTCAAGATGTCCGAGTTTAAGATTGAGCTGAAGGCAGTCTTTGACAAGAAGGAGGCGACCGTTCGGGAGGTTGGCGAAATGGACGTGGACGCCGCTGCCTGAACGCAGTCTGTTTGACCAGTTATTGTGACAGCACATTTCGTTCTCCTGGGAAACGATATCTGACGAAGTGATGACCCATGGGCTGGAGAGTGAAACCAGCTCCGAAGGATTTTCAATGCTTCTGTTGTCTTGGGATGGTAGTGCGATGCGGCTCAAGTGGCAGCACTTCTCTCCATGCACGTCGACAATTCGATCCAACCCCATCTCGCGACATTGGCCAGGAATAATACCATCGATAACCTGCTGCTACTGGGATTCTTGCTGCGCCTACGTTATCGTGGTGGACTGCCAGTGAGCAGAATAAGCTGCGCACCGCTTCTCTCCGAGTCAATTCCCCCTGCCCTCTCGAACAAGGCACAGGCTTTTGAGGCACAGGCACCTCTTTGCGAGAGCGGACTGTCGTGACAGTCCACACAGTCCTGCGAAGTCCGACTCCTAGTGGATGTCAAATCCACTCTGGGCACTTATGGAGCCTGAGAGTCGGACACGACCTTCTAGCCACAGTTTAGTATAAAGATGGTGTTCTCTTTTTGAATGTCATTCTGCCGCCTGAGCCGAGCCAGCCCATCCCTTCGAAGTCAGACCCGAAGCCGGCTCAACTGCATAGTGGAACTTTGTAGCAGCTACAGTCAATGCTACCGCCGGTCCTGCCTAGGGAGGCATGAATTCCATATTCGATTCGGCTGCAGTGCGCGACCATCAACACCACTGCAATCGTATAGCGAGCACCAAAATCAGGTCGACACCGAGACCTTTTGGCCTCTTCGAACGAGATACGAGCGCGTACGTATGTCTGCGGTGGGCGTTCTGACCTCGGCGATGCAGCTCATCTTCCAGATAAATATGGGCAAGCGCAGTCCCTGAAATAGAGTTCGAGTTGAGAGCAAAATCAAACTACTGTAGCATCCCCGTACTACTTTCACTCGAGGCGAGATGGCAAAATACAAACTCAAATGTCAGTGTCTTGCTCTACCTTTGTTCACTAAACACCCTTTGGGACGCTCCCGTAATTCCTTACATCTTTCTTGAGTTTATTAGCCAGTAATACTTTCTAGACCTATTGGGTGTCCTGTTCTTTCTTGAGTGCCCTGCTTATATGTGTTCATGTCTTCTCTACCCCAATCTGATACTTGTTCAATGCTGGCACAAAGATATATGTATATATTGCTCGTATATACAAAGCACGAGCATTGTTGCAGTATGTATAGGTATGTATATGCATATGTAAGGTAAAACAGGACCAGCCATGATAGCCCCGGTCAAGATACTGTAGTTTGTTTTCTAGTACTCCGTTTCTTTCATCTCGCTACTGTAAATATGTTTTCAGGTCCTCTCCTAATCATGGAGTGTCATGATTTGAAATTGTTCGTGGGATAGGCCTCTGCGTGGTGTGGCCAAATTATTGCGTCGTGTTAACAATCGCTCCATAACCAGGCGAAGGGGTCTGAGTCTCCTCAACTTCGTGCCAAGTTTGCACATTCCATTCTCCCAGAAAGAAAAACCTTTCCCATGGTGAAATGTTGTAACAGACGGCATAATGTCGAATGGCATTACCCCATGTTGGCGCTCTGCATACCAGCTAGGTAAGGGAGATCCATACGGTGGCCAGTTTTGTGTCCTGTACACTGTTGGTGCTGGCCTTCGAAATGGGAAGCTGACGCTGACAGCCGAGAACTGGGCCAACAAACATGATGTGAGGATGTACGCAACAGGACCGATCCCTCAGTGCCCAGCAGTAAAGTATCCGGGTATAATGGTATATATCCCCATGGATTGGGGCTCTTTGTTTGGCTCCAAAACACCGCCGAGGCAGAGCGAGGAGTATCAACTGCGCTGTACTGTATATGCTTCCGTTGTTGCGTAGTCTCCATGTCGACCAGGGGTCAGGTATAATGTTGTTCTCCACCTCCTTTTTATGGCGATAAAAAGTCGTTTTCTTGTTGCACTGCCTGATTGCGGGTTTGGGATTGGTCGATGTGCCAAATCACAGATGCCCGGCCATTGTAAAGGGCGGTAGTGCCAATCCACTTCATTTTGTTGTGTAAGAGACCTCGATGCCGGTTTTATTTCGGCCAGATTCTCAGGAGAGCGGCCGGCTTCCTCTGTTCGGTTATAAGCCCCTGCTCCTGTTTCTTTCTTCGTATTAACTGTTTTCCTGGTGGCTGAATCCGTGGCGTCTGATCCTCGTGCGCATATGTCCTGCAGCGTCGGCGTCGATTTATCAACCCTGCAGTCCCTTCGTTCGCACGTAGGTGGATTTGTCCCGGGCTACATTTTCGTTCGGCTATTTTCTTTCCGTTCTCGTCAGAATTCAACGCAGCTTTCGCAGTAGTCGTGGGCCTTCGTAGAAAGTCCTGTCGAAGACGTCATAAATGGTGAATGTATCATGCTCAGCTGCCCAGATGTTTTGAAGGCGACGCCTCATGGTCAAGCTGATTCCTGAATCATCTGCCATATAGAAAACGAGCCGACAACCGTCCCTCTCTCCACGTCCAGTATGAGATGCCGTGTGCGCGAAAGAAACCGTAGGGTGTGACTAATCGTGGTTATGTTATTCTGTCGTCGGTTCTGGTATCGGCAGGCCGTTTTTGATTCCTTGTCCGTGCAGATTCGGGTTCGTCTCGTTCGTCTCGTGATGGATCTTCCAGCGCCTGAGACCAACCATCGGAGCCCAGCTGAGTAGCCTGCCAGTCGATAGTGTGAAAAGCTTTCTCGATGGCAGGATCTGATTTCACCTCGTCACGCACGAAAGCGTCAAGCTCTGTTAAATCCTGGGTTTTGCGAATAAGTTCCATTAGACGGCCGGTGCTATCAGTGTCTCCCTCTCTTATGATGGCGAGAATCCCGGCGGTTAAATCTTTGTGATGCTGAATCTGTGTGAGTGTGTTGGCCATCTGCTGCATCATTGCCTGGCGATTTGCTGCTGTGCGCCTCCCATCGGCAGCAGCATTGAATCTGCAAGACCAATTCCGGCGACGACAATTTTCACAGGGATACACACCGTCGCACTTGATCTTTCGTTTCTGGCACATAAAGCAAGCTACCGAAACGCGCGGACGGGCAGGTGATGAGGACTTGTGCGCAGAGGTCGACGATGGGGCTTCATCGTCGTCGGTGGAGCTTCCATGGCTCGATTTGACGGGTACAGTGGACATTGTTACGTTGAACAAATAGAGCTCTCTCGCCTCTGTTAAGAATTGGCATTGCCAATGCCATCAAGGCGGCAGGAATCGACCAACAGACGGTGAAGATGGGAGCTGGCGCGAGGGAAAAAGACTTGTGGTATATTAGTGTTGGTCACCTCACTCGGCATCATTTAGTTTGCAGCGAGCCACGGTTTGATCAGGGGCCTAGACTCGGGTCAGGACGTATCAGCTCGAGTCGATGGATCGCCTGACAGCGCCTTGATGGAATGCCTCCTTGTTGCCGATAGGACGTCTCGTTATAGGAAGGAGCACAGTGTGCACGGGATTGGATGGGTAGCAGGGCGGAAATGAGAACCCTGGAACGGGCCCTGGGGTCGTGCCTCTAAACTAGGCACCCACAAGTCACTGGCAGTGGCACTGGGAAGCCAGATCCGTGGACACCGTCAACCACGTACAGGACTGTAGCCTGAGTCGGTTGTATAACCTCGAGACAAAAAGACTTTTCTGCCATGGACGTCTCTGCCGTTGTCAGGCAACCTCCGAGTCGGGCATCAATACGGAAGTGCTGAATCCGTCCACTCAACGAGGCCTTTCTGTCCGTTTCGAATCCCTCGCCCGTCGACTCGCCCGGACGAACACGGCGACGGGAGGGGCCTTGGAGGGTTTCCAGGCGAAGACTCTTCGGTCTGTGGGAAATCGGAGGTGGCAGTCCACTGAAAAAATCTGGGCCATGGCGGCGGTGGCGGCGGCGTGTTGAAGGCAACATGTCCAACTCTTCCTCTCCATCTGAATGCACCTGGACTGAGGAATCTGCGGCGCCAATGGGATGGCAAACCGTGTTTGCGACTGTGGCTTGATCGTCTTCGCCCGCGCCGTGGCCAGACCACTTCCAGCCAATGGCAGGGCCGACCCGTGTCCTTAGAATCTGCTAAAACAATAAGTTTTGCCTGAAGCGGCTAGCCGGGAATCTTTTCCTGCTGATCGGCGTCATGACCAAGGAAAACCCGAGATGGCCGCCTCAGATCTGCCCGATTGGGTCGCATGCTAATTTCGTTACCATCCATAACATAAACCAATCTACAACTACCTACCTGGGTAGTGGTTCAAAAGTTATGTATTCGGGCAAACGAAACTGCTTCATTACAGCCAGATCCTCAATCAAAGATCCGAACCCCTAGCATGAGTCAACTCCGCATCCCACAGTCGAAGTTCTTCCTGATAAAAAGCACGGCAGTTGATATATCAGAGCTTTTGACTGTCTCTCCGTTGACGCAGTCCATTCAGATAGGAAGACGAGCCACAGCATTATTGACAATGCCAGGAGCTCACCTCGCTCAGCGTTGTGGTTGCATTGACTACCAAAGCCTGGAGGCTGACTCATACAAACCCTGAAAGCACCACTGCATCGAACAGATCTCCCAGGACCTACGCTGTTCCCCTCAAGACTGTGCTGACACTCGACATGGCACGTCTTTACCTGCTCCGTCCAATTCCCTCATTTCTCACATCATGGGATTGATCGCTTTGAAAACAGGAAAACCAAACAGAGGGTATGAGGAGACTGCATGTTGCTCTCAGGATATGGCCTGTTTACGCTTCTGCAGCCGTTCTGGCCTTTCTCTCTTACTCTTTCAAATTTCTACGAGAAATTCGAACCTGAAAGCACGTGTCAAACGACCCGCTTCACTTGGTTCCCACATTGCCGGAACCGACAGGGATGCTTCCCGTCTTCTTGCTCGCCTTATAAGGCTGCAGCTACAGCTACAGTCAGGTATTTGGTCTAGTTATGACTCAGGCTCCGTCTGACTGTGCTGTACCCTAGCAGTGCAATTGGTCCATGTTCATGTTCGTCGAATGGTAAGTTATCAATCTGATGCAGGGTCCGGGTGGATGAATTGGCCCCAGTATCTCCCAGCTGTCGGGGGTCTCTTAGGGTCTACACTCGACAATATCCTGGGACTACAGTTGCTTTGCAGTACTATCTGGTAGATGACTGGGACAGCTTGAATACCAAGGTCCTGGTAGTAGGGCGGACAAGGGGCAAGGTCCTACCGTCATGATGGCTGGACGACCTGACCGGGGTGGGCGGTCGGCCTGACATCGGACACCGGATACCGGACATTGGACACGGGACACTGGTAGTATACACACACCACCCGGAAGCGAAAGGGCATTACTAGTGAATGCGATGAACTTGGAGAGGACAAGGTATCGGGGTGGTCGCCTTATTATGGCAGATTGACCATGATGATAAAATCAATCACCATGTTATCTAGGTAGGTACCGCATATTAGGCGTCATATCATATCGTATTGGTACAGTGCATTATACTGTATGTCATTCATGTCATGATCCATCCATCTACCTAGCCGGGCTTTCTTCCGTGAAATCCAACAGCCACTTTTCCTCGTGCCCCGACGGCCCTTTTCCAGAGGAACTATACCGGTTTCTCTACCTGTGCTTCCGAGCAGGCTGCTGCCCGATAGTAGTTGACAGTCATGGGAGGATGAATCCCTGATTCATGTTGTCTCTTTGCCGTTTGCTCTCCATTTCCAACGACGACCCCTTTTCGCGTGAGTGGGAAATTTCATCACACAATGGCCGCAACGCAATTTTTGCCTCCCATCCTGTCTCTAGAAACACCGCATACCAAACCAAACCCTAAAGAAACCGCTTGCTTTTGCGCCATGGCGCTGAAGACACACAAACACTTCATCATATTCGCGGCGCTGCATATTTCACCAAAACTCCACACAATCATGCCTGTGACTCCGTCGGTCAGATTACACATCAAATGGCCACATTGACCACACTCGGCCGTCTCTGGTGAGAGAGGGGGTGACCTGAATATCCGATTCTGTAATCGCAATAACAGTAATCATAATCACAAGTCGCGACCCCTTGATTTTGAGCTTCCGCCGCTGCTTGCAGGTCCAGGTCTCGAAGCAGAGACTCCTCAAGCTCCTCTTCTTGATCAAGCAGATCCTCCACAGCAGCCGAGCATCGATCATGCGCCATTCTAAGGCCTTCAGTCTGATCGGCCCCCGTGACGGTGCAGATACTAAGTATCGAATTAAGTTGAGACCGTTGGGTTTGGAACTGAGCCTCGATTTTTTTAGATGCAGCAACCAGATAGGCATAAGGCAATGAGCGTGACCGGGTCAATGTCATTGTCTGACCAGCAGCCGCAAGAAACGGGCTCGCTTCGCTCGCCGTCGGACTCGAGGGTGCAGAAGAGGCAGGTGAATTCACAGGTGTTCCGGTAAACAGATCGTATCGCGCAGATAGCGGCACGTGTGACGCAATCAAAGTGGCCAGCTTCCAGATGTCGCAGTATATGCATGATGATGAAGATGATGATGAGCTCACACTGGGACAGGCCCAAGACAAGATCTGCTGCGTCTTTGCGATTTGTTGTGCGTTGCTCAGGTTAGGTCGGAAGCCCTTGAACAAGGCGGCTTTGGTCCGACAGGTTGAACTTGAAGATGAAGAAGGCATTCTAAGAGACAGCAAGTGTTGGTGGGCTGTCACTTGGAAAGGAGGCAGCATCAGAGAGGAAGAGTTTCTTCTTCTGGCCCTTTTGTACAAGTTCAAGGTTGGGACCCAATGCCCAAATATGTTGTTTGTGGCTGCCGACGGAACGGGATTGTTGGTATACAGTATGGTTGGATTTGGTGTACTGTAAGTAGGTATGTACAGTATTGGATTAATTTGGTGGGTTGAGATTGAGCGGGTGAGAGCACGGACGATTCGATAATGATAGGAGCTCGATTGGCAAGGCTGACAGATATCCTGGCTCTTAAAGATGCCGAGATGGTATTTATTGAGAATGCAAGTCGATAGTGTTGGACAGAAGAATTTCATGCACGAGACAACAGGGTATTATTTGTACAGGTAGGAGTTGATGAGATTGCGGTCTCGGACTCATAGATAGTCATGATAAGGGAGAACCATCATCATCACTCACCGTTGAAACATTGAAGAGGGAACCATCCCTTGCATACCTCACGGACAGACATGCAGATGCACTGTCAGATCAGCCACTGCAACGGTCCACCCAGCGACGTGCCATGGTATTGGACTGTACTCCATGGGCAATGCATTGGCATGGCATTGGCATTGATTGCACCGTCACCGTCCCTTGCCTCAGCCTCAGCTCTCGCGAGGGTCTTTTCGCACTCTGGCTGCAGGTAGAAAGTGAGAAAGTGAAATGTCCCCGCGGAAAGTGCAATCAATTGTCCCCATTGGCAACCTCATGCAGGGCGCATATCACCCCCTGGTTTGGGGTTAGTGCTGGCCGGGTAGCATTGTCCGGTGCCGAATCAGACGTCGACAACAGGGCCATGCTATGCACGTGGAGGGGGAAGGAAACCAGGTGTGAGAGGCCGGTCTGACTTTCTACTCGCTCACCGAGAATTTAAACATCTGCGTCAGGCAGGGTTGCACCCCCGCGGAGCTGCATTGTTGGCCCGAGCAAAAGGACAGAGACCGGTCAGCCGTGACGTTGACTATGCCTATTTTAGTAGGTGTTAGTGATGATCAGCAACGTCTATTGGCTGCACCGTAGGCGAGGGCAGGGATATGCCGTCAGACCAGTCATGGTCGGAGTGACGTGCAGCGAGCAGCTCTGTCCATTCTCTCTTCAAGTTCGGCATCTTCCAGCGAGGCAGACTCAGAGACTTGCAGCACTGCAGTGTCCACAGTCAGCAGCCGCAGCGGTGAGCCAGGAAGATACCCCTCTCACTCACTCACTCACTCACTGACTCACCGCTTACAGTCAGAGTCAAAGTCAGCCTTGCAATCCCCACCACTGCCACTGGTAGTAACCATACCTGTGGTTCTCTCTTGACTATCCTGAAATGGCAGGTACAATGTCCTTGTTACCTGACAAGGTTGTAGGTACCGGAGAAGATGCAACTGGTCTTGATGGAAGATTGAAGCCGTTGAGTAGAGCAGGGTCCTCTAGCCCTACCACTGGCACCAGAGACCCGGATTCCTCCAAGTGGTTCAAGCCATCGGCAATGGCTGAACTTGAACAGCCAGCCCTACGACAACTTCTTATTACAGGCATGCATGTCTATACTGTACCTGGTCTCTTAGCCACTCTTCTGCACAGCCCTACACTTGGCAGCGCTACGCCGAGCAAGTTACGGTCAGTTCAGTCCTCTCCCAAACTCAAGCTCAATGGTCGTGGAACAGGAGCAGCCGAAGAGCATCATGATAAACAATAAATGTGACCCTTCCCTTCATACGATCCTGGTCAATCCAGCCAAGACTCCAAAGGACATACATAGAGCCATCTACTGGTCAGTGTCATTACGGTCTGTTCAGCCATTTCCTAAATTCGAACATGGAGGTCGTGGAACAGGAGTGACCGAAGAGCACACAACCTGAATCATGAATCTGACCCTTCCTTCACCGTCCTTCAATGGGACGTCCAGTCGAGACTCCAAAGGACGTACCTACCTAGGTACATAGAGCCGCATTACAGTGGTGTCCACTGGTCGCTGCTCACCTTGTACTACTATATTGGGCAGTTCAAGTCGGTCAAGGACTACTAGTGATGAGTCCTAAGCGTACAGGACTAATAAGGACTACAGTATCTTAGATGTGAATGACTAGTAGCAAAAGCTCGACTTGCATGATAACAGTTACTCACTACTACCAGTGGCATCATAGGGTATACTGCTAGTAGTAGTGGCTGAGGATTCATGCAGTGTTGCACTCACTACTGAGACTGCTCACATCGTTACTACTGGTAATTTGGACATCCGATCTCCGAGGAGTTCTACCACCATAAACACCCCATGTCCAAAGCCACAGCCGAGTCAGAGTTCAAAAGTCCATGGTTCGGAAATATTGACTTTCAAGTTCTTCAGCCCCTCGCTTCCACTGCCAGCCTATTCCTGGGTGCAGAGCAGTGTATGTGCATGTAACCTTACTACTGGTACGTCCGTGCCATTGCACTGCATTGAGGCCAAATTTCTCATCCCTTGCAGTCCTTTTTGGAAATGAAGCTACCTTAGATAGGTACTTTCGCATGGAACAATTTTCACACGAAACAATTTCAACCGACTGGACGAAATAGCCTACAAGAATTGTGGTTATAAGGTATGCATTATTGGTATTGGTCAAGTCATACCTGCTCTGACTTTTTGAGTACTAGTACTTGTTCTTCAGTTCCAGCACGGTCCATAGCTAGTAGCTACAGGACCACCATTGTCTCCAGCCAACTTTCCCACGTATCTGTTCGGACAACTTTCACTCATTGCAGCATTGACGTGGATGCCATCCTTTGCCAGAGTCGACTCACGTCGTTGCTCAGTATCTTGGTGGCGGCGGTGCGCCGTAACCACCCTGCTGTGGTGGATATCCTTGTGGTGCACCTGGAGGAGGTCTGCCATAACCACCTTGTGGTTGCTGGCCGTATCCGCCCTGTGGCTGTCCATACCCTCCTTGTGGTTGACCATATCCACCCGGCTGTCCTCCATAACCACCTTGAGGAGGATATCCGCCTCCGTAGCCACCTTGACCTGGAGGAGCTCCATATCCGCCGGGGCCGCCAGGACCACCATATCCGCCCTGAGGAGGTCGTGCGGCACTCTTCTCGTCTTTAGTATCGTAGGACGAGTCAATCGCTCCCAGAAGCAGCTTGATCAGCCATAGCTCAGGGGTCAGCTGGACTGGCGGGTTGGCTCGAGACATCTCATCGGCTTCGACTTCGTAGTCTGTTCAATGGTCAGTAACGGAGAAAACAAAGTCCGAACAGAAAGGGTCATACTGGATGTGCAGTCAATGATATCACCAATACCGGGTTCCTCATCAAGCTTGCTCAAGAACTCACGGGCCTTCAAGTCATTGCCGACCTGTGCAAACTGGAATGCAATGGCTCCCTTGCCATAACGAGGGTTTCTAGCCAGCTCGTCCGAGGCTGCCTTGATAATTCGAGCAACATCCGATGAGTTCTCCCCGGTGGGTTGACCATCTGTGATGGTAATGACCAACACCGGCTTGCGCAGGGCTCCACGTCGTGCAGGATCCAAAACCAATGGTCCCAGGATTTTGTTTTGTAGTTCTCGTCCCATTGGAGTGAGACCCGAGAACCGAGTGCGAGCAATCAACTCATTGACCTGTTGTTCGTTGCGAATGTTATTCCCCTGTTCCGGCGAGTTCATGAAGCGGACTTGAATCCCGTCGTCGTCGAAAAGCGAAGTTGCGAAGGCGACGCGTGACAGTATCAGCTTCAGATCGTCGATCCGCTCGCCATTCTCTTCGAACTGCATACTTCCGCTGTCGTCGATATACAGCACCACGTCGTACAAGGCCAGCTTGACAATGTCCGAGGCGATTTCAGGGCTAGTGCGCCATGTCTGGGCCAGTTGCGCAACCTGTTGAGTAGCTCGACTTGCGATCTGGTCAAGGACCGGGTGGCCTGGGGGATAGAAGTTCTGCAAGTTCTTCTCTTGAATTGTTGCCTGGAGAAGGCTCTTGTAACCCTGGACATTGCCCACCGGTGCGGCAGGAGCGCCGCCTTGTGGTCCGCCTGGAGGTCCTCCATACTGCTGAGGTGGTGCACCGCCGGGTGTCGGGCCACCTGGGTAGGGAGGTTGTCCTTGTCCTTGTGGGGCACCCTACAAACGAAAAATGTTAGTAAATATTCGGCAAAGACAATGTGTGTTCAACGAGAAGTGCAGCAACGAACGTATCCATAGGCACCGGCCGGCGGCTGTTGGCCCCATTGATTTGGGGGTTGTTGATATGGTTGTTGTCCGTATTGATTTGGCGTTTGATACTGTGACTGGTATGAGGTATACGCCGGCTGTGGTTGCGGCGACTGATACCCGCCTCCCTGCGGCGGCACACCTAACTGCTGACCATATGGCGCCTGCTGCGGCTGGGGCGCTTGCCACGACGGTTGCTGATATGGTTGAGGTGATGCGCTTGGTCGGGGAGGCACTGGAGGCTGCGCATAGGGCGATGGTGGTGCTGCTGGCTGAGAGGCGTAAGGTGTGGGCGCAGGCGCGGCAGGATACCCAGCAGCTCCTCCGGCACCTTGCGCCGACGATGCCAGGCGAGAGAATTTGCTCATGGTTGGTCGAATGTAGCAATTCAAAGGGGTTGCAGCGTGAATGCAGCTGAGATAAACAATTTGCAGGCAAGGAATAAAAATAGACGTGTTCGTTTGCACCGCAGCTGGGCGGCGGGCTTGGGGTGGATATGCCAAATACAAATGACGCAACCATGAATTTCAAGTTGGCCAAAAACTGGCCGAGAGAAGCCGGGCGCAAGTTGACACGGATGGAAACAGTTGGGGAAGGCTCACCGAAGGAGGACCGCCGGGATAAGCTTGATACTGTTGTCCGCCGGGTTGGCCCGCAGATTGACCCTTGTTCAAGTCAGCTCTACATCTTCCAGATCTTGTTCACAGCATGAGCAGCCGTGTTGTATGCAGGACTCGACTTACATAGCCACCGGGAGCACCGCCGCCAGGTTGCAGACTTGTCGGAGGACCGCCGGGATAAGCAGCGTTTGCTGCGGCCAGTTTGGAAGCGAGCTATAATACGCGTCATCGTCAGTAATTGTTGGCTTGGTATTATCGAGCAGGCGGGAGATTTGAGAACAATGCTTTGATCAAGCGGGGCAGAGAAGGGAAGTCTAGGGGCTGTGGAGGGGTCTTACACCCATGGTTGTCGTCCAGCAGAGAATCGGTTTTGTTGGATTCGAGCAACAGAGTTGAGAGGAAGACTTGAGAATAGTGTCTGGGTGAGAAGAATGAAGGTGTTGTTCTCTTAAAGAGGTGGATGTGATATGTTTGCCAGGTGCTGTTGGTTATATCGCATTATTCCATGCCAACAGGACAAGCGGGTGCCGGAGGATGCCAGTGACAGGGGCTTTTCAGGGTGTGACGGGGCTGTGCTGTGCTGGCCAGGTCCACGGTGGGGTTGTCACTGCGTGATGGTTCCTGAGGGTTCTTCACGTGGGTTGGTTACTGACAAGCTTGAACTCTTGATCGTGACAACGATTGTGAAGCTATTGAGGACGAAGGGAAGGTGTCGTTGTCTGTTCCCAGCGTAGAAACATCTATCTCTCCAAATCTCTCTGCCTGCACAGCTGCGCTCACTGCATTGTACGGTGTATACCAGGTACCTACCTACCTGGTAGGTAACTACTGTCGGCTGACTCAGCCTGAAAAGTCGTCACATGTCCAGCCACGAAATGTGGCGCCGCTAGATGTTTATTGGCCAGATTCGTGGCTGCCTGTGCTCAGCCTGACGCGCACTGCCCAAGCCTTGCTTTGCGCCACAATTACCCCTCGCTGCTTGCACTGCAGGTACCTGATCGACCGTTGCAGTGCGGCTTGCATCATCCTCAGCTTAATCTGTGCAGAAGTCGGGATGTCCTACAATCTTTTCGCTATCTGACTTTAAGGCCACCTGTACATGGTACATACTACTAGCCGGTAATAATGTGAAATATACAATATTACAGTAAACGTAGTGGATCTTGAAGACATGATTAGATAAGATGCGGCTACCGGCAAACTTGCCCTTCTTGTCTCCGCATTTGCTTCGTGGCTAGCGCCACATCAAAAGCATCGTGACAGGACTTCTTTGGCTGTCGAAGGAGGCCTGAGACTGAAACCGAGATTCACCGTCAATGATAAAGTCTATCCCCATTGTCTGAGGACATAAAGACTACTGTCTCAATAGTATTTCCAGCCGTGCAAGTCCGTCAAGCCCACAACTTCCAGGAAAAGTCTAGGCCTTGTTCACGGCGATCGGCAACATGCCCAGTTACACGCCATCGCAAAGAGCTTCAATATCTCAGTTTGTCAACTTCACACAAGCGAAAGAGAGCATAGCAGCCAGGGTAGGCAGCCACGCCCAACGAAGTGCTCACAGTCTAACCATGGCCACAGTTTCTGAAGAGTAACGACTGGAACGTGGAGAGGGCCCTTGATTCGTAAGTAAGCAGGTCCCTTTCAGCATTAACCGAGACCCTTCCGGCGTTGTTGGACTTGGCTGCTTGAACTGCTTGATCTGCTCTGGGACTGTCGCACGCACCCGAGACTTCCTCTTGTACAACAGTGTGCATGTGGGATGGTATTAGAACGAAGACTTGAATGGGAGAGACAAGTCGTTGTCGAAGCAGCGTGGACCGCAGAGAGATCCTGCGCCTGCGTGCTAGGCAGTCGTCTCTGCTAGCGCGGCCTGCCACTGCAGTACACCAACATCCTTCATATGCTCGCAACTGCCAAGTTTTCGAGCCTGTCCATTTCTTTTTGCGCGATCGACGGAGGACCTACATCACGGGCTGGACTCTCCCGCACCTTCCTAAACGTGCCCACCCTCGCCTGTAGACTTCTACCGATATCCTCCCCCATCAACATCGCAGGGTTCACTTGATCAAGTTATCAATATGCCGAACAAGCGCAAGTCCACAGAGCCTTTGCCGCCAGCCCCAGATCAGCCGAAAGATAAGAAGGCCAAGATGGCTCCGGCGTCGAATCCCCCCAATCTGGCAGCGTCAGTGTCCACAGCCTTTACCTCCGTTGTCGGCGGGCTCACTGCCACCCTGCCAAGTCGAACCAAAGCCAGCAAGAAGAGCGCCAAAGTCCAACGTGCAAAGCCCTCAGGGTTTGTGCTTTAGCTTGTCTTTGAGTGGAAGGGACTGACAGATTTGATCGCACAGATTTTATCAGAGTGGATCAGGCAACAGCACTGTATCTCCCATCCAACAGAATTTGAGCAAACTATTCGATCAGTACCGAGGTGAGCACTGAGAATTAGATCCGGAGTGAGGAAAGCCACTTACTCCAGACAGACAACCCCAAAGATGCACCGGACAAGATCGGCATCGAAGGCGCCCAGAAGTATCTTACCGATCTCAACGTCGAACTTGATGAGGTGGCCCATTTAGCCATCTGCGACCTGCTACAATGCCCCTCTATTGGTGAATTTGAACGTGACTCCTTCATCTCTGGCTGGCGGGGCGTCTCGATCGGTGACAAACCCTACGACACTATATCACGCCAATCCCAATACGTCAACACTATTCGAAAGAGGGTTGTCACAGATCCTGCGTATTTCAAACAGGTATATCGAAATGCTTTCAAGCTCGCCAAGCCAGAAGGTCAACGGAGTGTGCCAATGGATTCTGCAATCGACTTCTGGAACATGTTCTTCAGGCAGGGCAAAGGAGGGATTGAGTGGAACACTTCGACCACCAAGTGGTTGGATTTATGGTGCGAATTTTACGAAACGAAAAACAAGCGGCCGGTCAACAAAGATCTCTGGAACATGGTCTGCGAGCTGGTGTTCAAGACAAAAGAGCCCGGCGGAGAAACGCTCGAGTGGTGGACCGAGGATGGAGCCTGGCCCATGGCTGTCGACGATTTTGTGGCCTACGTCAAAGACAAGAGATCGGCTCAGACGGACAGTATGGACATTAGCTGAGAAGACTTGCTTGGACAATGCCATTTCAGATTGACAGTTCTGCTTGATCCAGGGTCGCGGCTCAAGCAGGCACCTGTGGCCCAACTTGCTGGAACATGACAAATCGAACAGGCAAGTCTTGCCCTTATGCTTGTTATGCCTATTACAAGCCAACAAACAAGACAGCTGCAAACAGGGGTTGAATTGAACATACAAACATCTGATTCAAGCTGCATTCTCAATCTTGCGTAGTATATGGCTTCTGTTTTGCCTTCTTCTTGTTCTTGTCTTATCTTGTTCATTGATATAAACATGCTGATTCACAAGAAGGGCAGCAGACCAAAGTTCCAGAGATGAGTTGACTGGCCTGATAGATGCCTGCCATTGTATCTCTCCTGCCAGCTGTGCTCTGCATCATTCAATCTTCGTGTTGACGACGACGTGATTCTGAATACCTCGTTCAGGTTCCGGCGTTGGGGGACTGAGCTCGCTCTGAGAGTGCGACCAGGTATCTTGGCGATGCTGTGATGCCCTGCTTATTTCAATCGACGAGGTGCTGTGCATTTCTTTGGCCAACCATGTTGTTCTGGCCTTGTGTTCAAACCTCAGATGCCCGTCACTTTTCCGTTACCGCGCTACGCTGCGGATGCTATTCCCACTATTACTATGGATTTGAGATCTGCACAACTCACGTCTATTGTCCTGCGTTTCTCTTATCTGGAACGTCAGCACAACTCCTCAACTTCTCTACGGCGACATTCTGTTATGGCGTAACAACTTGATGCCACCGAGCTGCCGATCTAAGCCATCCCTCCTCCTCCTCCCCGCGTGCCCGCTTCAGCCTTGTCATCACCCCTAATCAACCTGCCGTATATAAAGAATGCCTTTACAGTCGCGCGAGGTCACTACAGGTGGCTTGGATGACTACTCTTTGGCCGACCTCTGCAGCACGGGACAAGAAAGATCTGCTGGTGAAGAATCTCCTGGCGAAGAGCCTGAAGTCATCCCCCATATCCTCAGTATCCCGATCGACGTCCGCCTCGAGATCTTTCGGTATGTCGCACTCTTCGACACAAATCGCAGTTTGCGGACCGAATATCCACCCACTAGCAACGACACCGCCCAACTATTCGATATGCAACCGCATCGCCTCTTTGAAGCATCTGTGTTCCAGCCCAGAGGCAGACAGGAAATCAACGGCTCTCTGCCCGTTCGAAGCAGCTATCAGATCGACACTTCAGTCTTAATAACATGCAAGACATTCTACGAGGAAGCGTCGCACATTCTATATAAAGAGAACAGAGTTGTTGGCATTAGATCGGGAATTCCAGGATTGGGCGCCAAATTGAGGAACTACGGCCTACATGTCTGGGGACCACTACCGCCTTCACGCCTGGTCGGACACTGCGATAAATCTGAATCTCGACGAGACGGAGAGACTGCAGAGCTAAAATTCAACCCCGTCGTTCTGTTCACAGCTAAGAGCGTCAGACCCGACACCCCAGTCTACCTATGCAACTACAGTGACGCAGCAGATTTTGTGCACGCACTGTGGCTTCTCGTCGAATGTCCTTTCTCACGTGGCATGCAGTTCTCTTTGAGTATGGCAGTCAATCCGGGGATCTTCACCAACAGAGTTGATGGATTACTGAGAAATGTCGTGCTGCCATGGCTCCATACAAATATAAACTGTGTGCACTACCATTTTGCAGGACCGACTCTGGAATCTGATGCGGACACAGACGACAAAGACAGGATCAACCGACGCTTGCAAGCCCTCAAAGATGAGTATCGCAGACACAATGTTAGTGGGCGACCCGCACCGAATGTCTACGTCTACCATGCCATCTGCAACTCCCTGGAACAGGTCATGTCACAAGCCGAACAGTGTCTCGCCCAATGCAATTTCCTGCAAGCAGAACTATTGTACGAACGTGTGCACTATGAAGCATGCGGCTACGTCCGAAGCAGAGCCTATCGACTGGTGGAAGTTTCGCAGAGAAGCGGGTTCGGTATCAACCACATTTACAAGCTCATTGCGTTCAGCGCGTTTCGACTTTGTGAGCTGCGCAGCGGGGCCTTGACACAGTCGGTCTCCCGACGGCTCAAAGGGTTGACTATGGCGCTTGAGGCTGTGAATATCGACGACACTGGCAGTCAGCACAACGACAGTACTGGCACTGGCAAGAAACAGGAGGAGTCCCGCCCATCGATCGCACAAGGCGAAAAGTGTGCCGACAGCAAACCCTATGAGGAGAAAACACAACAAGCTGCAGAAGCATGCACCCAAGCCGGTGAAAGCTCCAAATCCACCGTTTCCACTTCGGCATCCCGTCACGCTCAACAAACTATGGCCACCACCCGTCTCGACCCAGCTCTTGCAAAAGAACTCGCTCTTAACCACGGTATCCTGGCCCTCCAAATGCCATGCGTCGCGCCCGTGATCGAATGGACCACCCGTCTAACCGCCATCCTGCTACGCTTGTGTGCCGAACGCGGCGACTGGAGACATGCTCGAACATGCATTCTTCACATGTTCCAACATGTCGCGCTGCTGTTCAAGCAGGCCGAGGACAACGAGCACAGACTGAGATCGGGTGCCACTGCCAATCCTAGTCTCGACAGGAAATTGAAAGCTCTGTATTCTCTCAATGTCGACTTGGCCTTGGCTGTCGTGGCCGACTGGAGTGAACAGAGGGTTCTCTTGGAGGTTGCTGACAGAGCTCGAAAGGCTATTGTTGTATTGTGGGGGACTCGGCTGAAGTATGCTCAGGGACTAGGGGTTAATGGTCTAATTTGGAATTTCGATGAGATGGGGGATGAGGATGAGGATGACTAGGGCCCTAGGGCACTAGGGGGGTGTTGTGCGGACCCAGAGTTTAGGATACCGACGACCTTTGGCGGAAGTGAGAGGAGAGAGCAGCAGCGGTTAATGCGGCAACAAGGAGTAAGGAGTGGAAAGCTGGCGGCACAAGAAGTGAGAGGTCAGTGATGGTGCTCATTTTTTGAATCTCTTTTTCTTTCTTTTCCTTCTCTTTCTTTCATCACGACATTCTCTGAGCTGTGATGCATGGTGACCAGAACAAAGCTGACATTGAGAGCAAAAAGATAGATAGTCCGGTTGTCCTCTGCCCTTTTCGCTTTCCTGAGCTTCAGAATTGCGGAGTGAGTCGACTCATCGGAAGAAGCAGGGCGCACGCTGAAAGAACCATCGTTGCCACATATTTCCTACCCGCTCATAGCATGGCATGGTATGGCTGGCGAAGAAAATGGGGCTGGGTTAGGATAGAACAGGATAGCATAGCACAGCACAAGGGCAGGCAGAGCAATAGCATGAGCAGAGCAAAGCACAAAGTTGAAATAATGAGTCGTTTCGAATCTCTTCTTGGTGCTTTCTTTTCCTCGACTGCCAGGTACCTAGGTAGTATCACCGGAGTAGGGAACCTGGAAGGATCAAGAATTGAGTGATGTTCAGAATTTGCATAGGCCGTAGCTCTCACAATCAAGGTAGTGTACTTGAAGCATATGCCTTGTTTGTAGGCGATTTGCAATCCTGAGAATTAGCAAATAAACAGTTGCTTTGCCCTTACAGTCTTTTTTTTTTTCGTCGCTTTTTCAAGGAAAAGGTCATGCTACCTTCTTATGAGCGGCGCAGGAGTGCAACGCGATGTTGGACCATCGTGGTATTCTAGTATTTCCGAATAAAATGGCTGCGTGTTGATACATATGTACTGTAACTCCGTCGTAGTCCATGATATGCAGTGGCTTGGACTGGCGAGGACAGTATTACAGTAGGGGGTTCAGCCTTGCGCCGATCAGGCCAGCCACTGGCATCATAGCAGCCAGTTCGAAACAAGGCGCCCCATCCACTGCAATTGAGATCTTCCAACACCTCGGGTTTAGCAGCACTGCAAGCTCCCGCGGTGAGAGGGAGACTAAGGAGTTTGTACAAGAACATCTACCCAGGTACCTACCAGGTCTAGAGCACGAAGCCTCATTTACTGCGTCTCAGCCACAGACACTGGCAGCACGAAAAGCCGACGTGAGTAAAACAGAACAATATTGTGCCATTGTGCGAGCGAAGCACCAAAGAAAGAAGAGTATTCACCTACCTACATAGGTACCGACCAGAATCCCATCCAGCACTTCCTTCATCCAACAACAATCACTACTGCAATCACTGGCAGTGTCAGTTTCAAAAATGGGCAAAATCCAACTCCACGAACACACCCAATCCTACCGCGCCATCTCCACCAAATCACCGCACGGATTAAAATGCTTAAAAGCCCTATTCAGCGAATACGACAGTCCGGACCCGGACGCCACGAAACTATACGACCTATTCGCCAAAGACTTCCAAGACCACGTCAACGGCGAAGACAGGTCCGTCAGTCGCGACGAGGCCATTGAAACTATTCTGGCTTCTCGATCAAGATGCACAAAACACCAAATCGACCTCAAACACGCGAGTTGTATCGAGCATTCGGGGACCAGTCAAACAGTTTACTTTGAGGCGATTCGCTTTGTTGTGCCGGTCGATGCAAATACGCTGAATTGGATCCGCGTTCCTGTTTCGGGCAGGTTAGATGTGAGGATCACGCCGAATAAATTCAGCCTAAAGGATGCTGTGGCCCAGATTGTGGCCAGACGGAGGACGGCAGATAATAGTGAATTGGTCAGGCAAGGGTTGAATCCGTTGACTTTGGTGCCGGTGAATATGGGCCAGGGGCCGTCTCCGTTAGCGGCAAATGCGAATGCGAGTGGGAATGCGGATGTGAACATGATTCAGCCGGCTACTACTAGTAGTACTAATACTAGTCCGGTCATTGAGCTTCCGGCGGCGACAAAAGTAGTACATACTACTACGGCGGCGTCGTTGGGAAGTGGAAGTGAGAGCAGGTCGGAGTTGCCGCCGTATCAGAGTCCTACACATACACATTCGAAAAGTACCGGGACTCCGACTTTTACATCGGGTAGCTCCCTTGATGGGAGCAAGGAGCTTGCGTCTTGAGGTAGGATTGCAGCACCACACAGCACCGGCCCGTCGGCAGATCTGAGGTCGGTCGTACCAGCCTTACACAGCGGCTGGCCCTCTGACGAGCGTGCCTTGCACGACATGACAGCTGAGGCTCAGCGGTCTGGTGCGGCAATGGAACACCTGTCCGATTTCATCTAAATATCCTCGAGACTGTGCACAATCGCGGCCATAGAGCAAATCACAGAGCTGATAGCTGAGAGCTGAGGTTGGAAGTGGGGCGCACATGGTGTTCTGCGTCGCAATGGAGTTTGCAGGGTATTTCGACCCTACGAGCACTGCAGATTGCGGTGTATCGGGGATGCGGCTCGCCTTGTCGCGAACCAAGTCGACTTTTGGGCGCGTTTGTAGCTGGAGTACAGTGGCACCGTTTGTGATGTGATGCCGATAGCAACCATCATCGAGTCTGACTCCCGGGCAAAGGAGCAACGCTACCAAACCCACCTCTCATAATCCTCTCGTACCGGTTTTCCATCTTGCTAAAGAATCCCCTGTAGTCTCGTCCGGGCATTTCGGGGTTCCGCCAGCCATTCCTGCACCAGATGCTCCAACTGCCCATCTCTCGAGCGAGCAGAACATCTGTGGCAAGTCGGTCGCCCACGACGACAATTTCCTTAGGATCTTCAGTGACGCCGTGGTCTTTGAAATATTTCAGAATATCAGGCCCGCAAAGAGGCTTCTTGCGCTCAGGATGCTGTCGTAACACAGGTAGTCCCAGCTCCAATTCTAATTGCTTCGCTTCAGCCTCATGTTCCTCAGACGGACTGCTGCCTGCAGTATTCGACACGATGAGGATGCTGTGTGCATTGTGGGAAAACTCGGGACATTGTTTGATCTTCTCGATCTTGTCCAAATAGGATATGTGTAGATTGGCCGTCTCGGGCGGACACAGAGTATTATCCTTGTCGACAACAAGAGCCTTTATGGTCGGCTTTTTTCCTGTACTATTGACGGAGGGAAGCCAGGGGCCGACAGGTAGTGGAAGTGAGAGGAGCGTGGGGATTGTTCGGTGTGGGAGTAAACTCGAGGGATCGTGGACGGCGTAGGCGAGTGTCAGGCGGAGCGCTGGCACATTGGAAAAGAGAGGCATGTCAATAGACACGCGACACTGCCAGCTCTGGGGAGAATTTCGAGAAGATGCGGGTGGTGTTGACAGCTTCACAAAGGCGTCTCATGTATACGATGGAGATTATAGCCGTTTACGTCAGGACGTGCGATGGGATGTTGGTGGTGGAAATACTACCGTGTGGGAGTATTGTTTAACATGGTGGTGGTGATAATGATGATGGTATGAAATGTTGCTGGAGATAAAATCGGAGATAACGACGCAGCCTCAAATGGATTTTCGTGGCCTGCGCATCGATCGCATCCAGGGCAGTTGAGGGTCAAAGGCGTCCATACGACTTCCACCACAGCAATAAACAATCAACACCATAACCCGCGTGTCTCTGCTCTCAAACATCACTGCGGTCATCTAGTCATTTCCAACTTGAACCTTCTGCTATCGCCGCGAAACTAGTATCTCTTTCCCCCGTCCAGCTCGCCATGGGTAAACTCACGTCAACCATCGGCATCCCGATCAAACTCCTCAACGAAGCGCAGGTGAGCAATCTAGCCTCTCTACTCCAGCTGTTGCGCAAGACTCTAACTCTATGTCTAGGGCCATGTTGTCACGCTAGAACTCACTTCCGGCCAGGTCTACCGCGGCAAGCTTCTCGAAGGTATGTCGCGAACACACTACATCAAGCTGATAATGCAAGCCAGGCAGAGGTTGGGGATATCATGGTCAGATGCTGACTATTTTCTGCTACAGCCGAGGACAACATGAACGTTCAGCTCAAGGACATCACAGCCACCGCTAGAGACGGCCGCGTGTCGCATTTGGACCAGGTCTACATCCGAGGAAGCCATGTTCGATTCTTCATCGTGCCCGACATGTTACGGAATGCGCCGATGTTTAGGACTCGGGGAATCAGAGGTCGTGGTGTTGGTTTGGCGAGAGGAAGGGCTACAGTTAACCGGGCGAGGGCGGGGCGGAGAAATTAAACTAAGCAGAAGGATGGCATGAATGGACGATATTGAACCATACCAGAGGGTGCTGGCACGACCGGGCCTTGCCAGTGATATCAGCTGATATATCTAAAGGCTAAAGTGGTTGCCAGGCTTAGGGCCAAAAAGGGCGGGCTACGGGTAGGAAGAGGCTGCAAATGGACGACACTGATACCCTGGGGTTGCGGTAGACAACGCAATAGAACAGGATCCGAATCTGGGCACCACCACACCAGCGCGCGGGAGGCGGGAGGTCGTAGAACAAATGGATCTGATGCTTACCTTTGACCGTTGAACTTGAAGCGCTGAGTCTCATACATACCACAGCCTCGCCTGCCAAGGCTAAACCAGATAGAGGCATCTTATGAAACACAAGGCTGCGTCTTCACACCCGATCATACCTCTTGTATCTTAGTGATTCAGATTGATTTCAGCCCGCGCGAACTTCCGTCTTCAGCTAACGCAAAAAGCAAGACTCGACATACAACTATTCTGAAAAGGAAAGGCAAACCACACGTAGCCCCGTGGTCGTGGGGGAGGTGTATATCAATCGTGGCCATGCCAATCTCCCAGGCACTACCATCATCCCTCAGGCTCTTGATCCTCGCGCCCACGTCAGAACCAGCCTCTATACCGCCACTTCCAGGATTGCTCGAGGCATTGACTGGATCGAAGCCGTCTGACCATGTCCCCTCATTTACGGGATACACTTCTCATCCACCGCTGGAACTGAGAACCAAGTATTACAATTCCGATGTGAACATTTGGTGCGACGAAGTCCCCACGCGGACGATCTCACAAGAAAGGGATCCAGAGAATCAATCAACCGCTGGCAGTCAGGCAAGCACTGGGGAAGGTGAAGTTACCCCCAAGGCCCCCGTCCCGGACCAGGACGATCGACACGACACCGACACTCCGGCTCCTTCATCGCTCGACGAGTGGAAACAGCAAATGCTGTCCGCCGAAGCGGCTGAAGTTCGCGCCGTCATCGGCGGGATCGTGCTTGTGCTACCCGTCTCACCACCCATGACTTCAAGTTCAGCCACTGGCAGACCAACACTACCGCCCGCTTATTACTCCTTAATCGAAGCCGTCCATGGACTACGGGAGACTATAGAGGAGGAAACCTACGGCCGTGATATTGCATCAGTCGTCGTCCTGCAATCTACTTCGCCGTCCGTATCGCAGGACAAGCTGGCCGGTGTAGCTGCGGGTGTCGAGGACGAGTGTTTATCAGAACGGGGAATTTTGGGCTGGGATTTTGTGGCTTGGAATGGAGTGAGCACGGTTCACAGCACCACTGCTGACGACGGATCACCCAAAAATGTCAGGAACGAGTATGGCGAGAAAGTGGGAATAGAAAGAGTCATTGAAGTCCTAGAAGGTGTGGATTGGACTGTAGTGCCCGATCATCCTGATGATGGCGAAGAGAATGGGAAAGACTTTGACTTTGACGACTTTGGCAGAACTGTTGCTGACAACGATCCGTCGGCTTCAAATTCAGGGCTCAGGAGTATATTGGGGAGTGGACGGTTTTCTGGTCTGGAGTATGAATTGGAACGCGAGATGATGGAGTTGAAAATGTCCATGCTTGACGACCATGACCACGGACAAGAGCCAGATGGCGATGCTGATGCAGACTCGGAGACACGCCCGACAACGACCGATGCCGATGCTCCCAGGGTTGAGGTCGATCAAGATGAAGAGTTTCAGGTCGAACAGTTGCAGGCCATGATGGAGCGGGTGGTTGCAATTCGCGAAGCTGGTTCCGAATTGTCCAAGACTGAGAGGGAGCGCTTTGCTCGGAGAGAGATTGCCAAGTTGATGCGCGATATGAGTTGATGACATTTCCTGGCGAGGGACTCTCTCATATTGCATGCTCTTGTTAAGCGTAAGTGCATGTACGCTGTTTGCGTCCATCTTGTGTATGAACACACTTCGAATAGGACTCGTAGAGTTCAGCCCGGCTGGAAGGTCGTGAAGTGTTTGCGGAATTTCAACGCCGGAGATGACCGAAAGCATGTGCCATCGAACCCCTTGAGCTAGTATTGGCGATTGTCAGAGGATTTGGTGCCCGCCGGCTGATTTGAACGATGTCCTGAAGTGGGATGTGGACGTTGATAAGTCCTTCATCTGAGTAGGTAGTTTGACATACTAGGCGCATACGGCAAGGATCGCGATCACCCATCTGGATCATCAAAGGACAGCTTGATCTTCTTTGCCTTCTTCTTCGCAGCTCCTGATCCTGGCTTTTTCGTATTCGTGCTCTCACCATCCTCAGCCTTCTTCTGCGCAGTCTGAGCTTTCTTTGGAGGTTCATGCGTCTCATTGCCGTCTGGGTTTGGCTCTCCCTCGTCTTCGGCACCCACAATCTTCCCGACCTTTCGCTTCTTCAGACCGGTCGAACTGCCGATCTCTGTGACCCTCTGTCTCTCCTTTTCTCCATCAGCACCAGACTCTCCCTCAACCTTAGCCTCGCCAGTTTCTGTTGGGGTTGACTCCTTGACTTCGTCACCCTCCCTCACCCGTCGTTCGAATTCTTCCTTCTCAACCCTCTCACCTTGCTCGTCTAGGATAACTGGGTCATCATCATCGTCCCCTGTCTTCAATCTATCCTTCTTTGGCCGCGCGATCTGGACATTATGTCTTCCATCAAGGCCTCCGAACTCGCCCTTTAACTTGCGCAAGAAGGCGGGCTCCTGTTTATTATAAGACAGATTTTTTGCGTTGAAAGCCATGATGTAGACTCATTCCTCGATAGCTCCAGCGATAATATTGTTCCTAGCACATCAGGCTCTGTGCTGTCTACTAGTACCGATATCATGATTCAAGTCGTGGTGATGGACGTGGAAGAGCGGTTTCACGAACTGGACCGAAAAAAGGGATTTGTAGTCGCTGCTTTTACGGCACTTTACTTCAGATCACTGCCACTGCTGAGTGAGGGACCGTTTTCAACTTCAGGCTTCGTCGACATCAGAAAATCCATTTGTGGTCCGGTCTATTAGTGATCGTACCGAGGTAGTTGTTTATATCTTGGGCATGACAGTCACCCACACCCCCTCCGCACTCGCATACACCTGGCCCATGCCATCCTCCAGCGTCCCATGAACCCAAGTCTTTCTTCCATCCACCTTGACTATCCACGAGCGTGCCAGAATGGTTGACGGCGTCCTGATCGGCTTTTTGTACGTAATGTTCAATCCGACAGTGTACGTCGATTGTCTTTCTGGCATTTCCAACAAGACAATGTTGCCCAGAGTGCTATCCAAAAGAGTAGCAACCACCCCGCCATGTAAGAGGTTGGGATGGGCGTTGAGGCCAGTTCCGAACGTATAGAATCTGCGCACCTCGCCAGTCTGTCCAATGGACTCGTCAGACGGTCGGTACAAGGACAGCAAATCTTTGATGGTCTTGTCTGTGTTCCACGTTTCCGCCATCAAGGAGTGGCCGTCGCCCGGTTGTGTCATGGTCCGGGATATTGTGACAACGCGGAATGATGGGTCTGATAATTGCACCGAGCACCATGGTATTGCTTGGAAGTGATCAAGCGTGGATTGAGATACTGCTTCTAGATTTTGGGCCATTTCTGTCTTCCAGCACGACCCACGGTCTATTCTGTTTTCAGTGGTTCAGAAGTCATATGGGGTGCTGAAGTCGAGGTACGGGATCTGTTATGGTATGGATCCTCCTGCCCCTGCTCCAGAGATTTTTCTCTTACCTGCTGTCATCGAGCCATCGTACAGTATTTATATCACAGCTGGACTGAAGACAGAAGATACTCAAGTGTATCCGAATGCCTCGGCTGAGGAAATGATGCTCGTCGAGGGAAGAAACAACTCCCGCCGCTTTCGAATTATTTACTAATCGTTATCTGTCTATCAGTTTATCAACACGTGACGATAAGCCGCCTGCCCCGAGCGTCTGCCACTTTGCGATGATTGCGATCGTGTCCCGCCTCCTGAACTTGAAGTCGACGTCAAGACTTTGCACGCTCTCGCAAACGTCGTCTTCACGATGCTCCGGTAGCATCGCACAGCCGCATCAATGCTGTGGCCTCCAGCGCCCGCGCAGTGCGCGCGAGGCTATATCAGAACGTCGCAAAAAATCAGAATACGCCAGACATATGCGTTTCGAGCAGCTGCCATTCTACGACGGTACCATTCCAGCGATGCCGGAAGAACCCCTAAAGCAGAGACTGGTGGCGCTGGCGAAGCATCATTGTTGATCAGCGCCCATCCGAGATTCAATGAAATCGGCGTGCAGCAGTTGAGCGATCATCTGCATCCGCAAGTGTTTCCCCATGGCGCGACGAAACCGCGGCCGGATTTGATCGAACTCTCCAAAGACCACCTCCGACGCCACGACCTGTTGGGGAAGAACCAGGATGATACCCCTGCGATTGGGTTGGAGGTACCGCCGCTTCATGGCACCAGTCTGGATGAACACTTCACAAGGCTGGGAATGGATGCTGGGGAGCCATATTTGTCCTATGGCAAGGCGTTCGTCAGGGCAAATACTCCTCAACGGCCGAGGAAGTGGGTAATCAGGAGTGGCTGGACCAAGTACAATGCGGACATGACGACGGAAGAGATAGATGCGCCTGACGAAACCATGCTATCTTTTGATGTCGAGACCATGTGGAAAGAAACGCCCTTTGCAGTCATGGCCACCGCTGCCAGCCCAACCGCTTGGTATGCGTGGATATCTCCTTGGCTGTTAGGCGAGACGGACAATCCGAGACAACTGATTCCTCTCGGCGACCCGACCAAACCCCGGATTGTGGTCGGGCACAATATCGGGTACGACCGAGCACGTGTCAAGGAAGAATATGACCTCAAACAGTCGCGCAACTTCTTCATCGACACAATGTCTCTGCATGTCGCTGTGAACGGCATGTGTTCAAGGCAACGACCAACGTGGATGAAACACAAGAAGAACCGAGACCTGAGGGACAAGATGTCCGGAGGCCATAATTCAGTTGAGCTGCAGACGATGTTGGAAAATAAGATGCTGAGCGAGGAAGAGGAGGAGTTGTGGGTCGCCAGGAGCTCCATCAACTCATTGCGGGATGTTGCCAAATTCCACTGTGGTGTCACTATTGACAAGAGCCAGAGGGACTATTTCGGCGAACTCGATCGAGAAGGTATCTGCGAAAGACTGGAAGAGCTGCTGGATTACTGTGCGGCAGATGTCGCCATCACCCATCGAGTGTTCCAAAAGGTCTTTCCCAATTTTCTACAAACCTGTCCTCACCCTGTCAGCTTTGCTGCTCTCCGGCATCTGTCCTCTGTCATACTCCCGGTCGACAGATCTTGGGACGAGTACATCGAGAGAGCCGAGAGAACATACCAGCAGAGGTTGGAAGAAGTTGAGCGAAAACTGCTCCAGCTATCAGAAGCGGCTCTGGAGGTCAAGACGCAGCCAGAAGTGTACAACAACGATCCTTGGCTCAGCCAGCTGGACTGGTCGGGCCAGGAAATCAAGTATAAAAAGACGAGAAAGAAGGGAGAAGAACCTGTGCCGGTTGCGCGACAGAAGAAACCAGGTGCCCCGAATTGGTACAAAGATTTGTTTACATCCAACAATTCCCCGATCAACTTGACGGTCCGGACGAGGATTGCGCCACTCTTACTCAAGCTCTCTTGGGACGGGTATCCTCTCGTCTGGTCTGACAAGCATGGATGGACGTTTCGAGTCCCCAACACAGAGGCCAGCAAATACGAGAACAGCAACGTTGTCAGCTGCGACATGTCTGAAGAAGCCAACCTTGCTCTCAAGTCTGATTACCGCCATACTTATTTTAAACTTCCCCACAAGGACGGACCAACTGCCCGTTGTGCTTCTCCTTTGGCAAAGGGGTATCTGCAATACTTTGAATCCGGGATTCTATCGTCGCAATATGAGCTGGCCAGAGAGGCTCTAGAGATGAATGCATCGTGTTCATACTGGATCTCGGCAAGAGACCGGATCATGTCCCAGATGGTGGTGAGGGAAGCCGACCGCGACCCGAGTCTGGCTGGAAAGTCGGAGCAAGGATTCATTCTTCCACAGATTATCCCCATGGGCACAATCACTCGTCGAGCCGTAGAAAACACGTGGCTCACGGCGTCCAACGCAAAAGCCAACCGAGTCGGGTCCGAGTTGAAAGCCATGGTCAGAGCACCACCCGGGTACTGCTTTGTCGGCGCCGACGTCGACAGCCAAGAGCTTTGGATCGCATCACTCGTGGGCGATGCGCAGTTCCAGCTTCACGGCGGCAACGCCATTGGCTTCATGACGCTGGAAGGCACCAAGGCCGCCGGGACAGATCTCCATTCCAAGACTGCAAAGATTCTGGGAATCTCTCGCAACGATGCCAAAGTGTTCAACTACGGACGTATCTATGGCGCGGGGCTCAAATTTGCCGCCACACTGCTACGCCAATTCAACCCGACTCTGTCTGAAGCGCAGTCCAACCAGATCGCTATGAAACTGTACAAGGAAACCAAAGGCACACGCACGCGACGGAAAGCGTTTGGCAACGGATCCTTCTGGCGCGGAGGAACCGAATCCTTTGTATTCAACAAGCTCGAGGAGTTTGCCGAACAAGAGCGGCCGCGCACACCCGTGCTGGGCGCGGGAATTACAGAGGCCCTCATGCGTCGCTTCATCAACCAAGGCTCCTTCATGACCTCGCGTATCAACTGGGCCATTCAATCTTCCGGAGTCGATTACTTGCATTTGCTGATCATCAGCATGGACTACTTGATCCGACGGTTCAGTCTGGATGCCCGATTGGCTATTACGGTTCACGACGAAATTCGGTATTTAGTGAAAAAGGAAGACAGTTATCGCGCCGCCCTGGCCTTGCAAATAAGCAACCTATGGACACGCGCCATGTTCAGCCAACAGATGGGCATTGAAGACCTGCCTCAGTCTTGTGCGTTTTTCTCCGCCGTCGACATCGACCATGTCCTCCGCAAAGAAGTCGACATGGACTGCGTCACGCCCAGCCATCCCGACAAAATCCCACACGGCGAAAGTCTCGATATCAATCAACTTCTGGCGAAAGGATACGAAGCGTTTCTCGATCCTGCCAAGGAGCAACAAATCGATTTGGATAAATACACCTACACACCGCGCGAAAGTGTCATGTCTACCCTCGCTTCGTCCAATGATGTGAATTACATCCGGGCCCAGATCACCGATGACGAAAAGGAGCTGAAAGCTATTATCAAGGATATTGAGAGGGGGATTACTCCGTCGTTCTCGGAACTATCAATCTCTTCGGGGACATCCACATCGTCTCCATCAGCAGCGGCGGCATCCGATGCTCCCACCACAGTTGACAAAACTAATACTAAACAACAAGGAGGCAACGGCAAAAAAGGCAGCAGCAGCGGTTCAAGCACCAAACAACCCAAATCTCCCCCTCTTCCCCGTGGCCGCCGTCCTAAACCCAAAGTCCCTGTTCCTCCGCACGCCCAGCCCCAGCGCGCCATGCTCATGGAAGTCGAAGACCGCTGGGACATGGGGTACAAGAAAGCCTTTGGACTTGGTACATCTACATCTTCTTCCTCGTCATCTTCAAGTGGGGGAACAACAACAGCAAGTCATAAACCATGGTTGACGGACAAGAAACTTGAATCATCTTGGTCGACTCGCTGGGCGAACGATGGATGGGAAGTGTAGAAAAGGAATGGTCGGTTGAAAATGTCAATCTTTCTGCTCTTTTGTGGCTTGCTTCTCTTGTACAACCATTGTATTTTTGTCAGTGGGGCGCGGTGTGGTTGGAAGTCATTGGAAGATATGTACCTATATACCTAGTAAATATGTACTCTATTCTATTTATACCAATGCCTTGATGTCAAGGCCCAGTGCTTTCACTCCGCTTTTCTTTTCTTTGCTTTGCTTTGATTTGGATCTAAAAATGAGACAACTATTTGTAGGTGGATCGGGGAAAGCCGAAGCCAAAAGAAATGGCTTTTGTGGTCCATTATCATTGAATGGTCAAGGATCTCGCCCTAACTCAATTGTCTTTAACTTTTTCAACAAAAGAAAGTAGCATTCTATCCTCAATGGTCCTGCGAGTATTAGTTTGCCCTCGCCTGTTCTGTTCCACCTTTTCTACAACTCCATCTGCGGCACAGTAACAGCATCAAATCCATATCTGGATCAAGATCAAGATCAAGCATATGCAGCCCAACCACAGTACAAAACTGCCAAATTCCTCTCATCGGTAGCCTGACGAATAAGTTCATTGACAGTAGCCTCAACACTCAGCGATTTGCTCAACTTCTTAGCCACAACAGTCAGGGCGCGATCTGCCTCACTCGGTTCGCCCACGGCGTCTCTCTTGATATTTAGATCAACGGCGGCACCTCCACCACCACCGGCTAGAGCTCCCCCACTTGTTGCGGCAGTCGTCCCATCGTCCGCTTGACCATGGTTCTCCTGCATCTTCTGCAGCCGCAGCGGGGAAATCGACCACGAATACAGCGGATCATAACGCAACACGTCGAGAATGGTCATGATGGCTTCCTGGTCGCGACGCAGGGCCTCGAGCGTGAAATTACAGCAGCGGCGGAAGACGCCCTCGACGCCCGTCAGGCCCATTCCATCGACAAGGTCGCGGGTCAGTCGGAACGGCACGACTTCAGGCACGGGGAGCACGCGACCTGCTTCAAACGCGACACCTAAGTCAATGTGCACCACATCGCCGGAATTCTCGTCGAGTAAGATATTGTGGCCGTGTCGGTCGCCCAGGCCCAGCACATGACCCAAAATACTAACTGCTGCCGTTGACCGACTGTAGTTCAGTCGCTTGTAGAACCAATCGTCCGGATCTGGGAAATGCTCCATGAAGAAGAAGCGCATGACTGGGTGAAAATTGGCCACGACTGTTCGATACGCTCGGATCCGCTGGTCCAGTGGCTTGTTCTGCGCGTCCGCAATCTCCTTTCTACATCTGTTAGGTTTGTAGTCTTTGGGGAAATAGCGCGTGTGTGCAGGTAACAAGTAGTCGTGCAGTGGGATTGTGTCCTTGACGAACTCGATGATGCCCGCATTTGTGTTGAGTGGTATGACTTTGTACGTTCGGATGCCCAGGTTGCGCTGTCGGGTTGTGCGATGCTCTCGCAGAAGATTCGATACCTGCTCGAATACCTGTTCCATGATCGCGTCCTGCCGTAGGTCGTCATTGCCACCTTTCAGTAGCATCTTGTGCCGTGAGCCATCTGTGGCGACCATGGTGACGATCTTGGGAGCAGAGACACCTCCTGCAATCGAGATGTATGGCTCGAACTTGCTGAACACCGGCACCGACGAGTAATCACGATCAGGCCGTAGCGGGATGTTCATTGTCGGTGGCGGAATCTTGACAGACGACGTACTTAATGTCTGTTCGAGCTTCTGGGCCGAGAGCAGTTTTCGTAGCGGGAACTTGGCTCCCGTTTTGAGATCTTTGTCAGCTGCTCGCTCCTGTGTCACTCGATAAAGTGCAATGCTGCAATTATGGATGGCTACCCAGATGGGCGACGACACACTTTTCTTGGCTATCAGCTCGGCAAGCTTGTTTGCTGCTGCATTTCGGGACACGGCGACCTCATCAGCCTTGGCTGACTTGCTTTTACTGGCGGCAAACACCTGGTACAAACTGTGGAAGGGGTGGTCAGAGCAGATTCGGAACATGAGCTCCATGAGTAGTTGCTGGAAATCGTCGTGTATGTCCAACAGTCGGGATGACAGCTGGTTGACAAGTGGTGCGAACTTGTAGGACGGAACTGTTCCCAAGTGCTTGCGAACTGATCTGTTGGCTTCTTTGCTGTCGGCCTGATTGAGCCACAATGCCAGGAACCGGAGCGTATCGTTCGGATACTCGTCAGACGCTCGCATGGATAGGAGGTAATTCTCCAAGCACTGCAGAATGAGTGTCTGTCGGTTTTGAGACACTCGCTTCCATTCTTGGTCGTCCAACTTGAACCACTCCTTGGCTCGAGCCAGATGTGATCTCAATTGCTTTTGCTGCCGTTCGTCACCATTCAGGTGCATTCGTTGAAGCTCTTGGATGTCGCGCATTTTGCGATCTCGGATCTTGCTAATTCGGGTGAAATCATCGAGGTTGTCAGGGTCTTGCAGCTGCATATCACAAAATGCAGCAAAGTTGTGAAAGACTCGTCCCGCCTCGGAACCGACAGCCCGTCCGTGAAGTTCCTTGAAAGCCGGTAGAAGATAGCGGTCTATGATCTCGTCGGGCTTTTCGAGCCGAGCTTCCGCAATTTTATGGCCTAAATCGGTAAGAAGGTCAGCCCTAGTAATGATGACGGCTTGTTTGGCTATGTCGTCGCGCTGTTTGAGTGTTTGTAGAATTTCGATGCTAGCGGAAGTTTCATTTTGCGCCCAAAATGTCCTTGCGAGGTCGTACTGAACGGCGATATCGACCTTAACACCTGCATCGGAGGCCAGGCGGCTGAGCTGAGTAAGATAGATGGTTCGATTTAGAGCAAATTGGGGCGCTGCGTTGTTTGTAGCCATCTTGAGTGACTGCCGGGCAACCCTGATCTCAAATAACAAGGCCTGAGATAGGTCCACGGACATTGTGGCCCTTATCCCAGCGTTTTTCCGGATAGCGTTGAAGGCGTATTCTCTACCCACAAGCATCGGCGATAGCTTGTTGAACCTGTTGCACGTCAGTGTATTATTGTGGAGCCGCGGCTTTAGACTTACTCAGTGAACTTGGTCTTGTCGTTCCTTCGCTCTATGGCCGAAATGGTTGACTCGAGGTTTCCGGCAGTCGATGCTCCAACAATCTGCCTTGCCTCGGACAGAACGGCTATATGGGAGAGGAGGCTGCCCATCAAGCTTTTATCAGTTGTCTCAGTCCTGAGCTTGTCCACCACGCTGAGAAGTGACCGATCCAGGTCCTTATTCAAGACTTCGGTAGTCGAGGCGCTCAGCATGCCGCGAAGCAAGTCCGTCACATGTCTTGAATCTGTCACTGAGTCGTTCGCAGTCAGGACATCCCAATGTCCGCCGCTGAGCTGCGCGCCATCGCCAAAGCCTTCGAAATACTGGCTCACAGCTTCAGCTATGCCTTGCATGTTTGCGGCTTTCAAGGTTGAGGCGGCTGTCAGTGCAACAGTGCCCAGTTCCTGATCTTGCTCGTTCATCATGAGCTGGGAGTCAAGCATTGCACTTTGGAAAGACAAGGACTTCTGGCTGGCACCTTCATGGTTCAGTTTATGGATGATCGATTGCAAATCAAACTCCTGGTGCTTGCCATAGAAGAAATCTGGATCATCGACATTCTCGTAGATTCTTGATACAAGCTCTGTCGGGACAGCATCTGTCAAGACCATCGATCGGCGAGATGAGCGTCCTGTTTGAAGTTGAGCTTGAGAGTGTTGTAACTCCAGGAAAAGTAGGGCTTCATGCCACATCTGGCATTTGGTTGCTGCCACTGCTGCCATTCCAAAATCGACGTCGAGCCATAAATTCCGCTGAGCATTGTTCTCCTCGTTCGAAATCCTGCATTCTCTCAAGTACAATATCGTCCGAAGCACAAGTTCTTGGGCTTGTCTGGATGAGTTGTCCTCGCTTTGCAAGATTTCGGCAAAAACTTGGGATAGAGTTTCCCTGAAAGTGTGCGCTGTGTTGAAATCACTTGCTAGGGCAAGGTGGACTGCATATGGAAAAAACATGCCCACACAGGTTGGATCTGCGCTTATGAGAGGCTCGAGAAAACTCAACACGGGGTCGTGGCCTGATTTTTGACAGATAGACTGCAACAGTGTTGCTGCCCAGGAACGAGACTGGCTAGCTGACAAGGTAAGATTCCCCTCTGATGCCAGGTACGCCGACGCTCGGATAGCCGGGCAAGGGAAAGTTTCGAGCCTCAAATCAGCCACCAGGTGCCGGCCGAAATCCGCGTCGAGTACTTCCTGCTCTACCGCCTTGGAAAGAGAACTGAAAATAAGTTGTAAGGTTTTCTCCGCAAAGGTGGCCGTGCTGAAGTCGGCACTCCACAGGAGGTCGGACAAGAATCGCACAATTCCAGTATAGGATGAAACCGGTGTCAGGTCATGGCCTCTCAACGATACCGTTGACTCGGCACTTGTAAGCAACTCTTTGACATTCAAGTGCAGGCCGCGAGCGATGTAGCCGCGACCTATACCTTGTGCAGCCCAAAGGCGGGAAGCCTCATCCAACCGAAGCCTTTTCAAAACCGAGGACAAGGTAGGGGAGAAGCGAGCCGCCTCATCATCATTCTCGAGTATATCGTCTTGAGTATCTGTAGCAGGAGAGAATCCGCGACAGAGTATTTCCATTGAGACATCGAAATCAAGGTTGGTTAGGAGTGGATGTTCACTGCTTCGATCTTCCAGTAGGGAACGGAGGAGACTGCCTTCGCTTGTGCTCGTCGAGCTGTTGCCAGGCTGCGCTATGGCTTTGGCATGCTGGACAATCTGTCTGAAGGTCGTTAGAGCTTCAGCCGTCACACCTAGTGGATCGAATGTTTCCAGATAGTGACGTAAAAAGGCGCGAAACTCCTGTGCCTTTGTCATAGTTGCCAGGAAGTGCCCCTCCTGTGTGGTACTGTCCTGAGAAGAAGCGATGAAGCCTGTCAAGGATGCAAAAGTAGCCACCCCTAAGCCGGCAATGAAAGAGAGCTGTCCACGTAGGTAGGGTGCACCATGGGTCAACAGATAGCGATATATACCCATTGTGTCCTCAGCGCAGTCGAACATGGTTAGATAAGGTCGCAGATTGTGGAGCAGCATCTGCAACGGATATCCCTCCAAGGCTATCGGGCCGACAAGACTGACCACAATTCTCAATTTGCGGATGATGTTGCAGATATGCAAAGGTCCCATGGCAGGTCTAGCCTTGTCCAGGAGCTGTCGATAGACATGGACAACTAGTGAAGGTGACCATATATCGTCCATTTGCAGATTCAGTTTGTCGCTGATGTATTTGAACTCGTCCATCAGACATCTTGCGCGGAAGCATGGCTGTTGAGAAAGGGGCAACTGGATGTTCTCGGTAGAGTAACTAGCCATTTCCTGCCACGCTGCAAGTTCCCCAGTTCGATGATATCTCTCCAATGCTTTTTCGATGCCCCGATCGTCCCTAAGCGAAATGATCAGACGAGAAATAATGTCAGGGACTGACGAACGCAGCAGCTGAAGGTAGCGCTCCGAGCCCAAATGCTTCCTGACAAGTTGTTCGGATCCGTTGTAAAGTCGCTCCTCATCTGGTAGACTGGTCTCAGACGAGAGGGCGTAGGCTATAGCAAAGGCGAATTCCTGAATCAACAGAGAAGTCCAGTCCTGGCCCACCAACTGTGCAAGCTCTTCAGCATGACTAAACCCTCTGAGGGCAATCTGCCCTGTGATCTCGGAGATGTTGTCCAAGCACATTTCTTTGAGTGTGTCATAACCGAACGCCCTGAAAGGCATATGAGATAGTGTGTCCTTCTTGAGCCAGGTGTAGAAAATCTGGGGTGAAAAGAACTTGAAGAGCTGGCTAGAGTGTCCAATGTCCAGCTTCTCGCAGGTAGAACTGATGCACACCCGGGCCAACTCTGTGGTAGAGGGTACATTAGCGGCAGTCTCGAACAAATGGTAGGTCGCCCGTCGTAGGACTGTGTGCCATCGGGATCCCAGGTATGCAACGATGTGCAAACGCACAGCGATTCCCTCTCTGTTGTCTGGATCCGTCGGCAAATTCTCGACAATATCGTCAAAAATGGCCTCATGCTGATCGAGGACAAACTTCTCGAAGATATGAGAAAGTTTTGCAGCCATGTTATACTTGTTCAGAGGGTCGCTAATCTGAAGGATTTTGAGAAGGCTTGTCCTAGGGGATGGGAGGTCGTCTCCCCCGTAGGAGGGATTCACCCGGAGGAGTACATCTAGCAATTCGGCCATTGTTGTCAATACTTTTGGCGATGCGATGTTTTTGCCCAGGACAGAATTGAGAAACCATTCGTAGATGTCGAATACAATCGCTGCAAGGTCATCGTCTTCCTCATCTGGTGCCCACAGTTCTACCAAACCTGACATAACGTCCAGGACAAAACATTGTACAGACTCGCATCTTTCGTACAACTCCTCTGCAAGGTATAATTTGGCCAGTCTTTCGAGAACTCGACACGCATCTGCGCGTGTGATGCCTGTCTTCAGGGAGAGGAAGTCATGGATAGCGCCCCGACTAGCGACCAGCAGCACGGGGTCGAGCTCAACAATCTCGTTCGCCACCCTAGAGGCAGAGGCTGGGTCAAACGCTCGGCGCGATTTCACTCCCTGTAATATAATTGTTAGCTGCATCGTGTACCTGGCCATAAGAGCTTCCAAGTCCGGGCACAGAGGCAGGTCCGCCCTCAGGATGCCAGCGATCATGCTAGAACTCGCACTTTGCGTTCCCCGAGAGTCCTCTATTTCCCACTCCATCATATCGTGATCAGAGGTCTTTGCTGAGGCTTTGGATGGCAGGGAGTGTTTGACGAGTTTCAGCGCTGAGTCTATGAGGGATGAGTACTCGGCACAGTTCAGGTCGACGTTCTCTTTGTATACTTCATTGTGAAGGTCCACAAAATGACCACATATGCGCACAGCCATTTGGGGGACGTTGGTGTCGGTCCCTTGTAGAACGAATCGTGTGACCAATTCCCGGCTCTCTGACCAGACCGCTGGTGGAGTGGCTTCACTGTTGGTTCGACCGCAGCGAACCCAGAATACTGACGCCACAAGCGAGGCGATGGCGACAATCTCGACGATATCGGGCCCGATGTTCAGACTGCGTTCTGCATGTATCGCCTGCCACGAGATGATAAACTCTTTGAGTCGTCCTGTCAACAGATCAACTATCTGCTGGGTGAGACGAGCAGCTGTTGAAGGGTCAAGCTGATACGTGGTCGGAGTTCCACGATACTCGGATTTCTGGGCCTTTGAAGCCGGGAGTCCAAGAAGATAATGGAGAAAGTCGAGGTTTGAAGAAGCAGCGAGGGAGAGCCCCCACAACGGGTGCACCGGGGACCAGTCGTCGGTATGCTGGACTGAGTCGGGCTTTCCACACATGGTCACTAACAACGTGTACATAAGTTGAGGTTTGGCATGTGTTGCCGTGTGTGCGTTGTGTAAACGATCGAGCACGGAAGCTTAGGAACATCAGCATTGTAATGGACTGGCAGGGGAATCTGACATACGAAGAGTCCAGCGTGCAGTAAGCCAGGAAATGATTTTGACACAGAAAGCCTCGAAATGCCTTTGGTTGTTAAGGATTCCTCCCTGTAATATCGTGATGAACATGATCAATGCGGTATCTGTTAATGTAGATGGGCCACTGCTGCCGGCCCCAAAAAGTGCTTTCTCAATGAGAGTGCCGTTTATGGCGGGGCGTAATACCCGTGCCCTGACGACTACCTCCATTATGTGGCAAGCTGCTCTTACAGTAATTGGGACACCCAGCGCTCTTCGGGCAGCGTCCCAAAGCTGGGTCCAGATTTCAGGAGCAAAGGACTGAGCGAAGTTGCTGTAAATGGCAAGCCGTGCGAACACGAGATAAACCCAGGTCTGAGTATTGCTATCCTCCTGAGGCAAATCAGAGGCCGCTGGTAACAGCATCAACAAAGACTCCTGCTCAACAGGGCAAGGCTGGTCAAGTGAGAAGAAGATAACTTGCAGAGCGACGAGCTTCTCCTGACCGACCCCATGGACCGCAAGTTGTAGAAGCTCTTCTAGGGGTGATTGAATTTTTTGTCGCTTTCTGGGAGCGCCTTCATCATCATGGTTATCGGGAGCCGGTGTCTGTGTCCTCCGAGTGAGCGCCAGAGAAATACAGGCGATGATTGACAAAGTCATCCAGCAGGAGAGCGCCCGTGCGGAGGTCCGTAGAGGCTTGAACTCATCCACTTGTAGCGGTGCATCATCTCCTGAGACGACCAACTGCATGTCATCGAAGTGGATGATGTCCCTGGGGTTCCTTCCCTTGTATTCAGTCAAGAGACTGTTCAGGAGCTGCTCTAGACTTCGCATATCTGGCCAAAGCCACGGGTTGCTGGAGGCCAGGAAGAGTTGCCGGCATGGAAACAAGACAGCGAGGATTCGTTCTCGGAGCAAAGCTGACCTCGACCACAATCTCCACATGGCAGGCATCAGATCGTGCAACAAACGTTGTGTGAGCGCAATGTCTTCAGTCACAGAGAGCATCATGACGTGGCTTAACACTTCAAAGGCCACTTCTTGGGCCCTTGTGGCAGCGTTCAGGAAGTCACGCATTGAATCTCCAATTGTAGAGGCCCGAGACATTACTGGAGCATTGGTCACGGAAGTCAAATCCCTCAGAGCAAGAATGATATCCTCAGCACGCGAAGCCGCATCTCTCCCAAAGCTTCGTCGGCCTCTCTGGCTTAGACGTAGGGAAGGCTGGCGGGCGTCCCTCGAGGCCACACTCGTCGTTTGACTAGGGGCCGAGTCGCTCTCTGCACCGCCGTCATCGAAACCGGAAGCCAACGCAGCCAGGGCAAAGTCCACATATGTCTGCCATTGCTTCCTACGCATGTGCTCTACATGTGGAGCATGGTCGAGCAGTATTCGAAAGCTTTTCAGGTAGTCGTTGAGCAGTGGCTCACACCAAGACCCATCAGCGGTGGGAAGGGTGTCGACGATATGATCTAGGACGGAAAGAGCGGTCTTGAATCTGAGAAATGGGACACTGATCTCTACAGCAAAGCGCAATGCGGCCGCAGCAACCTCCAAACGGGATGCAGCAGAGTTCTTGGCTGTGGGCTTGGTTGCTCGAAGGAATGCCGGTTTCTGCTTGGACACAATCTTGTAGAGTAACTCAAAGGAGACATGGAAGTCATCCTCGTCGAAGTCGACATGCTGGCCTTCATCCTGCTCAGTCCTGCTCCGCTTGCTGTCACGAGATATTAGAGTGTACTGATTAAGCCGGGTGGGAACCTTACCGCTCAAAAGCCGCCCTAACCTGGCTCAGGATATGCTTAAGATCTGTGGAATAGTGTTAAACAAGGCAAACGTAACGGCCATTCTCTTACCGTCAAGGCCGTTTCGTCTTTCTTCTTGGCTAGAGGCTTCGAGTCTGGCTGGTTTGACAGGTCAGCCTACAAGACTTAAGTGCAGGGCCTCCCACGCATACCGACAGCCGACACAATGGAGACATCAGCCATGTCTCCAGCTAACGAACGCCGCAGAAAGGCAGATTGGCACAGTCATCATTGACCGTCCCTTTCAGCGCAAGCAAATGAACCTTGGCGGTTGTTGGTTCTCGTACGAAAATGTCACGAAACCATTACATTGAATTGGTGTTTGGCTGGAGACACGGACTCGGAGTTGGAGGCAGTTACCTGAACGAAGCAAACACGACAAACGCGACAAACAGCAGTGACGTTCAATCAGAGTGCAGGCAGTCGACGCTTGGCACCGACTAAACCGCTTTAGGCAACTTGACAACCTGCGTGTCTCTTGCTTGTGCTGCCAGTGCAAGAGAAAGCAAGAATTTCGAGGTTGAACACGCGCAGAGGAACAACCGACGCGTTCCTCACACCGATGACTGTCTGTCCGGCATCTCGACATGGAGAGTCTTACGCGCTTACAGGATCTTCACACCGATCTTGTCGCCTTTGCCGAAACCCGCCTGGCGAACATTGAGCGACTCTCGCTCGAGTTGGAGGACAGCATTCAGGACTTCAGGAAACTGCTCGACAAAGCCACTCCTACCGCCAGCGACCGAGATGCTTATAATAATGGTAAGCCAGCGGGTCAAGATGTCTCGAACTTCTTCTGACGGGGTGGCATTATAGGCAAAATCACAGTCGGTGAGCAGGACTATGCCGTCAATGATGAATTCAAGCACATCAGCCGCGCAATCGCCACGACACTTGAGCTGGACGAGATCGAGGCCGGCAGACTTCTCATCGAGATGCAAGCAGATCCGAAAGCAACGAGCGAGACTTTTGTGATGGATGCTGTGAGCAATTTCCACAACCGGCGAGACTTGTTGCTGCAATGTTTGCGAATCACCCTGCAACAATCACTCAATATGGATCTGGAGCCTAGCATACCGGACGCCTTTCGGAAAATCGTTGCAAAAGTATTGGAGATCGATGGTGCAGGAGCCGCCGCTGGCAACGGGTCGCTCTTCGCCAGAAAATGTTTGTCTACATTAGAGGACATCGAGAAGCTTCAAGCAAAAGTCGGAGATGCCCTGCAAAGCAAAGCCGTGCTGGGAGAACCACGAGGTCCAGAGTTCTATACCACACTCGAGTTCCAGAGAGACAGTCTGTTTAAGCAACACGAAGCACTGGCTTGCATTCTGGCATACCTATTTGCAGGTGATTACACCAGCCCTGAAGATCTCCGAAAGCTCCACAATGCGGTGAAGCGCTTTAACCGTCTGGACTTCACGCTCATCCATTATCTGCCGGCATTTTCAGCCGCTTTCCGTCAGTATGGGTCGCCCGGAAGCCAGCTGTCTCAGGAAAATTGTACTTCCCTTGATGCTGTGCTTAGCCCGATCCCCCAGGAGCCAGCCTTGACATCTGTGCGTCCCTTTTACGGCGTCCTGAGTCTATGGTGGACGGTGGAGTACAGCGGTCAGTTTCGAGATTTGACTGACAATGACGTGGATGCTGAGAAGAGGGCGAATACGGTCAAGGCAGCACTGAAGGAGGATGCATTGGAATTCATGCTTGCGATTTGTACAAGCATGAATTTAGATGTTTGGCGGCATCCTGCAAGGCAAGAGTTAGTGGCACTGCTTCTCAGTGAGACAGCTTTCGCTCTTGATGGCGACCAGACCTCGACATACTTTCGGTTACAATTCATGGAGTCGCTCGAAAATTTCATCGAGGCCTTCATCTCGAATATGCCGGATTCGATTCGAAAGCTCAAGGCCGAAGAAGACGATCAGCGGTTAAATCATCTGATGGCGATGCAGGAGGGCTTGCCGCCAGATCCTAAGAGTGGCTCCGTCAATAAGCTTCATCTCGAAAGCTTCTTGGTCATTATTTCATATGCCTTCGAAGGGAGACCCGAAGCCGCAGAACAGTGGTGGGATGATCCGGACGGGAACTTGTATGGCTTCCTGCACTGGGCATCAAGGAGGCAAACTGTCCCCCGTGTCTGCGCGTTCTGTGAGCTTTTATGCTCCATCTCCGAGGAGCAAGAATGTGCAGAAGCCGCCCACAAATTTTTGCTGGATGAATCACAGCCTGCGTCGACTAGAGGCCGACGCAACCCGTCGATGAACTACCACCAGATCTTTGCCGAGCTTGAGCTTTACGCACACAAGGTACACGAGCGGGCGACATCTTCGCAATTGCCTAATATGCGAAAAGTTCTGCCAACAGATATGAACGAGTTGGAAAGCCCTGTGATGTTATCCTGTTACCTCCGTCTCTTGGCCCATTTGTGCCGACAGCCTGGCGGGACTCGTGATTACATCCTCAGCACAATGACTCCATCATTTCCTCAGTCCTTGTTGCTTCTCAGCTCGGGGCCGATACCAAGTTACCTGAGAGCCAGCGTGTTTGCGGCTTTGGATGCTCTTCTTACGGATAAAACAGTGCAAACAGCGTCCATGCTCTGGTACATCATTGACGACTGGGCAGCTAGAAGCCACGAAATTCTGCGTTCGACCTCGAACACGCCTGTTCAGCCATCCAAACCCAGTCTTCTGGATTTACAGAACACTCTCAGTTCAATCGCGGTGTCGTTTGATCAGTATGACTCGTTCATTGTGTTGCTACGAGATCTGACAATTACACTTCCATCGACAGGCGTCGGAGCTGATATGCTTCCCTTTCCACGGGAGCTTGGTTCGGGCTACCGGAGTCCAGGGATCGGTCCCTACGTTGACTTTGTGTGCGGCCAAATATTCATTAAGCGCATCCCGGAGATCAGCGATGACATACAACGATCCATTGCCTCCTTTCACAGCTTGGAATTCGTGGCTGTTGGGTTGGAAGGTTTCAACGAAGACTGGGTGGCAATGGCAGATCGCTCATACCCTCAACGTGACGCGTCACAGGACAAATCAATCACGACGATGTACGCTCAGCGCAGTCCATTTGCTAGGCTGATGCAATGGATCCTAAGCATCGATATGAACAAGGCCCTGATGGAAACTCTACGGGTGTCCGCAGATGCCGTGGAAGCAGCGTTGCCGGACTCGCCCCTGCTCCTCAGCCTGCAACGTGCTATCGACATTGTCAACCGCGTCCTCGACTTGCAACCAACCTATTTCGATATTGTGAGGCCGCTTCTACTCTCACAGTCGGCGCAGGAAATCCCCCTTGCGCGCTCGAGCGTCAATTGTATCGAGGACAGTGTGGCTGCGCATCCGGAAGTAATTCTGAACCTCTGTCAATACGCCGCAGCCAGCCATTCCGAACTGGTCCTCCGCGCTCTTGCTTTACTGCAAAAGCTCTCTAGCTCACCCAAGCTGAACAACCACTTCCTGACTACAGAGCCCGTTCATGGCCGCACGAGACGAATCGTTGACATGTTGGGTCCAAACGCCGATTTTGAGCTAGAACCCGTTGCTAAAAATATGGGTTCGAGATTGCAGTTCGACATTAGAGAGCTTGAGGATGGCATTGAGTCCACGGGCTATCTCATCAAAGATGCCATACTGGCCTTCTTCAACGCCTGTCTCGAATCACAGCCAGAACTGCCCACTCTTGCTCATCTCTTACTCGGGTTCACCAGAATGGGAGAGAGCCTTGCCATCTCCGACTCCATTGACGCCGGCACTTCTGTCTTTCACGCTGTCGTCGACCTCGTTCAAAACTACCCCATTGACGAGAATGCTGTGATCCTATCTTGGTTAGTACACATCAAGTCTGCAGCTCTGCGTGTACTCAGGCAACTATGGTCGTCCATTGTGTCAACATCCATTGTGGTTGGACAGCTTCGCAGACTGCAGTTTCTACAGCTGCAGTATCTGGGTCAGACGGTTGTTTCCCAGCAGACCTTCTGGGACGGCAACACTGTTTCCCAGGCCGCGTTTTGGTACACCACATCCGCTGAAGGCCTTGCCGAGTTCTTCGATTTGCGAGCGTCGCTGTATAACTATACAGCTACGGAGCTGAGGGCAGCTTCGACGGACGAATTGTCCACCACCCTGCGACAAGCGCTATCGACGCTACAGGGTAAGACTACAGATTTTGATGGCTCTTTGATCACGAATCCAGACGTCTTTGTCTTGTTCGACTTTCTGGAGCTTGATCTAGCCGCTACCTTCGAGCTGGAGTCGGAAATATTCTCGACAGTCGACTTCGATGCTTACTTGACAGCAGCATCTGAGCATGCCCCGAGCCTCTACGATCTGAAGTTGATGCGTGAATCCTTATTTGCTCAGCAGACCGACATAATGGGAAAGCAGATCGAGAGCGCTGGGGGCCACAAGATTGAAGAACAGGCCTTGGTTGCAGAGGCCGACCGCATTCTAGCGACGATGGAGGCCCGAAATCGCTGGATCATTGCCCACAAAGCCAGAAGTGACGCCCTGCACGAGTATGTGGAAATGGTAATTGCCATCATCGAGTGCTGCCCCATGGATCAAGCAACGAAGTCGCAGTTCATTCTGCGTATGCTGCAGATTCTTCTGCCGAAGCTGGATGTTCTGATTGTGGATGAGTCGGAAGATGTGATGGAGCTCGCGCGTGCAGCTGATGCCATGCTTTTCTCACTGTCCCAAACACCACCGGCGAACACTCACACCGACAATCTCATCACCGAGAAGCTGTTCCAGCTGTTCCGTGCGTCGATCGAAGGCATTCCTTCGACAAACACCAATGCCGGCCTTCGGACTGTCTTCTACAGCATTTGCTCTCAGTATCTCACCCGCATTACCGCTTCGGGTACTAGCGGCATAGACGTGAATGCGAAAGCCCGGAGAAACAGCATGGATTGTATCCGCTCCGCCAGCCAGCGCCTTGTCCAGATTCTATGCGATGATGCCGAAGACGGCACTGACGCTTGCCGCCTCAATGCGCTGGGTCTTCTTGCGCTGCTTACCTCGCTGGGACGGATGGAGAAGTCAAACTATATTCTCAACGCCCTGGTCAAGGCCAATGCCCTGGCGATCTTGATCGAGCCTTCCAAACATGTTGCTGTTGAGTTTCAGAGCGCCGGCCCAACCTGTGAGTTTACGTCTGGGTTGTTGCCCGACGGTGTACTTCTCATTTCGAAGATAATATGCTGACTGAATCTCCACTTCGCAGACCGCCCATATTTGCTCTCCGTGTTCGAAGCACGCATGCTTCTGCTCCTTCAGGTCTCTCGGACCCGCGAAGGAGCCAACGCACTGCTGGACGCTGGCTTAATGACAGCAACCCGCGATTCGATGTTGTTCCGCGCCGACCCCGATCTCGGCATCTCCATGCCCGCCACCCAGTCTGACGACATTGAGTCAGGTTACACGCTGCCCGGCGGTCCTGTCACGACGACCGCGGTCTCCGAGACCATTGCCTCGGCGCTGCATACGTACTATGTCCTGCTGTCGTCGACGCTACGGGTGATTCTGTCCACCCTCCTTTCTCGGGGCGCGCAGAACGAGCAAGTGCAGTATCTCGCCCGTACGTTCCTAACGGACTACCGTCCCAACATGGTCGGCGTCTTCAAGAAGTATGCTGGCGTGAATGGGAAAATGGATGCCAAGCTCCGTCCGCTCGTGGCAGAATGCATCAGGTGTTATACTGGTCTGGCTACGATTTGCAATTTTGTTGATGTAAGTCTCTGCAAAAGAACTCTTAAGCCCATTCTTCGCGAGGACATGTCTCTGATCTTGATGCTAATTTTGTCCTTCCGCGCAGTTCGAGGATACATCTGGCTTAGATCCTGGACAGTACCAGGGATTTTCATGATGCTGTACTACTAGCATAGATCACCAAATTAGCGGTGGCGTCCACCGGTCCGTGTGGTATAGAAGGGAGAGTGCATTTTGGACACCCAACCAAGGCAAGACAGATAACGATGTTAGGTAGTAGCCAGCAATAGAGCTTGTCCCGGTTTGGATGAATCAGAATGGATGAATCAGAACCATCCATGAAGAGTTGTTACGCATGAAAAGTAGTTACGTTTGTAGAAAAAGAAAGAAGACTATTTGAACAGTTTTTGCATTGGTGGTCTTACATACATAGCACTGGAGGGTGGATTGATTAAACCAGTGTGAAGTGAATTGGTTTCTCTCAGAGAAACGTGGTGATTAGTGCTGAGAAAAAGAGTAGAGTACTCTGACAGTTGGTGATTAGTGCTGAGAAAAGAGAACTGGCGACGAGTGATCGACTCTGACAAGTGTTGGTGAGTGCTGAAAAGTGAGCACTCAGCAAATGGTGACGAGCGCTGAACAGAGTGGTGACTGATGAGTGACCTTCGACCGACGAGCGAGTAACGCCACAGTCGGGTGTTGGGTGTCGTCACAAAACAAAACGGAAAAAAGTGACCTTTTCAGCCACTTGTACTCTGACAACCAGACAGGCTCTGCAATAGGAGCGCTGTCTCTTCTCCTTCTAGGAGGCTTTTTTTCTTTTTCGTTTTTCCTTTTTCTCTCCGCCTTCTTTCGACACCAAACATGAACCCCCTCCCGTCTTCTAATAGCCGCTTCCTCCGCCCTGAGCTACAAGAAAAAAAGTCAGTATTGATATCAACCAAATACCAAGAAGCATGTCGACTCAACGACGCATGGAGGAACTTACTCGAATAGGAGCCAGAGTGGCTGAAGCTTCGATCAGTGCTTCCGAAGCTGCTGTCCATGCTGGCTTGGCTGGGTTTCTGGACACGAGATTGTCTGCTGGGAGTTCCGACATCAGCGTCGTCCGCGTCAATAGCCCGCATCAAGGAATTTGGAATGAGGTTGCTGATGGTTCGCGGCGACGCGGGGTCTTCGACGTCCTCTCCCTCGAACTCTTCTGCCGGACAATAGGGAAAATTAGCACCGGGAGGAGGAAATGGGGTGTCTGAGACATTGTTGTTGGCAGCCCAGATACTGTCAGGAGCCCAGAGGGGGCCAACGACATGGGGCGTTGGGTAAGACTCGATCTGGGAGGGTTGAGGGTGATCATGACGAACCTGGATCTGTTCCTGTTCCTGTGTGCCAGTGATAGGCGATGAACCAGCAAGCGCTACCCCTTGACCATCGTCTGTTGATGCCATGGACGACGCTCGACTAAGTCGGCGATTGGTGTTCGCGATCGTGATCGCTACAGCAGCACGGCGAATGCTAGCGGGTGATGCATCGGCAGGGATTGCAGCCGGTGTCGCCGGGCGACGAGATGGTGTTTCCGTCTTCCTGGACGGTTCACTGCTTCGACGGCTTGGCTTCAGGATGGAGCGCGGTGCTGTAACGTCACGAGTGGTTGCAGTGAGACCGGGGGCAGCGGTCGGACGATGTGTTGGTGTATCCTCTAGCAGGAACGGTTCGCTGCTTCGACGGCTGGGCTTCTTCAAGATTGAGCGCGGTGCTGCAACGACACGAGTGGTTGCAGTGATTCCGGGAGTATCAGCCGGGCGAGGTGATGGCGTATTCATCAGGAGAGACAATTGATCCATTTGACGCTTGACGTTCGCAACAGAGGCCTCTAGAGCAGCATGAGCAGCTCTAGTGGGTGACGGAGTGGTCGCGGGCTCAGCAGGGCGACGTGGTGGTGTTTTCATGGATACTTGACTCATCCGACGCGCGCTCTTTGCGATACACGCCGCTAGAGCAGCGCGGGCGGCGGCAGTGGGCGATTCAGTGGTTGCGGGCGAAGCCGGACGATGCTTTGGAGATTCCATGGGCATTTGACTAGCTCGACGGGCGGGCTTCAAGATAGATCTTGGTGGATCAACACGACGAGTGTCCGTGGATGAAGCAGTGATTCCAGGCGCAGCCTGGCGACGTGATGGCGCTTCAAGGGACAGTTGACCATCTCGACGGCTCTTCTT